GAGTTGAGGGTCTATTTCTGGGCTCTCTATTCTGTTCCATTGATCTATGTGTCTTAAGAATTTGTTTAAAAAGGAAAGTCTTTCACATGGTTACCAATATTCATGGAATTTGAATAAAATACATTGATAAATTCTTGGTAATTGGAAATGCCTTATCTGTGTGCCATCATATGTTTCCAGAGCAATACCAGAGCATTTTTATGATAGAATTTGCATCTAATCAGTTTTTAAAAACTAAAGCAACCAACAACACATAAACTAGCAGTGTGGTTTTAGAAAATTGTGAGCAAATAAGAAAATGATTCTATGCCTTATTTCATACCACTGCTTTTTCTGAAAAATACAAAAGTAAAATTTGGTTATTAGTCATTACTTTTTTTTTAAAAGAAAGTTAATAATTGCTTTTTCTTGGGGTGCTTGGGTGGTTCAGTGGGTTAAAGCCTCTGCCTTCGGCTCAGGTCATGATCCCAGAGTCCTGGGATCGAGCCTCGCATCGGGCTCTCTGCTCAGCGGGGAGCCTGCTTCCCCCTCTCTCTCTCTGCCTCCCTCTCTGCCTACTTGTGATCTCTGTCTGTCAAATAAATAAATAAAAAAAATCTATTTTAAAAAAATTTTTTAATTATTATTTTTAAAAAATAATAATTTCTTTTTCTAACCTTTGAATTGAACTACCTATTTTACTTGTATTAGATTGGTTCTGCAACTTTTGGTCCAATTTCTGTTCTGTGAATACAAGATGAGAGAATCTGCTTAATGTCACATAGGAGCATTTCATCCACTGAAGTAAACATTGGTGATAGAAGGTGTTTGCCTAATGCATCATAGCATGTAGAGTGTCCAACAAATAGAAAGGTTTGCTTTGAACTCTTAGCTATCTGTCACTTTCATAGCTGGAGTAGCATTGTAAAAAGCCAGGGATGTCTAACCATTTCATACATTTTATTCTGGTACAGAAATACATGTATAGTAATTTTGGAAGGCAGCTATGCTCACCACTATACCACCAACGGAGACGTATAGGAATTTTGTAACAAAATCAAGAACTGTTGATTTTTAGGGAACTCCATTTCTGACACTGTTCTTTCCTCAAACATCTATACACCAGAGTCATAAAAACATGTTCAACCCATGAGCCAAGCGAGATGATAGTGTGTCTCTCAAAGCTGCCCAAAGAGCATAAAACTACTAGCAAGCTGTGTCTGTGAATTGTTCTTAACTTACTCAACTCTCAGGAACTCCAGAAATGGAAATAGCTGGGACCAAGCCTCCTGGCAGATGTGTTATTTTAGTCTTAAGTATATTTGAAAAAATGGAAGTTAGAGGTCCCTGACATTTGGGAAGTTCCCAACATGAGCCACAATGGCCATTGGATGCTAGAAAGAGGGTTTCTTTCTCTACTATACGCCTTCTAGGAATAACATGAGGGAAGATGGCAGCCTGGCTTGGAACCTCCAGAATGAAAGTAGAAAGAGGGCAAATAAATACCTCTTGGGACAAAAAGTACAGAATCGAAGAAAGCTGGTACAGTGTTACTAGATAATAGGGGAAATGTGGGACTTTGTGTAATAGACAGTTGCCTTTTTCAAAAGCAAGCACCAATATAAATAAAAGTCAAACTATTTAGTCATAATTTCTGGTATGAGAAGTTGAAATACAAGTTGGTAAAATTTTCCAAACTTGTTTAGAATCAGACAGAGCTGACTTTGCTAGATCCATGACTTGAAATTGGCTTAAATCAAATCTCAGATCAGCAACTGCCAGCATTTTTGTCCTTTAAAAGGTCAATCATTCTTGGGGTGCCTGGGTGACTCAGCCAGTTAAGCAGCTGCCTTTGGCTTAGGTCACGATTCTGGGGTGCTGGGGAGCCTGCTTCTGCCTCTCCCTCTGTACCGCCCCCCACTCATGCCCTCTTTCTGTCAAATAAATAAATCTTCCGAAAAAAGTCAATTGTTCTTATCTGACCCTTTAAAATTGTAGCTAAACACAAGAAAAAATCTTGCATCACAATGTAATAGATCTTCTCTTAGAACGTTTGCATGACTCATAATGTTCTTTCCATTTTTTGAAGATTTTGCAAAGGAGTAGATTCCCCTTCACAAAATGAAATCTGTTTCCTCCTTCTTTTGTGTGTGGTGCAGTATGAACGGCCTCTCTGTCTTAGAGTGTGTCCCACAGTGTGGTATTATCTTTCTTAAACCTTCAACTAGCACTGGCTCAAAATCACTACAATGTCCCTGAACTACAAGTTAACCACTGAGTAAATTTTCCTGTGAATTTCCATATAGCCATTCTGAATGGGGAAGGAAAGTAACATCTACCTCATAACGATTAATGCTTTGTGTACACCTCTCATTCTCTTAGTGACAGCTCCTTGTGCAGAAAAGAGAGCATTTTTATTTTGATGCTGTTCTTGCTTACAGATTCTGTGCTTACATGGACATGAAGTGTATCCCTTTGTTAAAATCAACCATTATTTTTAAGGTCACCCTGCTCGCTTTATTTTACGTAGTGTGTGAAATTGATCCTGAAATCCACCTAGACTGTAGGACTACAAGGAATATAGAAAGAAAGCTGCTTCTAGGTAAAGAGGCAGGAGGTGTGGTGCAAGAGGAAAGGCCGGGTCTTAACTCGGCTCTTTCTGGCCCTGTTAATGGGATGGAAAATATGCTGAGCTTGACAGTCCAGTGTGGGACCACCTGCAAATGTCTTCACCACTGTGAATGTCACCTTTGTTGTCAAGAAAACGGAGAAAGCACCCCATTATCTAGAAAGTGAGGATGATGCCTACCTCACCTGTTTCTCAGGGATGTTGAGAGGGTTAAATAAGCCAATCGGTGAGAAATTACTATGCAAATTGAAAAGTGCGGTCCCAACATAAGATTCCATGATGGTAACTTTCACTAGGTAGAAAGACCAAGCAGTAGATTCGGTGTAAAAAGCTTTAATGTGACCGCTTTTTCCTTCTTTGGAAATCTCTCCTCAAATTGCTTCTGACTCATATATGTTTATATTCTTTGAAGCTCTTTGATTTAGAGCTGGTACCACTTCATTATAAATACATAGCACTATGCACACATCACCCTTAAGACCAGTGTCCAGGTTCACTGGGGAAAAGCCTTTAGTTTGGGGCAGGGGTGGGGGGCGGTGAGGGAGACTGGAGGCAAGCCTCAGTGATTGCTTATGCATTAGTGACAAGACAAGTAGCCCAAAGCTAAAACTCACTAACGTCTACATGAGACTCCCTTATAACCAGCATTAAATTATGTCATGAAATCTTTTAAAATTCGTCAAAATTAACATCTTCTCTTTTGTTTTACCTTTTCTTTTTAAAAGCCACTTATGATGTTTTCTCAAGCCCTGCGACATCAGATGAGCCTGAAATGTCAGAACCCCACACAGGTATATCCAGCTTCTCAGGACTTTCTTTGGATGCCAGACCATTCTGACAGCACTATACCTAGTTCCCGCTTTAATTTTGCAGAGGGAGGAAGTACACTCTTCGGAGCTCTGCAGGGGAATGTGGCAGTCTGTGTCCGGGAGATGTAGCCCACCCATTTCTCTGTTGAGCCATTATCTCTTTATCACTATCAGTAATAAGCTCTGCCACGTGTGGGAGATGCAGATTTGCTTGCTACTGAGCCAAAGTCATGAAATGGCCCTATTGCTCTATTATCAATATCATTCCAAAAAAGTTTTAGATTCTTAGAGAGTTTTCTGTAGAGCAGTGGTTCTCAAATGCAGAAGACTTTTCTCTAGGCATTTGGCAACAGCCAAAGATATTGTTCATTGTCACAAATGGGGAAGGTGGTACTGACATCTAGTGGAGGGAGACCAGGGATACTGCCAAACCCCTGCAAATATACAGGACAGCCTCCCTACAGGACCCCCCACCCCCAACAAGGAATTATCCAGTCCTAAAGGGCTATGGTGCTGAGGTGAGAAATCCTGTTCTAGAGCCATCATGTCATTCATCTGTGGAAGTCCAGTTGGGTCTAATCTTTGACATTCACTTACTGATCCTTCTACAAATGAGTTTAACTCAATCTAACAGTTCCTTCTAGCAAGTGTTCATTAAGCATCTACTAAACTAGGTACTGTGAGAGATTCAGAGTAAATAGGACTGGTCTCTGCTAGACATAGCTATATATCTGATATTTTTTGTATATTTAGCCTCATCATAGCATTTTTTGTGCCATGATAAAGGTAAATAATTTTGAATAGCAACAGAAAATAAGGGGGAAAAATGAAATAGAATGCTGAGTGAATTCAGCTAGTAGTTAAGAAACAAAAGTGAGAAACCAGAAAAAACAGTTGAAAACAAGTGAAATATATGCAACATTGTTTTTATCATGGTTTTTAATGTTTAAAGTATGTATGTTTTTTTAAAAGTGAGTTCCTCTTCCGCTCCTAATGAATCACTAGTTTAAAAATGTTGGTCCACTCTCTTTCAACTGTTCTTGATACTTTTTCCCATATGAGGCATAATTTGTTACTCATGAATTTGTATTTTATTCTTGGGGCCTTCTGCTTTTATAAATGTTGACATTTATTCCAACAGCAACAAGTGATCCATTTCTGGATTCTGTCCCACCTAAAACTTCTAGAACTCTTGAACAGCCAAGGGCAACACTGGGTAATGTTTTTAACAGAAAAATCCTACTTTGTTTTCCATCAAAAGAAAATCCATGTGAATGCCATTCTTCCAAGTGACCATTTCATTCCATCACATCTAATCATTTATTTCATTTTTACTTCTGAATGTATTTTTTTTTCTTGTAATGCAGGCATCTTATATTGCATTTGGGGCATTCTCTCTCTCTCGAGCTATAATAGATCATTTTTTTCCATCCTTAAAGGAATGAAAAGCTTTGAAAATTGCATGGACCTCTTCATCATCCATATCATCCCATCTCATTCATGTGTTTGTGGCCCGTATCACCTCTCTTCCATGCGTTGACCCTGCCCGAAGTCTGCCACTGAAAAATTGTCATTCTGATCTTTTCTCTTCTTTAAATCATTATTTTAATCTACCAGCTTTCAAGACTATATGCATTTTTCATTCTTAGTCATGTACGTGTAGCATGTGCTTTGCAATACCATCTAAAAGCATGTTAAAACTCCTAAAATACCTCATTTTAACTGGAATTACTTGGTGGGTGGGGTGTTTGTATTTTCAGCTCCAAGTGAAACACCATTTGTTCCTCAAAAATTGGAAATCTTTACAAGTCCTGAAATGCCACCTACAACACCTGGTAACTAATGACATTTTTATGGTTGTGTACTTTGAAAGAACAGATAAAGTGTCAAGAAAAGAATCAGTTTTGTTGGACTTCCAGAGTATTTTCATAGTAAACCTTCCCTTTCATTCTCTGTCATGAAATTCTTCCAAAAACTGGGTTATCTATCAGACTGCCTTGTGATAATTCTCAAAGAATTTCCATAATCTTGGTGTCCATGTATTTTAAGAATTATTTTCTTTCTGTAATCCTTTCCACTTTGCTTACCAGAAAGTTGCAATGGAATTACAGATGATAATTATTTTATAATATATTCCTTCTATTTAGCCCAAATCAATACCACCTGGTCAGAGTATTTTTCTCTATGTAGTTTAAATATAAAGAGCACCATGTAGGTTCTACAATGAGGAAAGATGGGTAAGAGAAGTAACACAGTCTATATGCTATTATAGAAAATTATTTGAATAATGAAGTTCATTAACTCTTGCTGAGGTTAGTCATGAGCTACAGAATTAAAGCAGTTCTGAACTTCCATTCTCTAAATCCCAAATGTTTGTGCTTCTCCCCTATTGTTCAGTAAATTATCTTTTGAGTTCTTAACTCTACCTTGTGTTCTTAAATCCCTTAAGAGTCCCCACTTCCCAGTACATTTAGCTCAACAATGTACCTTTGGTTTTTATATGGACAGTTAATTCATTTTGGCCCCAAAACACCACATTGATTGAACCCCTACTGTGTAGAAAGCACAGTGCTGGGCATTCTAGAGATACAAAGAAATAAAAAGTAATTCTTGTATTCAAGAAGTTTACAAATTTACAGTTATAACCTGATTGGTCCCTGCAAAATATTATTTATCAAAGCTATATTAAATCTTCTTTCAGCTGCCCAGCAAACTACGTCTATCCCTTCTACACCTAAACGACGCGTCAGACCCAAAACACCAAGAACCAAACCTGGTAAATAACTGCCTCTTTAACCTCTCAGGATATTTAATTCCAAATAGAGAATGTCCATCTCCTTATCATAAAAAGAGGTTATGTGATTCTATAGATTAAATGTCTATGGGTCTTTACAAAATTTGAAATTAAGTGAAGATGAATAAATCAAAATAAATCAATTTTCAATACTACATAATTTAAAATTATTTCAGTGATGTTCGTACATGTGAATTTTGGTATAAACCCAGAAGCAGGTACTAATGTCACTGTGTTAGAAAATAAGATTTATAGTGAAATTTGTTTCCTTGGTATGTATGGATATTTAGGTTTTTATTAGGCTGACAGTTCTTGTTTTGTGTGCCAGCAGTATTTTCAGCTTTGAACTGGGGCTGTGGCTCCCAGGAGAGACCATGACTCCCTCTGTCCAATTGCTTATCATCTTAGAGAGATCATACAGCATAAAGAGTGAGAATCAACATGAAACTGTACAATCTGCTTATGAGGCTATAATACTTGTGTGGAAGCTCAGAAAAAAGAAAGAGTTGAGGATGTAAGTCTCAAAATATGTGCAGGGTTCAGACAAATTTGAAGGCGGAGGGAACAACATAAGCATACATTATAGCACAGAATTTGCATGGTACAGCTAGCTTCCCTGGACGTAATTTTTTCATTGTCAGATAACACACTCAGAATCATGCTCAACAAATCAAGTTTTTGCTTATTCCGTGGTAGAATAAATACAGTTTTTTATAGCGTTTACTACTATGGCTGAACTTATAAATTCTTTCCCAAAATTTGTACTCACTGTATTTGTAAACACTGACAGCTAAATATGGCAGGATTTCAAAAGGGTCATTCGGTTCTTCAGGGGATGATATCTTTTTATTGCCTCTAGGAATCTTAATTTTTTTTTTCCTTTCTATCACCAGAAAGAACCACAAGTCCTGGAACAGTTACACCTAAAATTCCTAAAATCCCTGAATCTACACAGACAACACTGGGTAATGATATGTCCTTGGTAGATGGCTTACTTCATTTTGACATGAAAATTCAATGCCTTAGCTTTTGTGTAATGTCTCAGTCTCTCTTCTAATTAGGTCATTTTAACAGTACTGAGAATCTCATAAAGTACAATAGCTTGGTGGCTTTTGTGATTTTCAATAGTTGGCCTCATATCCAGCACATGTGAACTCAGCATCATATATTATCCTGTACCTTGGAAAGCAGGCAAACCACTGCTGCCTTCTCCTCTTCCATCCACCATTGTATGTGAAGTGGAGTTTTAGACACAGTACTCCATTTTTTTTTTTTTTTTTTTGAGGGAGGCCCTCAAGTTCAAATTCAGACTTCTCTTGGAGGAATAGTAGTCTATTATGATGTTAGTAGAATTATTTTGTACTATAGACCATGACATTTTACCTATCAGTGATTATTCATTTTAAAACATGCCTAAAGTCTTGGATATGGCTGAGAAATATGAAGTAAGGGTACAAAATTATTATACTGATTTTTTTTAAATAATGGATTAGAATAATTTCCTTTGTGTAGTTATTGTGGCTATTTGTAACAATGCTGTTTCTGTTCAAATATACTCTTGAAATGCTTTTTCTGAATCAGATGCAAATTTATCACTGTTTCCCGTTAAATACTTGTCTGTGAAAATGTCTTCACATTTTGACTTGTCTGTGAAAATTTCAATTTTCAATTGAAATTATTGAAATTTCAATATTTCAATAATATTGAAAGAATATTCCATTCTTTCAATGGAATATTTCCAAAAAACATCTAAGATGATGCATTCATTCCACTTAAAGTATAGGTTTTCCTTTTGAGGTTTTAGACACTGAAATGCTTAAATACTGATTTTTCAATTATTTTCTTTACTTTTCCAGCTCCCAGTAAAACACCATTTATTTCTTTGAAACCTAAAATTCCTCTCACCCCAGAAGGGACACCCACCAAACCTGGTAATTACCCAAACCTTTTTTTTTTTTTTTTCAATTCCAAAAGTAGGATTAAAAAATTGTTTCATGTCACTCTTTGGAACAAGAACTACTGATTTGTATTTTGTTATTTGATACAATTTTTCCACAGAAAGTGCAAAAATGAAATGCAATGATCTCAATATAACCAGCCCCTCTGATATTATCATAGTGTTGCCCTGAGCTTTTGGGTGGATCATTCTGTTCATGAATATCACAGAGAAAATACAGAAATAGAGTGAAGGGAGTGATTGAGGACTCCCTTGTCTAGGACTACGAAATAATTTCCAATACCAGAGTGGACTGGAATTCTGATCACACTGAACAATAGCTTTTCAGCCTGAAAGGGGAGAAGTGTTTCCAGCCCCTAAAAACTCTGCCCTTGTTTTAAGACTTCTCGTTCTCCAGCTGCAAGATTGGAAAGAGTGGGATTTTCCCAATGCTCCATGATTTACTTTCTGAAATGAAACTGATTTCTGAATACTGACTTTTGTTTATTTCTCAGGCGTAATAATGGTGTTTTGCTGAAGAGAAGAAGGCTCTTTTGCAGGGCAAGGTTATTGCATTTATGTAATTAATAACAGAGATATTCCCCTGCCTTTAGATGGCAGGACATACTGAATGACCAAGTTTTCATTTTTTTTTTTTTTTTCTGTTTATCCAGAGTCTATACAGCAGTTTAAATGTTGACTTCTAGGTATCCCCTTATACTCAGGAAGTCTGTCAATACAAATCATTTTCCTCCAAATTTTAAACTTATCTTCAGGGTTTTTCTCACTGTCACGTTCTATGGATTTTTCACTAATGGGTGTTCACAAAGTACAATCATTAAAACAAACGATTTTCTACATAAATGGGCATGATTTATTTTTTTGCAGTGAAATGGGCAAGGAAGAAAAATGTAATTGCTCAGAAAAAAGAATTCTCAAGACTCCCTTTAAAGAGGCAGTGAGATTTCCAGGTGTAGGTGTCAGACTGGAGGAAATTAGAGATTAGGCAAAGAGAGTGTAGTTGATGCTGTGACCATGGGTGAGGTCTCCCAAGTCAGAGAAATGGAATGAAGTTTCACTCTTACCCAGAGGGGTTATTTGGAGAAAGAAGTACAGCTAATGAAACTCAAGAGCTCTAACAGTTTAAATCAAAGAACTTCGACAGCTATATGAGAGAAGGGCTTAATGTACATTTGTTTAAAAATCATGCTTAGAGAGCTTTGGAATAAGGTTATAACTATTATGCTGTACTTTGAAGAGAAGGTTATTATCTAGTAGATTGGAAAAATATTACCGTGTGTTTAGACCACCAAATTTAAATAAATGTCTCTCTAATCTAAGTATTTCTGTTATTACAAGATAAAATTTAAAAAGACAAGAAAAAAGCCTTCAGATGTTCTTAAGAGTTTAAACATAGTTAGTTACATTAGTAATTTCATTGGTTTCTAAAGAATGATTTATAAGAAATTCACTCATACAAGTAAGGGGAGAGGATGTGTTCTTATTCTAAGCTCTTCGAGCAAAGAGACTTCTTCGATTCGACATTTTCTTTTAACATGTGGCAAATTATTTGGAAGCCAATGAATTTTATATTCCTCTGATTTCTACTTTCTGATCACCTAAGAAAAACCTCGCTTTCCCCCCTCGTATCAAGTATTAGGACTTCAGAATCTGCACCTACATTTACATCCACTTAAGTTGACCACCAGTGGTCTGAGGCAACACAGAGTAATGGATCTCTGCAAAATGGTGCTTGGGTTCTAGCTTTTTAAAATGTATTTATTTTTACTTGAGGGAAGGCCACCATTATAGCTCTGTGGAAGATTTCTGTCACTAGCCAAGGTTCAGGAGAGCAAATAAACCACCAAAACTTTTTTTATTTGAGTGATTCATTGCCTTCCCCAGCCCTCTCCTCACATGCTGCTATTTTTCCATCTCACTTTCCCTGCAGATTGCTTGCTTTTTCTTTGGTTTTCCTTTGTGGTTACACTAACGAGTAAAAACCCACATTGGGTTTGGCTTGTTTTATAAGCATAATCCACTGCTTTCTTGAAAATCCCACCATGTTCTATGTCCCAACTTGTCTGCCTTGTCCAGCGAGAAGTGCTTCCTTCACAGTTAATCTTTAAGATGGTGGTGACATTTGGCTCTTCAGGCTTTTAACAGACTGGAAAGAGAGAGAGAGAGAGACCTCTAATTATAGGTGTTTTTTTTTTAACACAGTTCTCTGACACAGTGGATAGAAGTATAAATTTTTCTCATTGTTAGTCACAAATCTGGGAGCCAGGTGTATTTTTCTCTTGTGCTGAGGTGAGTGGTGTAGTTATTTGCATGCCACTTAACATTTTTATTCCTTTACCCATAATACCTTAAAATTGTAAATTAGAGGAAATCTTGTCAGAAGATGTACTTGCTTTTAATAAACCCTGACATTAGTATTTCTAGGTACAGGTGAATTAGACGCTTAATTGAGGGCCTCCATATCTATTTGGTTTCCATTTCAGTGAGGAACTCAAAAATACAGATTTTTGTTTATAAAATTCATAAGACCACATTTTTTAATCTTTGTAAATTCTAAAAGATGCTACAAGTAGCAAATTTTACTTTTTCACAGTTTAAGAAGGCAACTTGGTAGAAATTAAGACATGAATTACATCCTCAAAATTTCAAAAAGAATTTTTGTTTCCTATTTTCAGATATGGACTTTTTTGACAGTTATTATATTTAATGTATTAATGTACTATTTATTTAGCCTATGTTCTGTAGAATCTGAGACACCCAGACTCCTCCCACCCTCTCTCTTTTTCTCTCTCTTTCTTTCTTACATACATACACATACACACACACACACAAACACACAAACACAAACACAATTTTTGCCTTGCTATGTGTACTTCAGTCTGATATATCACTTCAGCTTTGCAGTTTATCTGTTTTAATCTATTTCTGGATAAGTTCTTGAAAAATGAAAAAAAAAAATTTTTTTTTTTTTTTTGGCCACAGACATGCTAATGAACAATGCCACCTTTCCATAACACCTTGTATCTATTATACATTGCTTTCAGAATAAATGAAAATTCTCTACCTGCAAAATTTTTTGTTATATTTTCTATATTTTAGATACTATAGAGTCTCTATCTACTTCTCCAAATCCTTCCATGGCCCCTAGTCCAGAAACATCATCCTGGTAAATGTAGTCTAAAAAATATAACTGACAAAATGATTTAAATTCTTTTAAGCTGGTTGGTGGGTGCCATGTTAATTAATTTTTCTGTAGGAAAAAAATGACAAAGAATCTTCACTTTTTTCTGTTTTGGAGATTGAGTTCCTTTTTTATCTTCTTCTTGAAAGAAAAGAATTCTTTTTGTTCTGTAGAATAAGAAATCTATTGGATAATCTTTTCAAAAGCACAAACAGATATTGTAACCAAACTATATTCAGCACAAAGTATCATTTACTTACTGCCAATTTGAAAAACATTAGAAGGATTGTTATCTTTCAGAATATTTAAATAATATTGTTATTTAATTTGTTCAGTGTTTGATGAAATCTGAGATTAGTTTTTGACTTCTTTGATTTGCTAACAAGAATGGAATAAATTTCATATGTAAACCAATTTGTTCACCAGTAATAAATACTAGTAAATATGAGGAACTATATAAACCATCAAGGCCCTTTTTACCTTTTTAGACCATATACTCAATTCCTTTTTTTTTTTTTTTTTTTTTTTTTTTTGGTGAAAGAATATCAGATCCAGCCAGGCTGAAAAATCACCCAAAACTAACAGATCTCAGACCTGGCTATAGGTCTGTTGGGTCTCTTGCCTCTTCCTACTTCCTTGGACGAATCTGACCATCCTAATTGAAAACAAATTGGCAGGTGATGGGACACTCTGGCCAGCTTTTGAGAGGCTACCCTGACCTTGCCTTAAAGCTGTATCTCCTCAGGCACTAGGAAGAATCTTCAGAATATTAGGTAGTGGAGAAAATAGCTAAAAATCAACAAAAACCAGAATTCTCAATTTTTACTTTTATTGTGGTTTGTGGAAAGGATGTGGAGTGATCTTTAGTATAATAAGCCATAGAACCTGATTGTTCACCAGTGAGAGAATAGCTTTTAGAGTAAGGGACATTTAATTTTTCTGTCTTAAATGGTGATCTTTAGCATCGCCTTTGATGATAATTATTTTATTGCAGCCCCAGAACCTCAGACTCTACCACCATCACAGTCAACTCTAGTCAACCACCAACTACAGTCAACACAGTTAACTCTATTAATGAAGTTTCCTTTGATGAGTGAAAAAGAAACCTCTTCCTTAGGACCCTTTATGTTCAATTTTGTCCTTACCTTGGGCTTTTTAAGAATTTGTCCTTCAGGTCTTCATTTCAGCCATATGGTCAGATGATACACTCTTTGTTTTTGCTTAACTAAGCAGAGGCTCTAGAAGCCATGCCAATTTTGATTGAACACATGCTCTGTCGTCCTCCTTATATTTGAGCACTGTGTCCCAAGCTTGTTTTAACCTAGTTGTTTCCAGTGGAGGACCTTGGCTTCCCTCTTTCTGTAGACATTTTTGTGTTTTCACATTCAGAGGTGTTTATCTTATTTTCAAAACTCTAACATTCACAGATTTTCTTGAAAAGTAGTAGGATCTTTCCAGATCTAAATATCCTGATGTGTCACTGGGCAATTCATTAAGAGAAATAGAAAAACGAACCCCAATATTTATAGCTTCTTTTTCTTCAGAAGAGCAAGAAATGTGTTCTGCTGGTGCCATCCTGGCCAATTACCCATATTTTCCTTCATAACACAAACTGTTGGTCACTTTAGGGCATTCATGTCTTCCTGAGAAGACATGCCTTCGTTTGTTTTTTTCCATTTCTCCTTCCAAACTTAACTGACAAGACTACATTTTTTTTTCATTTTGTCTAAAAACACAGGAATCTATTTGAATAAAAAAGGACTATCTCACATGGATTAAAGTTTCACTATTTATATATAATCACTCAACTTGGTAATTAGAAATCAAGAATTTTTCATATCTAAAGGTTTTATCATTTTTCCTTTGATTTTGTTTCCTTCCTGATGGTTTTCATGCACTCCTAGCACCTGGAACTCTGGAAACAAAACCTTCGACATTAGGTAATGCAGTTATGGAGCAAATGAGCTTTGTTTCCTCTTTTCCTGTCTGTTGGTATCTTTAGTAATAGGCTCACATTAATAGATTCATCCACTGATATCCCTTTGTGTGTCTGTGTTCTTTGTTCTTACTTGCAGAGAAAAAAAAATTCTTTAGTTTTATAAACTGTATCTCATTTTTAGAAAGCATTCCTTGAAATAATTTCTGAATTCAAAACCTTTCTATACATGCTATTAACTTGTAAAGTTTTTAATGCTAAATGAAAAATTCCTTTTGAATCTTGGGCAAAATGAAGTTTAATTTGTATCCCTAGTGGCTCCTTAAAGGTGTCTTTCTCATGTTCTTGTTAAACATACACCTTCAAAACTTTCAGGAGACTGTCTTCTCTAAGCTTTACAAAGTTTTGAGTTTTCCATCTCAAAATGGAAGAATAAGGAGATCTTTAACATATACATATATATATGTTTTATATATATGTATACGTATTTATATGTATATGTACATGTATATATGTACATGTTAAAGACCTCATTTAACTGGGTAAATGATGATAAAAATTTGCAAAACAGAAGGATATATACCCACAATAAATCAAAGAACTTAAATATGCTTTTAAGATATATTTAGTATTATCAGTTTTTAGAGCTACTGCTCTTGTATTAACTAGCTAATTTTCTTTCTTCAGCTCCACCAAAGACCAAACGACCAGGTCGTCGCCCCCGTCCTAAAACCACACCTAGTCCAGATGTGCCCAAGTCCAAACCTGGTAAATGTGATGTTCAGGGTTCCAGTAAGCATAGAAAATGGAATACGGTAGCTTCTGATATGATAGCTTCCTACTACCCAAATAGCTGGGCTTTAAGAAACAGTATAGTTGATTTTTATATTTAAACATCTATCCTTCTTATGTTTATGATATACTGTTATATTTTATTTGTAACTATTAGGTACACACAGCAATAGGCTGGCCCACAAGTGGATTATTAAAGTAGGGCACCCTAAAAGTCTCACTTGGGATGCATCTTTATGGCAGATGGGGTGTGGGAAAGCAGGAGGAAGGGGGTGAAGGGGAAAAGTAAAAGGGAAAATCACATTCAGAAAAAATAGGGCTTAAGAATGAGGAGTAATATTTCCTTCCTCAAGATGCTGCTGCTTGATATAATTAGTGTTCTTGCTTTTTGCTTCCATAGTTCTGGAACCTGCTACAGTGCCCCCGGAGCCTTTGGTGCCCACAATCGGTAATTCTACTGACCTCCACTTGCTTTCACGGAATGTCACTTTTGCTTTTCCTACTTTCCACCCAGGCATGACTGCAGTTTCACCACACCATCATAATTTCATTCCATGCTTTTCCTTACATTTCCTATCTGGGTCTGAAGAGCCTGAAGATAGGAGATTTCTAGAAGAATCCTACCTGTGTTCTTCTTTAAGGAAAGTCTGTGGTCTTGGATGCAGCTTCCTGGTTCTGCACAAACCCTTTGTCCTTCCATGTCCTGTTGAGAAAACCTTTTCCTCTTTCTCACACAGGGACTTCTGTGCTCATCCTGGACTTGGCAAATGGTGAAATTTTATTCCAGTGCCATGATTATCATTTCATTGCTTTACTCATTCAACTTGTAAGACCTTTTCCCTCTTAAAAAGCTGCATGAAATAATGGCTTCTTCAGCTTTCTGTTTCTTTGAAGAATGCTTTTGAGTATATTTTGAAAATGAGAGGCATAAACACTGTTCTTGTTCCAGGGTCTAATAGGAAAATAATGTGGTCTTTGTACCTTGAGAACATTAGTAGTCCCAAACTTGTTTTATTGTTTTGGGTACTAATGCTATTTGACTATTACTCTTTCATGAAAATTTCTCAGCATTCACAGTAAACCTGCTTTACTTTGGAAAATTCTAGAAATCTGTAGCCATGTGAAATTCTGTATCATTTAGAGTGTTTATGGATTATTTTCTAGGTCTCCTACTAAGCAAGTTTCAAATTACCACTTAATATTTTTATGCTGAATAACCTTAGAGTTAAGAAATGAAACTATTATACTTGTCATCTGTGAAATTACTTCTGTAGAAAAAAGTGTTATCATCGTTCTCATTTCTTTGCTCAAAGGTACATTTTGAACATTTCCTAAAGATTTTTCCTTTCCGAAAAATTAGGAGAAATGGACATATTTCCCACCCTTCCCATACTCCATAAATTAATTTTGTTGTATATCCAGTGAATTTATACAGGATCTTTGCTCAAGCCTACATGTCTTTAATTATGACAGTTACGGCCATGACAATTATTGCTAATTTTTAAACCTTTCTCTTTAGCGTCAAAACCATCCAAAAGACCTAAAACCACACGTAGACCAGATGCACTTCAAATCCAGCCTGGTAATCACTACTTTCACTGCCTTGATCTGTAACTAGGAAAATGGTGTGTAAGTAACACTAATCTTGACATTCACAGCTCTGCTATGACACTAATTACAGGAACTTTTTTCCTTCAGATTCAAAACCACCAAAGCAATTACTTCCTAAACCCCAAACCCCAGCACAACCAGATACGCCACCAACTAAACCCGGTAAAAGTAATTTCCAGTGCTTTAGTTTAAAAAGCTTTTTCTTTGGGAATGTTGTTGAAAACTTTTATAATTTGCCATACTATATGAAGCATAGAAACCCAAATATGATTTTGTCCATTACCTTTTCAAAGTAACCACATTAATTGTTAAATGAACAAACCAATATGTAGAAAGTTAGTCAGTTTCACATCTGATAGTCTGACAGTTTCCACTTTCTTAGCATTTTTAGACTTTGTTTTCTGAATTTGGGTATGTAATGAATTAAAGCCTGATTTTTCTATATCTGGAACATATTTGAAAGTGATTTTAGCATTCACCACTAGATAAGACTGGAAAGACTGACACCGTGTTCATGCTTTGTAGGCAATAATCAGAGATTGGCTTCCTCTAAAATACCTTAATGGCATTTTAAACAGCAACAATTACCTAAGTGATTTCCTATGAAGTAAGAAGATATTTATATAATAGTTCTAAAAATTCAACTGCTTTGCAATTGAAATTTTCTCCTAAGGTTCCAATTAGTACAAAATTCTGATTTAGTAAGAGAGTATCTCTTATAATAAATAAGCTTATAAAGAAGGCAATTTATATCAACTTAGAATAAACCACGTTCTGTATCTTATGAAATAAACATCAGTAAGCACCAGGAAGTTTGGACTTCTTTATTTTTCTTACTTCTATCTGTTTATTTTTTATGATGCAGTCTTTGAGCCTGTTACATTGGAGACCGAAGCTCCCTCCCCAACCATAGGTAATGAGGTCTTCCTTCGTGGTTGATGTCTCTCTGAGCTCACCCTTCTCATCTGTCATTAACTGTATTCTCTTATGTATATGATGCTCATTGATCATTTTATCATTCATTTCCAAAACATTGTTTATTATTTTTAACAGGGAACTTTTCAACATCAAAAGGCATTCTTATTTCTGCTGCTCACTTTATAACCCCTTAATGTCATTCTTCCTTTGATCACGTTCAGAGGCATTTAGATTGCTTGCAGCAATGGACGCTGTCAAGGATTGCAGGGGCTGAGAGCGCATCCATCCTGCAGTCCAGGAAATCTTTGAGATTTCTGCTTTTATGTGTCTGTAATTTATGGTTATGGGAGAGGAGCAGTTAAAAAGCTGGTTGGGGCTAGGGGCAATACCCAACTGTCCCTTTCTTGCAAAAGTCCTTTCCTCTTTGATTCTGTACTGTTCAAATGCACCTGGACATTTCTGCCAACAAATTCATCTTAGACACTGATTTCCCAAGCAAAACAAGGATTTCCTTTTTTGTCTGAAGGCAAACAGTTTTGAATATTGTTGCATCCTGTTGTGTTCACTTTCTCCACCTCTCCTGTAGGCCATGTTTTCCATTAATTTAGAAGATGTTGTCAGATGTGGCTTCAACCAACTCTGCTGGTATTTTAGTCAGCAAAAGACAATCTCTGTACAAATGTTTACATGATAAGATCTTTAATGTTACATTTAGTCTTTTGGACTTACTGAAAAATAGAGATACCAGTTTAAATCCAAGGAGTTACAAATCAGAATTTCATATCTATGCATAATTCATTCATTTCAGAATATTATAGAATTCTAGGAATCCTAGAAAAAAAGTTGAATTATTACTCTTCAGACTTTTTTCTTAATTATCTCTGTTGCCTACTTGAATAATTATTTTCTTTTTTGTTGTTGTTGTTTTTTTAATTTTTTATTTTTTATAAACATATATTTTTATCCCCAGGGGTACAGGTCTGTGAATCGCCAGGTTTACACACTTCACAGCACTCACCATATCACATACCCTCCCCAATGTCCATAACCCCACCCCCCTCTCCCAACCCGCCTCCCCCCAGCAACCCTCAGTTTGTTTTGTGAGATTAAGAGTCACCTATGGTTTGTCGAATAATTATTTTCTAATTATTCATTTCAAATAAATGAATATAAAAAAGGAGAAATAGTAAGAAATAATACCCCATTTATTATGAGGAAAAGCCCCAAGTTTATCTTTTGCGTGACTGTCACACATCTTCAATAAACAGGCTAATTGAGAACATTTTTAAAGATTCTCCTCACCATTACAGTTCCTCAAAACAAATACCAGTGGTGGTGAAAGCCTTCCAAATACTAACAGAAGCTTTTGCAGTTTTTTTTTTATTTTTAAAGATTTTATTTATTTATTTGACAGACAGAGATCACAAGGAGGCAGAGAGACAGGCAGAGAGAAAGAGAGGGAAGCAGGCTCCCTGCTCCCTGCAGGCTCCCAAGTGCCCCTGCTTTTACAGCTTTTAATAGTAATTCAAATATTAGACAATAGAGATGTTTTTGGAACCAAGTTTCCAATGTAGTTGGAATCAGATAATTAAATACAGAAAAAAGACCTCATAGGGATGCAAAATATAAAAGGTATGCCTATTTTGTGAGATAAATGGATACCAGAGTACAGCCAGTAATTGAGACCAAATACTATTTTTACGGTGTTCAGAAATGCTTTTTAATCATTACAGAGTAAAGAAGATTCATTTTCAAGATAATTTTCCTTCTTTTTGTACAGTTCTTAAATTTCTGTTGTTTATTGCTTTTGGTCAGTTCCTGCCACAGACCTTGAACCTGTAACTCTGAGAACTGAGACTCCCATGACAACGTTGGGTAATGATTTTTTATGTCTTAAAGCAAGTGCATTTTCTGTCCATTATCTAGTCCATTCTGCTACTATCTTGGTCAAGGGGTTCTCTTTTTCTAAGGTTTTCCTCATCGCCCTCTCTTGTCACTCAACTATATTCTTCACTTTGAATATTGAAGATGTTTAAAGTAAGTTACTTGGTTAGTTACTTGGTTAAGCCTGTATGCAGCTGGTATAGAGCATCTATCTTCCACTTTATCCAGTTTCTTAGTGCTTTACAGAGCCTCCGATTCTGCTCAGTGTTCTGTGGTAAAGCTAAATTTCAAATACAATTAGGAATGGCTGCTCTATAACATCAATTTTAATTCTGTGGACATTGACAGAAGGTTAAGATAGGCAGGGCATTTTTATTGTCTACCAATGATTTTAAGAAATGAAATGTACTTATTCTAATGTTTAATGGGAGGTATGTCTAAGCCAAATAATTTCTAAGTACAATCTCCCCAAAGCAGGTAAGCCTGGGTCCCTCTCTGATACAGACATGTTATGTTTCTGGGATCAGGATCCTTTTTGAAAATCTGACACCAATAATAATAAGCTTTTTGGATTGTTAGAATAATGTTATATATTCTTTGTCAAAAGAACTATCAGTGGACCGGATCCCCCCAAATTTTCTTGCATATAGATGACAAAATTCCCAAACCAAAGAGACAAATTTATTAAGTCTTAGAAAATCTAGCAAAACTTTAGCAAAACTTTAGAAAACCTAGACCCATGTATCATCCGTTCTTGTGTATCTGGAGTTATAAGACAACATTAACCAGTTTCCTTTCTTCAGCTCCAAAAACTTCACAACGACCAAGGACACGTCGTCCACGTCCCAAACATAAATCCACACCGAGCCCAGCTACATCTCAGAGCAAACTAGGTAAATATGTGGTTCCTGGTGCCTGTGGAACCCCGTGGGATATGATTTTTGGGTGACAGTTTAACTCACCAGCTAATAGCTCCTGGGACCCTTCAGTGTGAAGGCCTGAGTAATAAGAGCTCTGGTTAAGTCCCTGTGATTTTCTTGTGCTTCTCGGTGTCTTCTTGGTACCTTTGTATTTGCTTTCTCTGAAAAATTATATTTTCTCTTTGATTCTGGTTTATCAAAAGCTTACTTAGTTAAGTATATAGCTAGCATATTTAGTTCACTAAGTCACACATATTATTAAGTGCTACATTAGCATCTGTGAAAAATAGAAATAACAAATGACTTCGTTGAGGAAGGAAATTTCTCATGTAGAAACTGTTCATAAATAGATATAAAGGAATATGGGGAGAAGCAACATATTTATTGAGTTTTACCGGCTGTCAGACATGTAGTTAATTTTTAGAGAAGTGAAAGATTCATGAGCCGGTAAGCATAATGAGGACCTCGAAATTTATACAGCTTGTGGATCGGTTGTAGTAATAGACAGGAATAATATAAACAGAGGTGGGGAGGTACCAGATGTGTGGATGATAGCAGAAGAGTAGGAATTAGAAGGGCAACCCGATTGGGAGAAGAGGAAAAAAACAATGTTCACTTAGCAGATGCTCAAAAATTTTGGTCAGTGATGCTACTTTTAGATGGGTCCATGAAGAAGACTTTGAATGATTGATTTCAATGATAGGATTTACAGCATACTCTCCTATCCTCCTGTCAGGTCTTTTCTGCAACTGATAACAGAGAAATGCACTGACAAGTTTTGCATACTGAATGACCCTCCATATCTTGTTCTTTTATATGACTTCAGTTGGACAGAAGTCTTGGTCTTTTTCCAAAGCGGACTCTCAAAAAAAAAAAAAAATCATCTGTTCTTGTTATTTATTATAGTATCTGCTTAAAAATATCAACTATTTCATCTGTCATGATCTAGGGCCTTTTTTCCCAATGAATTATACTTTCACATTCAATTCTCATAATTTTTAATCATAATGTTACTAGACAGATGCCTAAAGATTTTTCTAAGCAGGTTTTTTTGTTGTTGTGTTATCAGATAATATAAAAACAAGAAAGGCTTGGAGCCATGTGGAGATACTAAGGATATAACCATTTCATAAAAACAAATATCTTTGTACCCTCACCTCAGAACTTTAAAATTTTTGCCTTTTGGCTATAAAAACAGTGGCACACAGGTGAAGTTCATTTTCAAGAGAGTGTGAAGACTTTTCTCATGGGTTTAACATTTCTTTTTTCTATTACTTTTGATCATTGCTTGCTACAGCCTCTGAACCTATTACTCCTGGGACATATTTAGGTAATGATCCTTTATGTCCTTTAGCAAGTGCTTTTTCTTATTCACTGTCAAAGTTCTCTGTGGTGCGATATCGATGATGTCATAATTTGTTATCATCCCATTACAGTATTCAGCTTACAATATAAAAGCCTTTCTAACAGAAATGTGTACGGACTCAGTAAAGACCACTATCTGCCCACATCCCAGCTTAAGACTGCATCATGTCAGTCTCAGTCTGTTTAAACAGACTGTTGGTTAGAGCTAAGGTCCGAATATGGTTCTCCATATATCCTTTCCTTAGGCCACCAATGCAATCGATTATGATACCATGAATTTTCTTTAGGCATCTTATTTTCTGTATTTGAAGTTCTCCCTAACTTTTCACTTCATGGATGTTTCAGCACATTTTGTATGCTTAATCTAGTGAGTTACCAGGTGGAAAATCTGCCCAAGCCTAATCATTCTAAATTATAATTAGAAGTGAACACTCTAGTGTGCTTTGAACTTCTCTCTCATCATCATATTTTAGGAGCAATTTGTAACCAGTTTTGGATTAGGGACAACTTTCAAAGAAATAATGGTTCCTCATCTTTATTTCTTAAACATAATTGTATTATAACTTTTAAACTTTGACAAACTCTCAATTTTAAAAGGAAACCTATTAATATACCAAAGAAGAAAATATCAAACCAAAGTAACAAAGCTTTCTTCACTCAGACTGACAGATTTTAGAAAGCTTAGCTATATCATCTTATTCAGAGTTTATGGAACCATCAACATTATATTAACCCTAAATTTTCTTCCTTCAGCTACAACAACAAAGAGACCTCGTCGTCCACGCCCCAAAGCTAAAACCACACCCCATCCAGAAGTACCTCAGCCCAAATTGGGTAAATATGTTGTTTCCAGTTTAAGGAATTCAAGCAGTCTACCCCAATTGGGAACCTAAATTCTGAGGACACCTAGTCTAATATACCATCACAAACAGAGGTTCTTCCTTACCTTTTTATACCAAATGCCATTCTTTTCACTAAGGACTTAGTATCTCAGCAAATGTAGTATTAGCTTCCTTTTGAAATCTGTAGTATGTGTGGTAAACAGACCCTAGAGTGATCCGCTACTCCCCACCCCTCTCTCCTCCCACTCCCATAGTTCTGCCTCTTGGTATTAAACATAGTGTAAGCCATCTTTTCCCTGCTCTTTCCCCCTTAGAAGGCTTAGAAGCATTATTTTTACTGGGAAAATGAATTTTCTGACATTTCATGCACTCACAAAAATCTCTTTGGTTTCTCTCATTGATTTTGGTCAGTTCCTACCACAGTCTTTGAACCAGTTATACTTAGAACTGAGGCTCCGGTGACCACACTAGGTAATGACACATTTTGTCCATCAGCATCTGCTTTTCATGCTCATTTGAAACCCATTTCATCACCTTCATAACCACAGCTGCTTCTGCTTCACAAGACTCGCGTGTCATCCTCTATTATCATTCAGTTGCTTCTTAATATATTGAAGAGCATTAAAACCACTCATTTATTTTTAAAAGAGCCAAGTATGAACTAAGTCTAGAATATGTGTCTGCAATGTAATGCATTTGAATTTATAGCATCTCACCTCCATGTAACCTATTAATCACATATTTTGTTGCTGAGCTTCAAATATATGGGGTTTGGGGATTAGGGTATCTATCCTTGATCTAAATTAAATATTGTCACAGCTCTTACAGTGTGACATAATTCTTGTGGAGATCTAAATTCTTACATTTTTATTTTGTGCATGATTTTGTTTTTTGTTTCGCCATTTTAGGTAATGATGTGGTCTTCTTTTAGTAAAGGGTAAAATAGAAAACGTGCTCAATGCTAATAAATTTAAATTATAAGTGCCATCATTAGTTTAAATTCACCCCATACTTTCTCTACCACCACCATAACTCAGTAAAGGTTTGGAACTTTTTTTCATCTAGAGGTCCTTGTGAGAATATCCTTGGTATATAAACGCCTGTTTCTGTGTGACTTTTGTCTTTCAGAATAGTGTAAATCACATAAAAGGCAGTTGTTGAAATGGAAGCATGTATTTTAACCTCGAAGGAAAAATTTTCTGAAACTTCAGAATTGAGAACAAGTATACTTCTATCCACACTAAGAACACTCTGTTAACCTGAGGTTTTCTTCCTTCAGCTCCCAAAGTGTCTCAGCAAACTCATCATCCACCTCCCAAACCTGAAACCACAGGGAGTCCTGAAGCCCTTCAGACTGAACTGGGTAAATTGGGCAGATCCTGGTGAAGCTCATCCTATAGGTTCCAGAGAAAGTGAAGGAAGAATTTAGAGTTAACAGCCGCTTCTACTCTAGAGTAGCCTGGGAGAACATGGATGGGGGGCTTTAGGTGGCAGTATGAGGGAAATTTCTTATGCTTGTGAATTAGAATCTTCTCTCTAAATGTTTGATTTCTCATTCAGTTTTATTCATCCTTTAAATATTGAAAGTATGTGATGGAATGAAATAGCTACAGAACAAATTATGTTTGGGTAAATAGGAAATTGTTGTTGTTGTTATGTGCCAGGCACTATAGTTAGTACTTCATTTTTCCCCCATTTTTTTCCACTTTTTACAATTTGAATTCAATTAATTAACATATAATGTATTATTGGTTTCTGATGTAGAGGTTATTTCTTGCTAACTACAAAGCGAAGTCAATACTAGGTAATGAAGCTCTAGGGCAGGAGTTGGCAAACATTTTCTATAAAGGGCTAGAGAGTCAATATTTAGGGCTTTGTGAACATATTTGCATATTTTTCTTTTTTTATTTTACAACTACTTAAAAAATGGAAAAAATTGTTCTTGTGTGGGCTATATGAAAATAAGCTGTGGGTGAGACTTGGTCTATGGACCATTGTCTGTCAACCCTTGGTTTAAAGAAACAATAATCAGGGTGGGCCAGTAGTTAGGAAGGACTGAATGTTGTAATCACTGCAGATGTGGATGGCTGGGGAGGAGGCAGGTGGAGAAGTACAAACAAGAAGGACATATGCAGAGGGCCAGTGAGGAGAAGCAGAGGCTTCCTTGAGCAGTTGAGGCTGTCAGGCTTCTAAGTCTTGCTCAGAACATTTCACTGAGGCTGCTGCAGCTAAATGGGCCCAAATGATCAGTTGAAAATGTATGTTGAATATTGCACTTAGGAGTTTGGATTTCATGTAGGACTCAACCAGTATCTGTATATGGTCATGCTTTCCCTGCTTACCCTGCTATAGCTCAGACTGAGTGCCCGTCCCTTATCCTGCTGTTTTAAGATCCTAATCCTAATCCTAAAAGCCTAATCCTATTGGCAAAATTCGTTGTCTCTTTCCAAAAATGAGTTTTCAGCAAGCTTGGTGTGGTCTATTTTGGTATGTTACTTATACTAAGATCATGAAAGAGTGAGACACTTCTGGGGCACTTCACAGGGACAATTGTCTACTACAAAGATAACACTTACTAAGTAATAAATTAATACCCAAGTGCAGAAAGACTCCATATCCCTCAGCTCAGAACATTAGTAGTTTTTGCTTGGTACTCTAGATGCATTATTACTTAGGTACAATTATTTTTGCAGTTCTGAGATTGTATAAATGTTTAACACTTGATTTTTGTTTTTTTGTTATTTTTGGTCAGTTCCTGCTACAGTCCTTGAAGCAGTCACTCCTATGAAAGAGGCTCCAGGGACTGCATTTGGTAATGCCACTTTCTGACCTTCAGCAAAAACTTCCCCTGCTCATTGCCAAACCCATTCCACTCATAGCCACTCACTTACATTCTTTATCTTTGGAGTTGAACATGCATAAAACAAATGACTTCTTGTTCTTATGAGATTCACTCCTGAATCTAGTTCGGGATATCTTCCCTCCCTGTAACTTAACTTTAAAATAAGTTAAAATTTGTTCACGCCACCTTCTATTTTAGGCTTAATCTGAATTCTCTGTTAAGGCAAATTTCATATATTCAAGTGAGCACCTGATCTTGATCTATGCTAACCAAGCAGTGACTGGGAAGTTTCTTAAAATATCCTTTGTGCATAGACCTTTTTTATCTGCCGGTTTTTTGTTAACTTTTAAGGAATATGTTTTTAATAAATTGTCTAATGGATAATGTGGTCAAGGATAGTTAAGTTTAAATAGTAAGCCGCATCCTTAGGGTGACTCTGATTACCCCTTACTCTCAGCCATAGTTTAGAAATGATTCTTAACTTTTTAGTGCAGTTGGGGGACTCTAGGAGAATATGATAAAGGGGTGTCTGCCTGCCTCAGTCAGTGCAGTGTGTGACTCTTGATCTTGGGGTCACAGGTTTGAGCTCTCATTGGTTGTAGAGATTACTTAAAAAATGAAATCTTAAAAAAATTATGATAAAAAATACCAATCTTGACTCTCTGAAATAATAACTTTGTTTTTATGTCAATTTTGCCCCCCAAAGTATCAATAACAGAAGAAGATACAGTAGCATATTAGAGGCAAATTTTCACACTGAAAACATATATTTTATGAAATTCAAGAAAAATCTGTCAAGCTATAGAAAACAAATTTTTAAACCTCATAATTTGCAGAACCATAAACCGTAAAATAACTGAAGGTTATCTTTTTCCACTTCCAAAAACATCCCAAAGGACATTCCATTCACAAACCAAACTTAAAACCCCTCTAAGTCCAGATGAACCTGGGACTACACCAGATGAAAGCTCTGGTTTCAGGATCCTGTGAGACTGTTACTGTTACTGTTACTGGCTGAAAGTGTAAACCCACATACCCTGTAGCAAGGGAATCATGAAGAGTCCTTTCCCCTTCAGGGCTGGCAAAAAGTACATCTTTGGAAGATACATAATGTTTCCTCTAGCTCAGGGTAGTAGGAAAGATGTTTTATTTCATCTTCAGGCTAGTTGAACACAGAACATTTTTCTGCATAAAAAGCCTACAGAAAGAAAATAAGGCAGGGTGTTATTTTTTTTAATTAACACATAATGTATTATTTGTTTCAGGGGTACAGGTCTGTGATTCATCAGTCTTACACAATTCACAGCTCTCACCATAGCACATACCCTTCCCAGTGTCCATCACCCAGCCACCCCATCCCTCCCACCTGCCTCCCCTCCAGCAACCATCAGTTTGTTTCCTGAGATTAAGAGTTTCTTAGGGTTTGTCTCCCTCTCTGGTTTCATCTCATTTCATTTTTCCCTCCCTTCTCTTATGATTGTCTGTCTTTTTTCCAAAATTCTTCATATCAGTGAGATCATATGATAATTGTCTTTCTCTGATTAATTTATTTCGCTGAGTATAAAATCTTCTAGTTCCATCCACATCATTGCAAATGACAAGATTTCAGGTTTTTGATGGCTGCATGGTATTCCATTGTATCTATATACCACATCTTTTTTATCCATTCATCTGTTGATGGACATCTAGGTTCTTTCCAGAGTTTGGCTATTGTGGACATTGCTGCTATAAACATTGGGGTGCATGTGGCCCTTCAGACCACTACATTTGTATCTTTAGGGTAAATACCCAGTAGTGCAATTGCTGGGTCATAGGGTAGCTCTATTTTCAACTTTTTGAGGAACCTCCATGCTGTTTTCCAGGGTGATTGCACCAGCTTGCATTCCCACCAATAGTGTAGGAGGGTTCCCCTTTCTCCGCAGCCTCGCCAGCATCTGTCCTTTCCTGACTTGTTAATTTTAGCTATTCTGACTGGTGTGAGGTGGTATCTCATTGTGGTTTTGATTTGTATTTCCCTGATGCCAAGTGATGTGGAGTACTTTTTCATGTGTCTCTTGGCCATCTGGATATCTGCTTTGGAGAAATGTCTGTTCATGTCTTTTGCCCATTTCTTGATTGGATTATTTGGTTTTTGGGTGTTGAGTTTGATAAGTTCTTTATAGACTTGGATACTAGCCCTTTATCTGATATGTCATTTGCTAATATCTTCTCCCATTCTGTCAGTTGTCTTTTGGTTTTGTTGACTGTTTCTTTTTCTGTGCAAAAGCTTTTGGTCTTGATGAGTCCCAATAGTTCATTTTTGCCCTTGATTCCCTTGCCTTTGGCAATATTTCTAGGAAGAAGTTGCCGTGGCTGAGGTCGAAGAGGTTGCTAAGGCAGGGTGTATTTGCAAATTGAAGATTTTGGGGGTATTTCAACATTAAATGTTAGACTCATCATATAAGGTCTTAAGGAAGTAAAGCATCATTTTGGAGCTTGGTAGATCAGGGAAGGAGTTTAAGTCTTGATGTCACATCAGAATTTGTACAAGTGGACAGGTGAGAATGAACGAAGACAAGAAAAAAAAATAGGATATATATAGAAGAAACCAGAGGGGCAGAGGATCTGCTTATTTGAAGTGTCCATCAAAAGCTCTTGTTGGTGATTCCACATTTGGATAATACCACAGAAAATTGAAGGAGGGCTTGAATGTTCCATTCAGGAGTCCAATGTTGTTCTTATGAGCTTCAGAATCCTTTTCTTTCCACACTGGATGATGTTTTTCTGGTACTGATAGTGTATGGGTGCTTTGCTGAATGCCACAGACTGTGAGTGGGTGCTCCTTGCCCAGTCCTCTTGAGTACCTTCCTTTGGACACAAGTCACAAGATCTTTCCAAAGCTGAGTTCTCAGCAAGGTCATCATACCCATTTTTGGTTATTTGTGTAATGGCTGCTTGGATCTTTAGGAACCTTTTCTGCAACCATAATGTGATAAACATAGTAGATATCTTCTTTATTCAGCACCCACTAAAGTGCAAGTTAGTATTTTACTTGCTTTTCAAGATGATTAGGAATGTATTTAAGTAAAAGCCTAAAAATGTCCTAGAGTCCACCATGTAGATTCAAATAATCAAGCATGAACTAGTTGAACTGTTTCCCTCTTGTGGTGCTAAACAGAGACTACAAGTAATGACTATCTCATAAGATGTAGAAGTCCTCAACTATAGTTTAGCCAAGTCTGGACCAAACAGTTGGTTTCCCTTTGTATTAGCTTGTTAAGGCTGCCATAGCAGCATAGACTGGGTGGCTTGAACAATAGAAGTTGATTTCTCACAACTTTGGAGGCTGGAAATTTAAGATGATGTTATCAGCAGTTTTAATGTCTCCTGAGGCCTTTCTCCTTGGCTTGTAGATGGTCTCATTTTGCTGTGTCCTCAACATGGCCTTTTCTCTGTGTGTGAGCCTTCCTTGTGTGTGTCTCTATTCTTATAAGATCATCAGTCATACTGGATTAGGGACCTACTCTTACAGCCCCATCTAATCTTAATTGCCTCTTCAAAGCCCCTATCTCCCCTATCTCCAAACACAGTCACATTTGGGAGTTAAGTCTTCAACATAGGAATTTGGGGAGACACAGTCACAGTCCCCTAGATGTAGAAATAAATTAAGAGTTCTAGATGAAATGTTACACTGGCAAAATACATCTTGAAGTGAATTTCATAACTCCTTATACATTTTTTAAAAACCTCTTTTGCTTATTTTATTACTTCAGTTCCCGTTACAGACCTTGAACCTGTTACTCTTAGAACTGAGACACCTGGGACAACATTAGGTAATGATTCTGTGTCATTCACCAAATGCCTTTGTTGCTCATTGTACATTCCATTCAGTCTCCATCTCCTGGCTTTTCCTCTCTCATGAGACAGCCACCATCATCTTCTGTTGCCATTCAGTCACTTCATCTGACAAATCCTGAAGCCTCTTAAAAACAAGTTTCCTATTGTTTTTATGAGAGCTGATCTTAGCTTAATTCAAAACATTGCTTTCACTGGTACATTTGCATTGTCATGTTATCTCGTGCTTTGTTAAACAGTGCTCTCTGTTAAAGCCAAGTTTAAAACAAATTGGGATCTTTTTCTTATTTAGGCTGATCAGAGGTAATAGCCATTCTTAGGGTCCTTTGTACATTTAGGTTGCTAAGTCTTTAAAAAACTATTTACATGGTATGTTTGTTTCTTTGTTGGTGCTTTAAGTAATGACATGTTTTATTACTAACTTGACATATAGGAAATTACCTAAATCCAAAATTTTAAATTATAAGCCTTTTCCTCAGTGTGACCCTAACTGACCCTCCCTTGCAACAGAGTTGAGCCTTCCTTCTCATTTTTTTCCCCAATGAGGAAATTCTGTGAGTGTTTAATTATAAGTGTTAATCTTCATGCCTTGAATGAACAACTCAACCACACACATGAATTTGCCTCAAAGTACCACCAATGATAAAAAGAAGACACATTGGCATAAAAAGATTAAAAACATTAAATAACAGAAAATTTCCTGTAACTTTTGAAAATCTGACAGCTCTTGGAAAAACCGCTCCTCAGAATCCAGAGCCTTAACACCTAGAGTAACACAAAGCTTTTCTCTCTTCAGCTACTAAAACAACACAAAGACCCCATAGTCCATGTCCCAGACCTAAAACAACACCAAGCCCTCAAGTACCTCAGACTGAATCTGGTAAATGTGTGATTCCTTAGTTTAAGGGTGAATCCAAGTAGTCTATCCCCATGAGAACCCCAAACAGTGCCAACCTATTAGTGGCTCAAAGTGTGAGGTCATGGCATGGTCAGTAATGTCTGCTTTGCCCAGGTGTCAGAGAATGTGGCTGGGTGTGATATATTTGGTGCTACAATATCTTACTCTATGTGAGAGTCTTCTCTGATATGCATCTAGTATATTTCTTGCCATCAACTTCCATTCAAATTTTAATGATAAATCTTCTTTATCAGAGCCAATATATTCTGTTCAAATAAACAAAAAATTATAAGTCCCTTGCATATTTCTGGACCAATATTGGTAATTGTGGGTGATATGCCAGCTGTGGGAGATTTTCTAAAACAGTAGAGTTGGGTACATGTTTGCATGATACATTAAATACTGACCTTGCAAAGGAAAAGATCAAAGTCAATTAGACTTGGACCTTGGGCTTACTACAGGATTTCAGTGAATGGAGGAAGAGTGAACCATGGCAGAAGGTCTATACGAGTAAGGTGGTAAGGGGTTAACCACAATGACAGTCCAGTGTGCCCGAAACAGACTGTCTTACTTCCAGATGGCCAAAACAAGTTTATTGATGATGCTGCGTTTGGAAGAGTCCAGAGAGCCTACTGAAAGAGGATTTTGAGGACCTGATTCAGGAGCTTAGATTTGATACAGAGACCTCAGTGGTCTTTGATTTCTGCTTTATCTGGTCTTCAGCCAAACAGATGCTCTACTGAGTATTACAGACTGAATGACCATCTTTATTCTGCTCTCTTATGTGCCATGGTTTGGAAAGAGTTCTCAGACTCTTTCCATACATGAGTTCTCAGAATGGTCAACATAGTCCACTTCAATGATTAACTTTTATATCTGTTTCAAACTTAAAAACTGTTTATTGTATCCATGTTTACTTAAACAAGTAAGTACACATTTTCAGCTTCCACAGAAATACAGATTGAGATCAGATTTTTTTTAAGAAACAACTTCTTTTCTAAGTGTATGTTAGGTCAATGAATAAAATATTTTCTAGTGCAGAGTTATCAGAATCCATTAGCTAAAACCTAGGAGAATTTCATGTTGACTTCTTTAAGACAATCAAGATAGTTCAAAGGCTAAACCTAAGACCAAGACTATAGTTTGGCCAAATCTTCAAAGAACAACCATCTACTCTTTCCTTCATTTAGGAATGAAGGAAATTAATTTTTTAAGGAAGGAAGCTAATTTTTTTCTTTGTTTTTGTAGAAAGATTGGTACATAAGTAGGTTTGTTTAGATGTGAATGTTCTTACTTTTCATGTGTTTTAAAATTTCTTTGGTTTACTGTATTTGGGGGGCAGTTCCTGCTACAGTTCTTGAACCTGTCACTCTTAGACCCGAGACCCCAGAAACAACATTAGGTAATAATATATTATCTTTTCAACAAGACTTACTCTGCTTTTGTCAAACCCAGAGTTTCATTTTGCTTTATGTGACCATATGTCATTCTTCTTGGACATTCATTTATATTCTTAAAATTATGAAAACTCTTAAGTTTACCTGCCATTTTAAAGAGAACCAGTCATACATGAATGTACTTCAGAACATTTATTTGCCAGGTAACCTATTTGAAATTTTTTCACATTATTTTTTGTTTTATCTAAGCAGTGTTGGTTAAAAAATGGTTCTCAAACATACTATGGCTTTTTACCTCTTCTCTAGACAGATAAAGCCAAGAAATAGCAATCATGGGGCCAGGAAGATCCATTTATTTCACATTTTGTTTCTACATTTTTTTCTATTTGTGTGATATTGTTTTGTTTATATTTAGGTAATGACATGTTTTTGTTTTAGTAGTTACATAGAAAGTGTGGAAAGATGGGAAAATTGAATTCTAAATCTTGGGTTTAATATGACCATCCTTCATAATACATTAAAATTTAGCAGTGGTTCTTAACCTTTCTGTTGCCCAATCAACCTGCTCTATGACACTTTGATTATGATTACTAATATTTATTTCTTGAATTAAAAAGGGATTTTTTTTCTTCAAAGAATCTTCTATGGCATAAGAATTATATACAGGGTATACATGACAAAAATCTCAAACTAGAAGGACACATGTCTAAAAGTTCTAGAAAATCTAGAACCATATTTTCACCTCTCGTTGCTTCCAGAACAGAGGTAATGTAGTTGTGTGATAACCCTAGAATTTCTTCCTTCAGCCTCCAAAACATCACAACAGACACGTCATCCACGTCCCAGACCAAAAACCCCACCAACTCTTGAAGCATCTGAGTCCAAACCAGGTAAACAAGTGTTCCTGGTTTAGAGTTGCAGTAGCCTAACCCAGCAGGGGCTCAAGAGTAATCCCAGTGTGTGGAAGTAACAAATAGGCCCCATAAAAGTAAAGATATAACTTGTGTTAAACAGCAGTTCCCACTGTAGAGGTGGCAAAAGGAACACAGCAGGGGAAAATCTGTGGAGCAACTGAATGCTTCATGCTTCTAGAGTGAAATCTTCTCTGTCACTGTGCATTTAATTAATTTCCATTTATATACTGAAAATAACACTTTAGAAAAATTGGGCATATTCAGTTCAAATTAACAGATAATATCTTTAGTATCCCTGGGTAATATTAGCAAATTTGGGGGTATAAATTAGGTGTGGGAGACATGTTTTAATCCTCAAACATGCAATAAGTTGAGAACAAAAGGCTTCATAAATAAGATAGAAGATGGCACTGGACAGCATGTATGCAAAGACAAGATCAAGATTGATTTCTCGTTGCTATCAACAAAATGTATTAGGTACATAAATGTGTAGATTTGGAAAAGATAGATTAAGAAACTTAAATGGAGCCTTGAAACCACCGTAGTACATGGATAAGTAGAAAGGTAGGAATATGGGGTGCCTGAGGGGCTAAGTCATTAAGTGTATGCCTTGGGCTTAGGTCATGATCCCAGAGTGATGAAGTTTAGCCCCATGTCCAGCTCCCTGCTCAGCAGGGAACATGCTTCCCCTCTCCCACTCCCCCTGCTTATATTCCCTCTCTCCTCTCCCTCCATCAAATAAATAAATAAAATCTTTAAAAAAAAAAAAGGTAGTAATAAAATCAGAAAGAGTGAGTATAAGTGAAACCAACCAAAGGAGAAAGTCTTAACTGTAGTACTAGTATAAAAGATGTCTGACTAGAGAGTGATAGTCAAATCCTTCTGAATCTTGATTAGTCTATGGATTCTCACAGTGGAGATTCTTAGGCATCTGATGGAGTAGTTGAGATTTGATCAAGTGGATATCAGTAAGCTCTTTGTTGCACATGAAAGCATATTTCTTTGCTTAGAATGAAGGGGTAATCTGCTCAATTCATCATGCTGTAGCTCCACTTTCCTCCCAAAGTTGTTAGCAATATACGCACATCCCATTTTGACTTATTAGTTAAAATTAGATCATCAAAGGAGGAATAAGGAAATCGTTACCTCACTTAGGTATGGCCAAATTTTAGGAAATCAGAGGTCTACGTTTTTTAGTTGAATAGTTTTTAGAAGTTGCTACATAGTTCTAGAAAGTATATGATTAAGATAAATTTTGAAATAAATGTTTTTAGGGTTTTTAAAATTTTAAGCAATCATTTTGTTTATTTTTAATACTTTTGGTCAGTTCCTACTGCAGACCTTGAACCGGTTGTGTTGAGAACTGAAACATGGGTAACAACACAAGGTAATAACATGTGCTCCTCAGTAAGTGCTTTCCCTTCTGATTCTCATACTCACTCCATCAACATCATAGATACATGTTCTTTTGCTTCATAAGGACTACATTGTCCTCTGTTGTCACTCCATAAAATTCTTCATCCTAAAAGTTTTGAGAACGCTGACTCTTAAAACAAGTTGTCCCTTGTTTTTAAGAGAGCCATGCATAAACCTAACTCAGATCATCTGTTGTACAAGTAACCATCTAAAATTGTTCCGTCATCTCATGTGCATTTTAACCATGTTTTATTAAAGCTGGGTTTAAAAAGCAGTTCTTTTGACTCTACTGAACTGTTATGGTATCAGGAAGTTTCTTTATGCATCTGAAGTCCTCCTTTTTTAAAATTCTCTAATATCTGTCCTTTGATAAACATTTTAGTTAATTATATGGCCTTATCTTAGTAAACTATCACAGAGTTTGTATCTGACCATGGCTGCCCCATAATATTTCTGCAGCAGGACTTACCTCTTTTGTTCAATAGAAGAGATCTACGAACACTACTTCAGTTCTTGAATTAATAACTTAATTCTGTATGACTCATTCTCAATGAAATTGCCTTTATAAAAGAATGTATACTATTAAGGGTGAAAGTTTCAAACTGAAAGTTTGAAAAGACAGATTTACTAATGTAGTAAATTTAGAAAATCTGGAGTCATGTGTCATGCTACCTTTAGCTTCTAAACTATGGACTCTGTAGTAACCAAAGGTTTTCTTTCTTCAGCTCCTAAAACATCAAAACGGACCCGTCGTCCACGTCCCAAACATAAAACTACACCAACTTCTGAAGCACCTAAAAAAAAACTGGGTAATTGTGGGTTTCTGGTTAAAGGAGTAGTCTTAGCAGCTCTTGGGAGTCTAGGATTGATGCCAGAGGGAGAAGAGATAGCCCTTGTGATCCCAGTATTGGTGAAGGCACTAGTTGATCTACACTGATCCCACCATTGACTTAACAAAGGAGAACATTGTTTGGGAGACATCTGGATGTCTTTGGGAGGGAACTGGATTCCTTGTGCTTTGTGCATAAAGATCTTCTGTTTTAGTATATATTTTATTTACTCTTGCTTATTTCATTCCATACTTCTCTAGAAGACAAAATGTCTTAAATAAAACCAATCATTTTTATTTCAAGAAACATTAAGTGCCTTTCATTTCCCCCTAGAGCTACATCAACAGCTGTGAGGATATCACAGATGTAGATTGCTTCTTTTTACTTCTCAGTCTGTAGTATACTCAAAGTCAAAACCTGCCCCAATAGGAAATATTCAAAGATTGAACCAAGGCAATGTGTCTGTGCTGATCAAGATTATTTTTTTGCAGGTTTTATGAACATCTATGCATTTAAAGAGAGAGAAGTTTGTGAAGGACAGGAATAAGAAGTTAGGAAGAGAGTGGGAAATCTTAGAATTGAACTGCTTTTTAGAAAGCAGGTATTGAGCCCAGCTAGAGGACACAGGTCTCCTGGAATAAGGGAAGTTCTGCTTCTAAGTGGTAATGAGTAGTGAGTTTAGAAGGGCTTGTAAGAGCAGCTGAAGAAAGTTCTTGAAGGTATGACTCAGAAGTTTGAATCTGAACCTAGAAGCATTAGTGGTCTTTCCTGCAACCTCTTCCACATATATAGGGTACAACATTTTTTTGTGTAGAGCAGAGAGCTGCTCTAGTTGGCACCACACACTGAGTGGTTGTTCCTTATCCTAATTAGCTGAATACCTTTGCATCATGTGAGTTATAAGACTATTTCTACTTACGAGTTCTCAACAAGATGAACATAATTCACTTTGCTTTGTTCTTTTCTATGCCTCCTTTCAAACATAAAGCCATTTACTGTATCCATCTTATTTAGACATCCTATCTCCTTAAAGCTTCCACAAAAAAGCCAACAATTGCCAGAACGCTTTTATTAGTATATATCTGGTAAAATGTTTAAACAAGTTTCCTAGGGCAATAGTTGGAATTAGGTACTTAAACGACTAAGAGAATATTGTATTGACTTTGAGATGCTTACCAGATTATGTAGGCTTTCACTGACTATTTCCTAAAAAAAATGTTTACTCGGTTATACAGTGACCAAATCTTTAAGTACTTAATTTCAGAAAAAAATTTAATTGCTATACATTTATTGAAGCAGTGTTATACTGGTTAGAATTAATTTGCTGACTTTTCACAAGTGTTTATTTCATTACTTTTCATTAGCTCCTACTACAGATCTTGAACCTGGCCCTCTTAGAACTAAAGCTCCAGAAATCGTGGGTAATGAGAATATGTGTCCCTCAAAAAGTGCTTTTCCTGCTCATTGTCATACCACTGTAGCCACAGGTCCTGCTGCATCTTAAAACCATTTTAACACCCTATGTTGTCTTCCATTGCAGTCTTCATCTTGAAATTATGCTAAACTCTACATCAAGTCGTGTTTAAGTTAAACTTAAGAAAACTGTGAATATTCTATTTTCAAGGCACTAAACTGCCGTGTAACTTGTTCATTGTTGTTTCATGTGATCATATGTATGTGCTGAAACAGGATTGACTACTTTAAGCTTTGTTTCAAACATGAACTTCCACCTATCCCTTATATGCCCTGCTTGTCCTTCATTGATTGCAGAAATACCATGTTCTTTAATCATATTACTTTTTATTGTATTAAGATTTGTGTGATTCTATTGATGGATCTGTTTTTTCCAAAAATGATGTTTTTAGTTAATTATCAAAATTATAATTGTGCCTAAGTCTTGAAAGTTTATATGATAGGCTTTCATTATAGAGTAGGATGCTTCTTTCTTCTTTGCTAAGAGGGTTTAACAGTGTTTGTTAACTTTTCTTGAGTCAAAGACTACTTTGAAACATTGATGATCACACTGTTTTATGTACTGATCCTCATGCTCTCAAATAAATAAGTTCATTATTATATATATGATTATTTAAATAATAAGCATTTGTCTCAACTTGTACAGAAGTACAAGTAGACTGACATACTTTTTCCAGTAAAGTTAGAAAAGTATAAATATATATAAATGTGTAAAAAAGTTTGCTTAGCAAAATTTTACATATTAAAAATAATCAGATAATCAAAACTTCTAGGAGAACTTCTTAATGATCACAGTGATATTTAGCAGAGTACGATGTTGTACCTATCTTGTGAGATTAATGGGTGCTTTGCCAGAGTGTGGTCAAATCTTCAGAGTGCTTCTTTTCTGTCAGACGCGAAGTTTAAAAATTGACTTTTGCAGTTAGTCTTCAAATGAATTTTTAAAATATCTTTGGTTTATTATTTTTTTTACTAGTTCCTCCTACAGCCCTTGAACCCATCACTTTTAGGACAAAGACTCCCGAAACTACATTAGGTAATGATATTCTGCATTCTTCAACAGTTTTTTCCTGCTTATCATCAACCCACTCTATCATAATCATAATCACTTTGTCACCAGCTTTATAAAACTATCTTGTCATCTGCTGTCCTTCAACTTTATTTTTTTTTCTTCTTAAGGGCTTTTAAAACTCTTAAAAGAAGTCTTCTATTGTTTTTGACAGTTATGCATGGACCTGGGAATATCTGTCAATCATGTAATCTTGAACTTGTATCATGTACTCTTGTCTAAACTGGGTTCAAATTTAAACCTGAGTTTCAAAGTCGGTAATGTCTGTATCTTCTCCTGACCAAACAAATCATGACAGCTCACATGGTATTACAAATTCTTTGGGACAGTTCTATTTCTTGGTATGAACCTACAACCCTACTACCTACAGTGTGGCTAGAGTCCTTACCTATTTTTAAAGCTAGACATTTATGAGATTGCTCACTCCTTGACTTGACTCTGTGTGTGAGATTTGTCTCTCAAGAATCTTCAGTGCTTAAAACAATAGTTAACAAAATAAGAGAAAATATTTCAACCTTGAAATATATATGCCTTGAACTTCAAGGCAATATAATGTATTTTAGAAAATGTTGAGTCTTATTTCCAAAACTGTCTTCACTGGAGTAATCTGAAGTTTCATTCTTCAGCTCCTAAAGCAGCACAACGAACCCGTCGTCCACGTCCCAGGCCTAAAACCACATCAAGCCCTGAGGCAACTCAGACCAAACAGGGTAAATATGTTATGTCATGGTTTGAGGGGTGAACCCTAGCAGTCCGTCTCAGTGGGGTCTCAAGGAAATGTCTCTGATGGAAAGTAATAGTCTTCATGTTCCCTAAAAGTCAAAGAATGAATTATGGTTAGCAACTAATTCTTGACTGAAATTTTTGATCTCTTTAAAGATGTGTTAACAGCAAGATTGGCATAATCAATCATATTTATTTATTGCTATATTTGCACTTAAAAACATGATCTATTTATTTTGGTCATGATTATATAAGCATAAGTATCTTTTTCAGATTTCAAAAACAGCAACAAGTTACTTTCATGCATATTTTCATATCTATTGCCTAAACAACATTTCCAAAGCAAGCTTTCATATTGGTTAGAATCAGAAAATCAAACACCTAAAAAAACCTCATGCAGAATTTAAAGTTTGTGACTACCTTCTAGAACGGATAGTCCCCAACTAGTATGACCAAATCCTCAAATAGAAATTGCTTCCTGTCAATTCAAAAGTTTAAAAAAAAATGTTTGTCATTTGAAACTAATGTTTTAAAAAAAAATTAAGATTTTCTATGTGTGTTTAAACTTTCTCATGTTCATGTTGTCGCATTTGGTTAGTTCCTGCTACAAGCTTTGAACCTGTTATTCATAGTTCTGAGACTCCAGAAACAACGTTAGGTAATGATTTTTGTGACTGCATTATATGCTTTTTTACTCATTAAAAACCTACTCCATCATTGTCATGGCTAGGGTTGCTCCTGCTTCCTTAGACTGCTGTTGTTCTGTTTCCTACTTACCTTCTGGGTAGTCAAGATTCTTAATTTAAGTGCTACCTGTTGTTTTTAATTTTTTATTTTTTAATTAACATGTAATGTATTATTAGCCCCAGGGGTACAGGTCTGTGAATTGTCAGGTTTACATACTTCACAGCACTCACCATAGCACATACCCCACGTGAGGAAATCTATCTGCCGTGAAACCCCCTTTAAAATTTCATTACCTGATCCGGGGCTACAAAATGATGATAATTAAAGATCATGAAAATTTTCTGAGCAACTTACTTTCTATGAGATTTTTGAGACAGTCTCATTTTTCCCTTCCTATTTTAAAAGATGATTTATCCCTCTTAAATTATCCCCCCCCCCCCCCCCCGCAAAAAGAAATGCTTCCTAGAAGTGCTAATCCTAGTAAATATAAGTTACAGGCTTTCCTCACCATGGATGAATTTCGTTATTCTTTATCTCCCACCACAGTTTAGTATTGGTTCTTAATTTTTACTAAGTAGGAATCTCTGAGTATCTAATTATATCAGTATCTATTCCTATTCCTTAATTAATATTTTTTTATATTATTTTGGTTCTCAAAATACCCTCAGTAGTGATATGAAGCAAATTAGTAAAGTAAAAAATTTCGAACTTAGGTAATAAACTCAAGATAATTTAATATGTTTTAGAAAACATAGGCCTATGTACAATGCTTTTGATGGTTTCTGGACCTAGAAATACAATAACAACCCAAGATTTTCTTCCTTTAGTTTCAAAAATATGAGGGAAAAATTCATTCTCCTCCCAAACTTTAAACTTCCCAAAGTTTCACAGTTGAAACCAAGAAAGTCAATGATTTCTAGTTTGAGTCCTTCCAGCTTATTGCCACTGGATCCCAGGATTGACAGTAATGTGGCTTGTTAACTTTCACTTCCCAGCTCTATGCCTTCTAAGAGAAAAGAGACACAAATATTGATTAGCATCTTTACAATTGCATGTTAACCAGAAGGTTCATGGTTAGGGAAGATCTAGGGTAGCCAAAATCATCATGTGCCCTGCATAAAGATTGTCGCCAACAAAAGATGCATCTCGTTCTATTCTCCTGCCATTTCATTTATCTTTTTAAAAATTAGCAATACTCCTTTGGCTTAGTAAATAAAAATTTCCTTGCCTTCTGTGTTCCCGGCACCATATTAACAGTTGAGTGGAGTGAGGTGAGGTGAGGAACAGAGGTAGAGATCAAAAGTAAGAACATGTTTTACTTCTTGAAAAGAAGACAGTGTAATTGTGAGGAAACCTTGTTTCCAAGGGGTTTCTGTTGTTTTTTTAGATATAAGGCAATTTGCTTACACAAAAGCAATTTGTTTAATAGAGTGGTAAAAATATAGAGAGAAAATACTTAAGTCAAAGTTCTGTGTGGACTGATAAGAGTTGGGCTTTAAAATAACCAATTTTTTTTGCATTAGTAGATGGAAGGATAGGAATAACAAAATAAAAACTCAATACCTATGGAGGTTACCCAACGGGGGATTCAAACTAGAACACAGAACAAAGCACTCCTAGATGGTACTAAACATTTTGGTAATGACAATATCATAAAATCAGTGGTAGGAAGCTCTTAGAAAGCCCTTGTGGGAATTCAGATTCAGATATAATAGTAAGAACCCATTTTATTTTCAAATTTTTATGTAACAATGTCAGATTGTAAATCTTTTATACTTTGTAGGCCATTCAGTGTCAGTCACAACTACTTGATTCTAATGTAGTATCTCAAGTGAAGGCAACCAAAACCAATATGTAAATGATATGTAAATATACCTTGAATCCTATTAGTTTGTGGGTGTGGTTGTGTTCCAATAAAGCATTACTTGGATTTTATATCATTTTCACATGTCATAAAATATTACTCTTCATTTTTTTTGCATCATTGTAAAACACAAAATCCATTCTTAGCTCACAGGTCAGGCAAAGGGCTGGATTAGGAGGACCATAGTTTTCCAATTGCTGCTTTAAATAATGTATACTCCGCATGGCTCTCCATAACCCTATGATTTTGAAGATCTATGCATTTCAGTTCATTGCTACCTTTATCTAAAATCTGTGAAATATCCAAAATTACTTTGACAACTTAGATGCTCTTCTTTCAGCTCCCACTGAACTGCAAACTCTTATTTTGAAACCAGTGACATCATCAAGCCTAGAAATGACACAGAGTCAACCTGGTAATTAGACTGTTTTATCTGTCTGGGTACATTGTAAGCTTCAAGGGACATATTCCAAGTGTTGATTTCCAAATGTAAAAAAGCAAATAATACATTTAATAACTCCATATATTGTACATGCTCTTTCCATGACTACCTATTGGTATTAACTTAGTAATTTATAGTAATTGCTATTCAACTGCTTAATATACTTATCTTCATTTTATTGTGTTTACTCTGTATCACATAAAGAATAATCAAGTATGTGATTAAGTAGTCAGTAAACCACTCAGAAGAACTGATTTTATTCTTCTTATTTTTCACTAAAGTTTACAAAATTCCTCTTTAGGAATAAATTAAATTTTTGTTCTGCTATGTGAAAAGAATGCTAGTTCAGTTGCGACCATCAAGGAAAGTGAAAGTGCTCACTTCAGTAAAGATAACAAAACCAACCTATACAACATGCCCTTCAAAATTAAAAACAAATATTTTAAGTTAGCAATGAAGTTGCTACCCCTGACATATATTTTGAAACATAAGATCTTACGTTTATCTAGTACAGGATTATAATTTCTTTTCATCTCCTTTGTGCATCCGTAATTAGTTAAATGGCATTTTGGGGCTCATGAACGGTGTAAGGTATGATTGTTAATTGTTACCTACAACACTTAGAAAATTGTGACTTTAATTCAGTTGTTGGAGCTTCCCTTAGTATTATTAATAATATTGTTATTATCATAACAGCCAACATTGAGCATCTATAAGTGCAAGACACTTTTCTAAATATTTAGTTTGTATGCATTCATTCAATGCTGGCAATAACCCTCCTTGATCAGTTGTATCATTTTGTGTTCTTTGCTAGTTTCTGAAGTCCTGGAATCGATTACATTAAGCACTGAGTCATCAAAGGAAGCTCTAGGTAAAAATGTTTCCCAATGAGAAGTCAAATATATGTGCTTTTCCATCTCATTGCAGAAGTCATCTTTGGATGACCTCACAGTTTGTGACATTTCATAGCTCCTCACATCTTGCCTGGGCTCATCCAGTGAATCTTAAAAGTCGCATGTTACATACAGCACATTGTGCAAGTGCCTGCTGTATTTCTATGCAAGTTTCACAATTTCCTTAACTCCCTTTCACTCTGAATGTAAGATTTAATTTTTTAATATTCTAATCATTCTTTAAATATGAATATGCACATCTTAGTTTTCATGTTTATATTCTATTTAGGATTCATCCCTATGCTTTTCAAGGACTCACTCTTTGTCTTTTTCTTACTAGAATCCTTAATCAAAATATGTAAGGAAGCGACATTACCTGCTTTGCTCCAGGTAGAAATTGCTGAAGACACTGCCTGTTTTGGTGTGTGTGTGTATGTGCCCACACTGAACACTGCCTTGATTTTCTGCCTTCATCTCTGCCCTCTTAAATTGCAGTCATCTTCCTAATCTACCTGAGTGTTATGTATTCTCATGAACGCATTGACTTAAGATAACTAACCTCCGTTTTCAAATTAAATACAGTGTTCTATGACAGTGTGTAATGGTCCACCCATCACTAACCAGCCATTCCCTGTTTATTCCGTAGCACCAACTGTAACAGATTATCTGTATCCCTCTGCCAAAGCACCACTCAGTCCAGAGGAAACAAAGACTGGAGGTGGTAAAAGTTTTCATGCTTTGATTCATTTATTCAACAAAGTCTTAATTAGCATCTGTTATGCCCATGGAACATGGAAGTTCAAGCTGTGGTACTTGTTCTACAGTTGAATTCATTTGAAGAGCAGTAGCTTCCAAAGTCCTTAGAGTGTTCAAACTACAATGATAAATGATCTCTGAATACAGAAATTCTGGCTTCTCTGTGGTATCAAAATATTGAGGCATAATAGCTTTTGACAGCCAGTTAATGACAATTAAAACATTAATATTAGTTGGAAAATTAGTATGACAGAATAGGATTTCCCCTTTGGTTATCTCTCTTTTCTTCTCTAAATCCGTTGTCCTAGCTGTAAAAATATTATGCAGATTCCTAAGAGAATGAGGTGTGCTGATATCCAAGAAGGAAATAGTTGACTATAGCTTAGCATCTTGAAGTTTTCTAAAATTGTTCTCCTTTGTTTTGATACAGTTGTGGAATCTATTACAAATGTGTCTGAACCACCCGAGACCACACTAGGTAATGACATACACCACAGCAGCTTTTGTCCTCATCACCACCATCACCTGACAACCTCAGTTTCTCTTTCATTGTGAATTCATGTTGCAACATCATTCTTTTTCACAGCAGTTAATTTTCTTTCTAGGTGCTTCTATTCATAACCATTGTCCAAAAAGTCTCTTCTGTTTTTTATCTAGATGTTGGTCTCTTTCTGTACTTAAGTCAGTGAAACTGTTGAGCCTAAAGCATCTTTTTCCTAACATTAAACATTCTGCCAGCTTGTATTGTGTTGAATATTTCAGTTTTCTTTTTGTATGGTGATCCATTTTATACTTTCTGCCCTAGCAACATACTTTCCATTAACACTCATTCCATGACATTCACTTACGTCTTTGACTTTTTTTTTCTCTAATTTTAAGTGAAATCCAATGCTTCTTCACCAACTCTTGCTTTAACATTTTTTTTTAATTTAATTTTATTTTTTATAAACATATAATATATTTTTATCCCCAGGGGTACAGGTCTGTGAATTGCCAGGTTTACACACTTCACAGCACTCACCATAGCACATACCCTCCCCAATGTCCATAATCCCCCCCAACCCCCCTCCCCCCATTAACCCTCAATTTGTTTTGTGAGATTAAGAGTCACTTTGCTTTAACATTTTTTAATACTTTGGTTTTCCCTTTAAGGTTACTACTAAATATGTCTTTCTAGGATGGTTGAGGAGGTATTAGTTTGAAGTGAGGATTTAAAAAGTAAGGAATATTGCTTACTTTGAAAGAATTTTGGAATCTAGCATCTCAGCATTTTTTAAACTAAATGCATTATGAAGAATTAGGAATGCTATTTTGCTGCAGAGTTACAATTTTCTTTCTTTGTTTTTAATTGTTGCCATCCTTTCTGTCATCTATCTGTACTCAAAATTTGTGAAGCACTATCATAGCCCCCTCCAGGTACTTTCCTTCTATTACCATAGAGACATCTCCTCTGCCTTCCCAAACCATAATCCTACCCAGCCCAGATGAGCCTTCCACTGAGCCAGGTAAATATTATTTTGTATTTCATGTAGAAGGTGAGTGTTTGCAGAATTTATTAGAATGGAAAGACAGTATGGGCACTATAGACATCAGAAAGCCTAAGTTAATTACTGTGCTCACATTCTTTGATGGGTGATCCTATTTTTCTGATGCCCGACTTCTCCTACCCATAAGCTATAGCCATTCACATGGCAGTATTGTGAATATTCTTCAGGATATGGCCAAAAAACCATTCTCTGCTACTCTGCCAGTGTTTCAAACAGGACATAGTAATGTTTCTGGGGAAGAACATTTATATTCCATTTTTAAACATAAATATATATCCTAATTTTAAATACTTTATCATCTTGACTAGAACTTTTACAAGTTCTGTGGTCATGTACAGAATATCTTAAGGTATCTACGTTGTGTTTGAGATTAACAGAAACCTCCAGAAATAGATTGCACTGTGCAAAACACATAAAGGGGTACAACCGGCCAATCACCTTATCATTACTCAGGTCTTCTATTTCTTTCTAGTCTTCTTCCTGCAGCAGTTTGGCCTTTCTGCATGTAAATAAAAGAAACTAAGTCAAACCATCTAATTGGCAAGTCATAAAAGCAAGTTACTTGATGGTGGAATTTAAAATATGAGACAACAAATCACCAACATGAATAACTAAATGTGCTGCTTCTTACAAGAAAAAATCCTTTCAATACCTATAGGCTTTCTTGGACTGATAGTTTATTGAAAATAAGCCCAAACTTGTGTTTTGATTATCATTAAACTATTTCACATGGGTCTCTTTCCAAAGGAGATATTAATCTTAATTTTATACATTGTCCTTTAAAATATCTTATTAAATTTTGCCTATTAAACTTTACAGTTTTAATTTTTATTGAAATTTCACAGTAACTGCATTAACAACATCTGTACCAGTTACCTCTACATTTTCCAAATTTTCTTAAATAGCTGTATTAATGGATACAATTGAAGTGTTTAATTGGGAGTACTCTTAGTGATACCTACCTCATACCCTGGGAGAAGCAAAGAGCCCATCGGAAACCTCAGCAAGGAAGTTGAGACTGAAGAAAATCAAAGATTGAAAGAAACTCTATAATCAGAATTTCAAGACTGGAAGAACTATTATAAGAGTCCTGTTATTTTGATGGGGAATGTGAGGCTATAGACTGAGTGATTAGCAAAGGGAGCTCTAAATCTTCAGGCTCCTAGACCAGTACAATCTCCTGCATATCTTGGTGTTCATTTCTCCACAGGCAATGCCACTGAAGATTTCATGGAAACCACTGCATGCAGACTGTTTAGAAATTTCTAGTATCTAAAAACTCTTATTTTCAGCAAGCTTTCTTTAAGGTGCCTGAAACTTGGTGACCTTGAAAAAACATTTTGTTTCTCCTAAGCTGTGTATATTAATCACGCTTGAGACAATCCAAATGAGGTGTTTCCACAAACCACAACCCCATGTTTGATTTTTCATTTCCTCCAGCAGAATATACTTCAAGTTTTCTTGATAAAGATACAATTGGTTGTTACAGTGAATGTCCTAGAACTACTTTAGGAATTGTCCAAGAAAGGAATAACTTTCTCAGGAATATATCCTTTCATTTCTGTTCAGTTTTTCTTCCCCAGTCTGACCAATGAGAACTGTGTTTTGTTTAATGAGATTTTTCCATTAGCACTGCTATTAAAATACATTTGTTTTCTAGGTGTATTTGGAATATAACTCACTGCCTTTGTTTTTAGAAGAAATTATAGTTATCTGCACTTAAAATATTATACTGGGCTATTCTGGTAAAATGGTATAAACTTGTAATAAAGAAGAATTCTTGTTACCATGAAATTTATTTTTAACCTATTGAAAGGTATTTGAAGTAGATATTTCTGAAATTCCAACAGTTTCATTTGTCAGCTGAGTATCTTGGACATCATATAATGTACTTTACTGTTTTGCTTTCCATTATAATGATATATTTATCTTCCTGTATTTTGTGGTTCTTTGGGAACTTTAATTGCATTAATTGCTGTGTGTCTAGGTCTTCATCTTTGAGATCCTAGAGGCTTAGATGCTGTAATTCTTGAAGCGCTCAAGACTTCTAAACCTGTATTCTTTCTTTTAGCTCCCAAGCAAGCACCGCGTGCTCCTCCCAAACCAAAAACATCTCTACTTCCAAGAATCCCACAAACACACCCAGGTAAATAGATATTTTAGATTCTGACCTGAAGAGTTTGATATTAGTGGAATTATTCTTTTGAATTATGGTTTACAAGAGTTCTTAACTCTTGTAAAATGAATCTTCCTTTGAAACCTAAAAAATAATTTTGTTTATTTTTGAACTTCATTAAGTATGTTATTGGAATAGCTTATTCCAGAAAGCTTTCCTATGGTTACATTATTCGAAGAGGGAGCTGGAGAAGAATGGAATTTCTTAAAGGAGTAGACTGCCTATTCCCATTGCCTCTCTGAGCTTGAGAACACCTGTCCCTTCCATGGTCCTTGAATGTGCCTCCTCCTGCCAATCACTTTTTTTTTTTTAAACTTTGAGTAGATTTTATTTAGCAGTATGTCATGAAGATTTGTTTTATATGTCTATATAGTCTCTCCTATAATACAATGTTTATATAATATTGCTTTGGTGCTTTTGCTGTAAAAATTTTCATAAGGATCCAAACAAGAGTCATTATAAACTATATTGCATTTTTTCTAAGAGGCTCTTATTTGAATGATCAATCTAACCCTAACTTCTTAACCAAGATCTTATCCAGTTTCTCCAACTCCCTTGGAGGATCTCTACTGGGGACTACTGTAATCTTGACATACCTCCAAACAAGTTCATCATCTTTTCCTCCTTTCAATTTGTCATTTACATCTCTGGCAGGTTCTTGTTATTTTATATCTAATTTTTACTCCTCTTCCTTATCCAGCCTCTGCAGTCCATTTGTTAATAAGTATGATGCATTCAATTCTTCCAAACATTTCTAGCATTGGTACATACGCCAAGCATGTGCTTGGTCATGCCTTGTTTGTTGTCATTGATCTCCTCTTTTCTCTAATTTCAAATAATATCACCCCTCAATGTTTAAGCAATTAATTCATCTCATCAGGTAGCCACTCAACAAATATTCATTGCATGCTGACTATGTGCCAGACACTGGGGATGTGAGACAGAATTGTATCATTCCATGGTCAAGGAATTTACAGGCTAGCCCTATTGCATAAATTTTTAAATATCATTTATACATGGTCTGCTTCCAAAAAGTATTAGGGGTATACCTCCCCAGTTTGGAAGAAAAGGAATTTTCTCTACCACTTACAGTCTGGGGAAAGAAAAATGGTAGCAACATGAAAATTATGCTCAAGCAAGGTAACAGTTCTGAATTCCTACCACTAATCCTTTAATCATATCTCAGTATTCTTACTAAAAGAAAAAACTCTGTAGATTTGGGCATAATCTTTAATATCTGATTCTGAGAGAAATTTTGTCTGTCACTTTTTTCTTTAAAGGAAAATTCCTTAAAAGACTTTTCTATGTTCTACATCTAGCTAATGATTTTAAATCTGTTTTAACATATTTTTAAATGTGTTTTATTTAATTATTAAAGCTTTGCTATGAAAATAATATAGGTACGATACATAGTGTATAAAAGGTACCAAGGCAAATATCTCCTGGAAGAATAAGAAAGTTAAAATAACAGTAAATACGCTTGAAACATTAATCCATAAGAAAATAGTTTGAAAAACAGTGATTAGAGAGTAAGTAATGATTAATGAATAGAATAGGAATAAAAACAGGAAAACAAGTATATTAAATTGATAGAAAATTAAAATCTGATTTTAAAAACACAACAGATAAAGTCTCCCAGCTTTTTATTTAAATGTAAGGCATAAAATAGAAGTAGCAGAGAAAGGAGAAATCAAGAGAAGAAAGAAAGCATGAAAACTTGTTGAATGTTGGAAAATTAGAAATGAAAAGTAAGAAGTGGTGAGAATTAAGACTTTGGAAATATAAATTACTGGTTAGTAGAATTTTTAAAAGTAAAGGAGATATGAGGTAACAAGACATTCATCATTTTCTTTTTTCTTTTTCAGCTATATATTCTGTACTTATAAAAATACTTATAAATCAGGATCTTTAATTTCCTATTATTATAGTATATTCTAAAGTTCAAATTTGTTTAATTTTGATTTAGACTTTGGTTAACTTTGCTCAACAAGTTATGTAACCAGAATGGATAGATTCATGTGCTCAAGGCATTCTACTCTCTCACCCTGAAATTTGGCGTGGCTGCCTGCCTCTAACAAGAGAGCCTCTGATTCTGTCCCAGTTGAGGCACCTCTCAGCCCATCAGTATCTCCCACAGAAAGTAGCTGCAACCCACAAACTTTTGGCTTTGTCAGTGCTACTTAATGCAAGAGAAAGATTTGGAAAAATCAATCATGAAAAAGAAAATGAATTCTAATTATTCCTCTTAAAAGTGGGTGAAATTAGGAATCTCCTTGCCTAGGGGAATGAGCTTACTCAATTTATCCTAGCAATACAGAAGGTCTTTATAGTCTTTTAAGGATGTTTTGTATAAATATTCAAATCTTGGTACCTTCTCCCTTACCTTGGCTAGCTCTTGTAATTTCAAAAGGCCATTTGGGTGGGAGAATGTCCTGTACATCATATAATACCAAATGCAATTTTTTACTATTTTACTTTAGAGGGATCCATGACAGTAGTGAATACAACTTCAAGTGTAACACAATGTGTCCATCCACTACTATTCTCAGAATGATATTTCACAATCGGGCATACCACCTTTCTTCCTGTTTATGCTTAGATGGCAAGATTTAAATCTGTATTTGGCATTTGAGGTCAAAGTGGAATAAAAAGTTTGGTACAAATCATCAAGAGTATTTTGTCTTTGAATAAAGGCTTGATTTTGAGATTCCTATATTCATAGGTAATAGTCAACAACCCAATTAATTTTATACCTAGAAATCATAACCATCAAAACTCTGGGTGCTTCTGGCTTGTGTGGGGCAAACAATATGAGCAATATGGGCAAACAATATCAAAATATACTCAGATGTCTAATTTGTCAAACTTGTAAAAATCAGTGTCAAATTTATAAAAGTCTTGTAGAAGTGGAAAAAAAATTTATTATAGTCCTATAGTTTTCACATCATTTTGACATTGCATATTTAATTCTCCCAGGCACCCTTTGGGTTAGGACAGGTTTATTCACCTAAAAGATAAGAAACAAGTTAAAATGTGACCTCAGTGCTGGGATCCAGAAATCCCAACTCTTTGGAACTAGTGCTCATGTCTAGACCTTAGCACTTAGTTCCAGTCTCATCTCTATACTTAATTACTGTGTAACCTCAGGCAGACTGTCACTAACCCAAACCATTAAAGTGGAGCTCATAATTCCTTCCTTCCATCATTATGGTAAGGATCAAAGAGCACAGTTCTTCTAAAACCACTTTTGAAATTATAAAATGAGCTATAAATAAATTAGACTTTTTTTTTCTGGTATCTGTTACATTAACAACTCATTACTCCAAAGAAACAGTTGTGGGAAGACCATTTTAGTTTATGAACTTGCTCATTTAAGGATTTATGTGGGGCCTAAGAATTTAAGGGGTGTAGAATGTAAGCCTGCCCACTCTGGCCCCTCCTGCTTCCCTTTCTGCTGTTGCCTGAGCTGACTTTAAGCTTGTTTTATGCATGCTTCATTGCCTTCTACTCTGACTTGACTAAATTCATCTTCATAGAAAGACATGAGACTGGGTTTGAGGAGTCAAGCAAACATCCAGAGAGGAAGAACACATCTGCATTAATTTGTTATTGCTTCAAAAAAATAAAAATAAAATAATTATCTCTTCTGAAAAAATTTCCAAAAAATAAATCCTCCATCTTACCCTTATGCTTAGTCATATTTTGTGGTTTCTCAGACATCATTTTTCTAAAAGCATCTGGAATTCTGAGAAATGTTCAGAGTTTAAAGTTTATTTTTCTATCTAGTTCCCATTTCAGTACTTTTCTTTTTAAGTCAGGACTGGGAGATGCTGAAACAAAATGACTCATGATCTAAGTTCTCTCTTTCAGCTCACGAGGTGTCCCAGCCTATTACTTCAAAGCCAAAAGCATCACCAAGTCCAGAAGTATCATATACTCTGCCTGGTAAATGATTTATTTCATGTTTAAACCAAATTCATTCCCCTGTCACACTCTGCTGCAATGACACCTGAGAGCTGATAGGTGTAAGGGCAATATTTCACTCATGTTCTGACACCATGTTGAATCATCCATGATATGACCATCTCAGAGCTTCCATAGGTTATCTATTTGCTTATTACAAGCAAATAGATAACCTATGGAAGGTTAGATTACATTAGATAACCTAATAAGCTACCGATTCAATCAAATGTCAGAGAATTATGCCAAGGGTAGACATTTCCTTTATAACTAAAGTTCTCATATTTTCTGTCTTATAAAAAAAAAAACTACCAATGTTACCTAGACTATGTTCAAATGGTTCACCAAAATAAGATAAAATAAATAATTTCAGGGTTTTTTCCCATAAAAATGTGATAAAATGTTTTGCAAACAGAGGAGGTGATGTTTACCCATTATCTTTGATTCTGTAATTTTACACTACCCAGCACTGAGGGGTTTTCTCGGTTAATTTCTACTTTATCAGTTCATGTAGCAACAACTTAGGTTGAGAAATAAGAAATTTCACATACATAAAAGATTTATTTAGCTACAAATCTGTCTCTTGCCTATCATCTGAGAAGGACTTTTGTCCATTTATGGGGAGAATAATTTTATATTGGTGGGAGTAGTTGGTGTGAGAACTACAAGGACCCAGATATTTCCTGAGTCTTGCCACCAATGTTCTAGATCCTCAGTGACTTTAGGAAGCCACTGTAAGAGGAACAGTTCTCTCACCAAACAAAGCTAATTTTTACCTAAGGCATCTGGAAAAGGCTATAATTTTTTCTTTCTTTTTAATGGTCCAATTATTATAAATTTCTACATGCTCCTAGAAGCCTACAGAACATTCCTAGAACCAAAGGATTTCTAATCTGCAGCATGAAATGATGGCATTTTGGAAGCAAGGCTGAATTCACTTGCTGTAAATGTTTTCCAGACTTGTAAGCGGGGTTACCACTGCTATTGTGAGGTAGTCCGGTTGTTGCAGGTGGCAGTAGGCCAGAGAGAGGCTCCTTTGCTCTGAAGTCTAGAATGTCAATTTGCACCACTAAATGCAACAGCCAGTATTATAAACAGCAACAAGAAAAAAAGTTGATCTTCCCACTTGCAAAAGGTCAACTTCTCATTTTCATTTGCAGGGAAAAAAATGTCCCAGAAATTGAGTCATTGACGATCACCATAGTAGGTTTGAGTGATTTTGTGTGCTTTTCCCTTTTGTTAGAGTAATACTGTTGGTCCTAATGTGACTTAATATCCTTAAACCATAATGAATACTAAACTCTATCTAATTGTTAAATATTTTTCTTTTTAAATATCCAATATTTGTCTTAATTTCACCTTATTTTTTCACAGAAATTTGAACCTTAAGTTTGAGCACTAGAATACTGGCACAAACTACCCCCTGGAGCCTCCATTGGGCTTATTCTGTTGACTCTTCAGTTCCACATGTTCATTTAGGGTCCCATCTCTAAACCTGGTTCTCATCCCACCATTTATTCATCAGGAGCTCCCCTGCTGCTCCAGGGGTGTGGTGCCTATAGGAATAATCTTTGGTTTTTTTCACGAGTGTTCAAACAGACTAGGTTCTCTTGGGTTCAGTTTCTGGGTCATATGCAGGTTTGCCTCCTAATGAACCCAAGACCTTGTTTACGAGCTCGTATAGGTTCTATATCAGAAAGCAGAGGAGAACTTACACATAGGTTTAATATGTACTGGTGTCCTAGAGAAATAGATGCTCTGTAAAAGTCTAAAAATGTCAAATGTAATGCTGAAATCAAGACAGTTATGTTTTATTACAAGGTTTATCTCAAAATTTATTCTGAGAAGTATCAGAAGTAACAAACTTGAATTTTCGATCTGTATCTGTTAAGTCAATCTGGGACTGGCCACACAGATCTTCCATTCTATAGATTCCTAGATATAGCACAAGTCTCATCCACTTAGGCTTTTAAAAAATGTCTTGCAGCCACTCAGTTGAATTCTCTCTATACCATTTAATGAAGAATCTAGACAAATTGAGCCCACACGCTGTGTCCAGAACCAACACAGAACTGGCTTTTCTTCAGATCTGCCTCAGGAATGATTTCAAATTCAGAGCAAGGACTTACCCTGATACCTGGCTCAATAGAGCTGTGCTTTCTTTGTAGATATATTTCTAAACAAAGAGCTCTCTTGGCTTCGGGGTGACTCTTATGTCCCATAGGTATCTGGATACACCTCAGTCATTGGAAGTGAACCAGACAGATTTTGGCAAGCTATGCAATCCTCACAAATGTTGTATGTGACTACTTTCTGGTAAATTCCAGTTCACAGGGACACTTAAGCATTTTCACTGTTAGGAAATGAAGGAAGAATGCTGAAATTCCTTTAGAAATGGAATCACTTGGATGTAGGCAATGACTCTTGATATGGAGAGGAGGATGATACTGTTGCTTCTAGCTTGGGCAAGTAGTAGGTGGACAGTGCCACTAACTAAGGCAGAGAACACAGTGACGAATAAGCACTTGTGTTTGTGCATACTGGGTTTGGAGGGCCAGTAGGACTTCCAAGTGGGGATGTCTAACTGGTGGTCAAAATGTATTTAGAGATTTCTAAACTGAAAATATGGGGTATAGGTGTGGGAGTCACTTGTTTACATCAAGCAGGTTATTAAATTTTGTGTGTGAATGACATCACCCAAAAGAAAGTATAGACTGAGAAGTTAGAGATCAAAGACTTGGGGGACAGAGTTATATTTAGGAAATGGATAGGGGATGAGAAGCCAGCAGAAGTTGCTACCAGAAATATAGTAGAGTATCAGGAAGAAGGGCTTCCGGAGGTAAGGCAGGGAAGCGTGGTCCACAATGACAGTTTGAAAGGGATCAGAGGAGATGCTGGACTTGACAGTGCAGATTCAGAAACCCATATCCAAAACCTGTGGGCCTATTAAAATCCAGCAGTTTTTAGGTTTTAGAAAGGCAAAACAGAACATACACCAAATATATTACTATGTCTGCAGTAGGAGGTATGAATAGTTGTACCACACCAGATGAATAAAAAGTGTTTTTAGCCTTAGGTCTAGTCAGGTTTTGCGACCTAATTAGTGAAGAAAAAGGCTAAGTTTTTGGAGCCTTTGGACTTGATAGCTATGGATAAAACACTGTGGACCTACTGTTGCAGGAGGTCAGTGAAGAGAAAGCCAGACCACAGCAGATGAAGATACAATTGAGAGACCAGAAGCAAAGGCAGATGAAGTTTTTCGATTATAGGAACAAGAGCAAGGGAAGGGTGGTTTGAAAGGGAAGGCGTATCAAGGAAATTATTATTATTTTTAGGATGTTGGAGCATTTGGACTGTTTTATAGGCCAAGAGGGAGGAAATCATAGGTAAGTGGAAATACAGACTAATGGAGAAACATATAAGATAATAGAAATAATGGAAGGTAAAGGCTCTGGAAGAAGGGGTGGCCCAATGGCACAGGTAAAGTGCAGAGAGTGGTCTCCACACAGATGGAGACATGCTTCCTGCTAGACGGGACCTAAAGGTACAAGGTTAGAATAAAGACCAGAGAATTCAGAGATTAAATGGTGTACAGTCCATGTGTATTACTTTTCCAAGACCATCAGTCTCTTTGTAGCTAATTGTGGAAGTAAATGTCATTGAAAACATATTCCAGGGTGCCTGGGTGGCTCAGTCAGTTAAGTGTCTGCCTTCAGCCCAGGTCATGATCCCAGGGTCCTAAAATTGAGCCCCATGTTAGGCTCCCTGCTCAAGAGGGATTCTGCTTCTTCCTCTCTCTCTCTGCTCCTCTCCCCAGCTTGTTCTCTCACTCTGTCTTTCTCTCTCAAATAAATAAAATATTTTTAAAAAGAGAACTTCATATTCCACCATCCTTACCAGAGAATAACAGATTAATTTGTCTCATCTATTCTAGCAAAACATTCATGTTCATTCATTTACATTTGTCCAGATTAGACATTTCCATTCATAAATGTCTTAGTTGAATTTTTCTTTGGATTGGTGCACTTTATTAAAAAAGAGATAACATAATTGGTGAATATAAACAGTAAGTTGGCTAATATAATTGAGTTTAAAGATATATAATACCAGTATTATATATTAATTACACAGTTATTATAAAAATATTCTTATAAGGAAATTCTTCTCATATAAATTGTCATTATTAATACACAAAATTTCTCCCCACATGGAAGATTTAGATTTTAGGAATCATGCTTTTGTTCAATTTACTATCTGGAGGAATGCCACACAGGGAAAAAGCAAAAAAGTTTCATTTCTTGGAGCTGCTGTTGACCGAGTAAGAGGATGATTCATATCCCTTTCCTGTGATATTTCTCTTTCTTTCCTTTCCACTGATTTCACCTGCTTTAGAAAGTCTGCAGTGACAGTTTATTAAATCATCACTTCATGGTTAAAAAGTGCCAATTGCAGCAGCAGGAATCCACATTACCCTGGCCTACATTCCACAGTAAACGAAAGCAGGCAGCAAGTAATGTATTTACAGTACGGAGGATTTATTGGTAGCACATTTTTTCTCTGCCTCTCCTTAATCCAGCTCCTGTCTGTATAGCTAAGAACTGTAGCCTTTTAGGGTATTTAAAAGCCACAGGCTGCTTTGTATGGCCATGATCTTCACACAGCCAAATCAAAGTCTTTCACCTTCCAGATAAACATTTAGTTTGATTTACAACTGGGAATTTCCCATATTTTACCCTTCGAATCCCCCAAAACACTACATAGCAAAGGTCAAATGTTCACTATTGTGGTAAGTTTTCTCTAATTTTTGTGGACCACTCATCTTTTTGAAGTTTTTTTTTTATTCAAATTTTCGGGGTGTCTGGGTGGCTCAGTGGGTTAAGCCTCTGCCTTTGGCTCAGGTCATGATCCTGGAGTCCTGGGATGGAGTCCATATCAGGCTCCCAGCTCCATGGGGAGTCTGCTTCTCCCTCTGACCTTCCCTCTCATGCTCCCTCACTCTGTCTCTCTCTCTCAAATAAATAAATAAAATCTTTTTAAAAAATTCAAATTTTCAAGTTTCTGTACAACTTTTAGCTCATAAAATTTCTAATTGAATCAAGATCCTACTCTCTGTACCACATTCCACAACTATAACTTCAATGGGACTTAGAGGCCTAGACTAAGAACACTTGTGAAATGCAAGTTAAATATGATCTCCAAAAGCAGTACAAAGAGAATGTCAGTTCTTTATAAACTACACTCTACACTAATGGGTACAGTGTGTTTGGTTACCTCATGGTGCAATCTTTCCTTGTGTTTTTCTGAAGTAGAATTCTAGCATGAACCCCAATTTTTCCCCAGCATCATTTAAGATGCAAGAAAATTACAATGTCTACCAAAGGGATTCTGGTACTTACCACAACTTCATTGTGGTAGGAAAACTTTTCAGCAAGTGATTGGACTGATAAAGACCTCTTTATGGGGAAACTGAGCCAAAGAAACACTTTACCTTGTTCTTGGAAGGAGACTTTGTCATAGAAAACTGTGCTAATAATAGGCAACTTACCCTGGTATTTTCCTCAGATTTCCTCAGGCATCAGATTTGCAGCCTACTGTTTTGTTTTACCAAAATTCTAAAAATGTACCGGGTATCAGCGACCTACTATAAGTAGGTCTCTTTCAGCTGACATTTTTGTCCCTAGTTGTCATACTCTTATCTGTCAGGAGGCCCTGAAATGTAAGGTACTGGAAGCCACATCACTAAGAATGACAAAAATGGCAACATTGATCTAGCATTTACTATGTTACAAGCACTTTCATAAACCTTACATGTGGTAGCTTCTAATGATGGGTAGATTCCTCTTGCTCCATTTCCTCCCCCAGAATAACTATGAGTGCCTTTTAGAGTAAAGCTTTGTTCTCCGCTTACATATTCAAGAATTTGCCATTCTTGCTGTCTTTCTTAATTTATAGGCCATTTATGTGTACATTATCTAGGATAATACATTTTCTTTTCCTCTCAGTGGACTTTTAGTAGAATATCAAATGGTAACTAACCACCTCAGGCAAAAACTAACTTTTCCCTTTTATTTTTTTTAAGACTTGATTTTTCAAGTAATCTGTATACACAATATGGATCTTGAGCCTACAACCCTGTGATTGAGAGTCACATGCTCTACTGACTTGAGTCACCTTCTTGTGTTTAATGCCATTACTTATTTCCTCTTCCCTGCCCCCCTCCCAAGAAAGGATTCATAAAGAACTGGAACAAATTTTATTTGTCACCAGAACCTTTACACAGTGACTTTTTTCATTTTGAATAAAATAGTCATCTTCTTGGCTTTACTTTTTAGCCATTGTGAAAATACCTTTGCTTTATTCATGTTTTCCAGGATATTCTGTCTGTGGGTTGGGTTTCACTCCAGATGTGGCATTTAGAGTACAGTGTTTGATAATCTTTTTTCTTTCAGTTCCAAGAGATGTGCTCCTTCCCCCTAAACCAGACCCTGAAGTCTCTCAGAGTGAACCTGGTAAATAAATTATTCTCTTTTCCCAGTTAGGAAGTATGTTTTTTGAAAAATGTTCTTGAGATAAATACATTTTTAATCATTGTGATATGGAAGAAGTTTGGAGACAATTATGGATATAGAATGTATATTTCCTTTTTGTGAAGATATAATCTTATAAACTGCATGAATATTTTTCATTTTCATTCTCATTTTATTCCTTATGCTCCACAAGTAAGTGAAACCATATGATAATTGACTCTCACTGCTTAACTTTTTTTGCTGAGCATAATCTCCTCCAGTCCCATCCATGTTGATACAAAAGTTGGATATTCATCCTTTCTGATGGAGGCATAATACTCCATTGTATGTCTGGACCATATCTTCTTTATCTACTCCTCTGTTGAAGGACATCTTGGCTCTTTCCACAGTTTGGCAATTGTGGCCATTGCTGCTGTGAACATTGGGGTACAGATGGCCCTTCTTTTCACTACATCTGTATCTTTGGGGTAAATATCAAGTAGCGTAATTGCAGGGTCATAGAATAGTTCTATTTTTAATATCTTAAGGAATCTCCACACTGTTTTCCAAAGTGGTTGCACCAACTTACATTTCCACCAACAGTGTAAGAGGGGTTCTCCTTTCTCCACATCCTCTCCAACACTTGTCGTTTACCATCTTGTTAATTTGGCCATTCTAACTGGTGTGAGGTGGTATCTCAACATGGTTTTGATTTGAATCTCCCCCATGGCTAATGATGATGAACATTTTTTCATGTGTCCATTAGCCATTTATATGTCTTCTTTGGAGAAGTGTCTGTTCATGTCTTCTGCCCATTTTTTGACATGATTATCTGTTTTTTGAGTGTTGAGTTTGAGGAATTCTTTATAGATTTGGATATCAGCCCTTTGTCTATAGTGTCATTTGCAAATATCTTCTCCCATTCCATGGGTTGCCTCTTTGTTCTGTTGACTATTTCCTGTGCTGTGCAAAAGCTTTTGATCTTTATGAAGTCCCAAAAGTTCATTTTTTGCTTTTGTTTCCTTTGCCTTTGGAGACATGTCTTGAAAAAAGTTGCTATGGACAATGTCAAAGAAGTTACTGCCTATGTTCTCCTCTAGGATTTTGATAGATTCAGACCTCACATTGAGGTATTTTATCAATTTCGAGTTTATCTTCGTGTATGGTGTAAGAGATGGTCAAGCTTCATTCTTCTATACATAGCTGTCCTATTTTCCCAGCACCATTTATTGAAGAGACATACCTTCTTCCCACTGGATATTTTTTCCTGCTTTGTTGAAGATGATTTGACCATAGAGTTGTGGGTCCATGTCTGAACTCTCTACTCTGTTCCACTGGTCTATGTGTCTGTTTTTGTGCCAGTGCCATGCTGTCTTGGTAATCACAGCTTTGTGGTAAAGCTTGAAATCAGGCAACATGATGCTCCCAGTTTTGTTTTTCTTTTTCAACATTTCCTTAGCAATTAGGGGTCTTTCCTGCTTCCATACAAATTTTCGGATTGTTTGCTCTAGCACTTTGAAAAATGTTGGTGGAATTTTGATCAGGATGGCATTGGAAGTATAGATTGCTCTGGGAAGCATAGACATTTTAACACTGTTTATTTTTCCAGTCCATGAGCATGGAATGCTTTTCCATCTTTTTGTGTCGTCTTCATTTCTTTCATGAGTGTTCTGTAGTTTCTCAAGTACAGATCCTTTACCTCTTTGGTTAGGTTTATTCCAAGGTATCTTATGGTTCTTGGTGCTATAGTAAATGGAATTGATTCTCTAACTTCCCTTTCTGTATTTTCATTATTAGTGTATAAGAAAGCAACTGATTTCTGTACATTAATTTTGTATCCTGCCACATTACTGAATTGCTGTATGAGTTCTAGTAGTTTGGGGTGGAGTCTTTTGAGTTTTGCATATAAAGTATCATGTCATCCACGAAGAGAGAGTTTAACAACTTCTTTGCCAATTTGATTTCTTTTTGTTGTCTGATTGATGTTTCTAGAACTTCTAGTACTATGTGGAACAACAGTGGTGAGAGTGGGCATCCTTGTTGTGTTCCTGATCTCAAAGAGAAGGATGTCAGCTTTTCCCCATCGAGAATGATATTCACTGTGTGTTTTTCATAGATAGATTTTATGAAGTTGAGGAATGTTCCCTCTATCCCTATACTTTGAAGAGTTTTAATCAAGAAAGGATGCAGTATTTTGTCAAACACTTTTTCTGCACCAATTCAGAGAACCGTGTGTTTCTTCTGTATTCTCTTATTGATTTGTTCTATCACATTGATTGATTTGTGAATGTTGAACCACCCTTGAATCCCAGAGATAAATCCCATCTGGTCATGGTGGGATTATCTTTCTAATGTACTGTTGGATCCTATTAGCAAGGATTTTGTTGAGAATCTTGGCATCCATATTCATCAGGGATATTGGTCTGAAATTCTCCTTTTTGATGAGGTCTTTGCCTGGTTTGGGGATCAGGGTAATGCTGGCTTCCTAAAAAGAGTCCAGAAGTTTTCCTTCTGTTTCTATTTTTTGAAACAGCTTCAGGAGAATAGGTATTATTTCTTCTTTGAATGTTTGGTAGAATTCTCCAGGAAATCCATCAGGTCCTGGGCTCTTGTTTTTTGGGGGAGGTTTTTGATCACTGTTTCAATCTTGTTACTAGATACTGGTCTATTCAGGTTGTCAGTTTCTTCCTGTTTCAGTCTTGGAAGTTTATAGGTTTCCAGAAATGCATCCGTTTCTTCTAGGTTGCTTAACTTATTGGCATATAACTATTGATAATAATTTCTGATGATTGTTTCTATTTCCTTGGTGTTAGTAGTGATCTTTCCCCTTTCTCTCATAATTTTATTAATTTGGGTCCTTTCTCTTTTCTTTTGGATTAGTTTGGCCAGTGGTTTATTGATCTTATTGATTCCTTCAAAGAACCAGCTTCTAGTTTTGTTGATGTGTTCTACTGTATCTCTAGTTTCTAATTCATTGATCTCTGCTCTAATCTTGATTATTTCTCTTCTTGTGCATGGGGATGGCTTAATTTGTTGTTGATTTTCCAGTTCTTTAAGGTGTAAAGAGAGTTGGTGTATTTGGGATTTTTTAATTTTTTTGAGTGAGACTTGGATGGCTATGTATTTCCCCCTTAGGAATGCCTTTGCCGTATCCCATAGGTTTTGGACCGATGTGTTTTCATTCTCATTTGTTTTCATGAATTGTTTAAGTTCTTCTTTGATTTCCTGGTTGATCCGAACATTCTTGAGCAGGATGGACTTTAGCTTCTAAGTGTTTGAATTCCTTCCAAACTTTTTCTTTTGGTTGAGTTCCAGTTTCAAAGCATTGTGGTCTGAGAATATGCAGGGAATAATCTCAGTCTTTTGGTATCAGTTGAGCTCTGATTTGTGGCCCAGTATATGGTCTATTCTGGAGACAGTTACATATGTGCTCCAGAAGAATGAATATTCTGTTGTTTTAGGGTGGAATGTTCTGTATATATCTATGAGGTCCATCTGGTCCAATGTGTCATTTAATGCTCTTATTTCTTTATTGATTTTCTGCTTAGATGATCTGTTATTGAGAGTGGCATGTTAAGATCCCCTACAATTTATGTATTCATATCAATATGACTCTTTATTTTGAGTAACAGTTGGCTTATGTAGTTGGCTGCTCCCATTTGGGGGCATAAATGTTTACAATTGTTAGATCTTCTTGTTGGATAGACCCTTTAAGAATGATGTAGTGTCCTTCTTCATCTCTGACTACAGTCTTTAGTTTAAAGTCTAATTTATCTGATATGAGAATGACTACCCCAGCTTTCTTTTGAGGCCCATTGGCATGAAAGATGGTTCTCCATCCTCTCAGTTTCAGTCTGGATGTATCTTTAGGTTCCAAATGTGTCCCTTGTAGACAGCATATGGACGGGTCCCATTGTTTTATCCAATCTGCAACCCCATGCCATTTTATGGGAGCATTTAGGCCGTTCACGTTGAGAGTGATTATTGAAAGATACGTATTTATTGACATCATGTTGCCTGTGAAGTTCTTGTTTCTATAGATTATCTCTGTAGATTCCTGTTCTGTGTGACTCTTGGGTTCTTCCTTCTTTTATAGAACTTCCCTTAATATTTCTTGTAGTGCTGGCTTGGTGGTCACATACTCTTTTAAACCTTGCTGGTCTTGGAAATTCTTTATCTCTCCATCCATTCTGAATGTCAGCCTTGTTAGATGAAGTATTCTTGGCTGCATATTCTTCTCATTTAGTGTCCTGAATATGTCTTGCCAGCCCTTTATGGCTTGCCAGGTTTCTGTGGACAGGTCTGATGTTATTCTGATGGTCCTTCCTCTGTACATAAGGAATCTCTTCCCCCTAGCTGCCCTTAAGACCTCCTGTCTGAAATTACGATTAATGAATTTCACAATTAAGTGTCTGGTTGTCTTTCTAGACTTGTTGATCTTAGGGAGTGTCCATTCTGCCTCTAGAACACTAAAACTTGTTCCATTCCTCAGATTAGGGAAATTTTCATCCAGAATTTGTCCAACTATATCTTCTAGTCTTCTCTCTTTCTCCATCCCCTCAGGGCTCCCAATAATTCTGACATTGAAATGTCATTTATTTCCCTAATTCTGTTTTCATGGCTTCTACATTGTTTGTTTCAGGCCTCCTCCTGATCCTTCTTTTCTATCAGTTTGTCCTCTAGATCACTAATTTGATCTTCTGCCTCAGTTACCCTAGCTGATAGAGTATTTAGATTAGATTAGATTGGATCTCATTGATAGCATTTTTAACTTCTGCCAGATTGGCTCTCACTTCCACCCTTAGAGATTCTCTGTTGTCACTAACAGAGAACGGTCTTCTCCAACCTAGCCATTGCTTGGATAATTGTTAACCCTTTCTGACATACTGTTTATGTCCATATCCAATAGTTCTCTGGCAGAGGGCACAGTCTTTGAGTTTTTCCTCTGTTGGGTGTTCCTCCTCCTAGTTATTTTGGTGAGAGGTGGTTGAGGGGATGTATAGCTGAATATATCGACCACAATCCAGGCAAGGTGCACCCCAAAGCAGAGCCCAAGAGCACGGTGGCCCAGGCATGAGTGGCGCCTGCCTGCAGTTGTGGCGCCAGCACGCTCGGCCAGGCCAGTCCCACCCCCGGCATGCTGCGAGTTCCGTGGGTGCCTGGACAGCCTGGCTCGTGTCTCCGGCTTGTGGCTCTGGCTCATGGCTCCCGTTCGTGGCTCCACCTTGTGGTTCCCATTCCCTCTCCGGCTCTGCTCTCTGAGACCTTTGAAGTTGTAGCTAAATTTTCTTAAGTGTCATCTAATATGTAGAATTTTCTTATATTTATTATGATTCTTTGAGAAAGTTTAAATGTTCAAATAGAAGCATAAACACATAAGTGATGTTTACTTCACCAAGTAGTAATTTTCATAAATATATTTCCTTGATTTGCTTTTGGCCTAGTTCTGCAACCTGTTACCTTTAGAATTGACCTACCAGAGACAACAATAGGTAATGGTTTTCCTCTACCAACCACCTCTAATTGTTTTCTTTGCTATGGTCCAATTGCAGGTCTTTCTCTATTTGTCATATTGAATCATCATCTCTTCTCAATCCTCCTCATCATCTCATTCTCATTACTCTTGCTCTTTGCAAAATACAATAGCAATGTCTTCACTATTGTAAAGGCTTTGTTCTGAAGACCAACTTAAGACCACTCCTTACTGAGTTCATTTGTATCTACTTCCTTTACTTCCATGTTCAGAATGAGTCCACATGCTCATGCCCATCTAGTTAACATTTTCTGCATGTTTAATGGTTCTCAGCTGTAGTGCTACAACACACTGGCACGTGACAAGTTAGCAAAGGTTCTGACAAGTAATTATTTTTAATGTTGATCAAAATACTGAACTTTGCCAATGGTTTACTTTTAAAAATAAACTTGAGGAGACTTCAGATGACCACTGCAATAATGAATATTTTCACTCACTTTTGTAACCCTGTATGTTCTCTTGTATGTGAGGGAGAAAGAGATCTGTGGTTGACAGACCAGGACTGTTTCTAACTCATAACCCATCTTAACCAGGGATGGTCATGAAGTGTGTCAAGCCCTGAATGTTATTTCTTATCTGTCCTGGTGGGGGGGAGAAAAAAAAATAAAACAGTTGAGAACCATTATTCTTACATTCCACAGTCATTTTCCTGAAGGTTCTGTGTACATCTAACTTTCTTCTTCATGACCCATTTCATGTTTTCCTTTTTCTGTGTCAAATGAAGGAATCTCATGTAATATTCTGGTCTGGTGCTGGCTTTTGCATCTAAAGATTGACAACACTCGTGCTTTTCTTTTGCAGCTCCTTTAGAGACACGAGGCAGCCCTTTTATACCCATGATTTCACCAAGTACTGGTGAAGAGGAACTGCAAACCACTCTGGGTAAATTAGTTTTCATATTTCAGCCCAATAAGGACCTAGCTTTCAGGGATTGCTTTTGAAGTAGCTATGTGTACATTGTGTATATCAATGATTCTAAACAACAGAGGGTCTCTTTTTACCATTATAAAAAAATCCATTCACTTGATTCTTTAACATTAACCGTATATTTGTCCTTCTAATATTTATGCTGGTTTTCAATTGAAAATGAGAATATTTTAAAATATCTCGACAAAATTTTAACTGTTCAAAGAGAGGAATGTTCCCAAAGTGTATCAGTGCTATACTTTTTGCTGCTTTTTTTCCATATTTGAAACCGCCTTTGGGAAGAAAATTTTCATTTTCAATTTATTGAGTATTTTATGGGTGTTGAGTGAAATGTTAAACAATGGGAGTTCCAAAAAAGAAACTGTTTTTAAGGGGGAGTCCTTTCTCTGGAGAGCTCAGCATCTAATATAAAAAAACAGGATTAGTGATAATAGTGCTTTTTCATTGTCCCCCAGTGCACTATGTGTAATGTTTTCATTTAAATCCCACAATGCTGAGGTAGATTCTATTACTTGCCCCATTTTATAGATTAGAGAATTGAGGCATAAAGAGATTTAAAAATTGGGCTAAGTCACACAGCTAATGTCAGAGCTGGATTGGAACCCGCATACTCAGTCACCAGAGCTCCTGGGATTCACTTCAGTATTGTACAAATGAGTGTGGTAGAGAAATGAGCAACATGTTAAAGAAGCCAAATACTGGGTGCATCAGGAGAGGAGGCAACATTTACACCAGATTTTCAAGCTGGAGTGAGAGTTGAAATTAAAAATGTGAAGGGTTCTTTCAGGTTAAAGACAGATGGGAGAGAGGCATTTCAGAGAATGGTGTTCAGGCTAATATGATGAGCATGTGACTCTCCTGGAGAAACAAGGATGGCCAGGTGCATCTGGAAGGTTAGTGGGGGTGAGTGAGCCATGCTTTCAGTTCAATACCAACACTTTCACAGCATGGAAAACCCCAGTTTGCCTGACCCTTGATTGAAAATGAATCAGAAAACAAGAATTCCTGGCTTGTGTTTGTTGATTCCTCTGCCCTGTCCACAATACATCTAACATGGCTGTGTTTATTTAAATCAGTGACCTTATTTTCCTCCCTTCATCCCTTTTCAAATAAATCTATCCTTTGTGTGTGTGTACTGAAGTGAAGTTACTGAGCATATTTCAAAATGAAATCCTTTTTAAAGGAACAAATTTAAAACTGAGCAAACACACCCTAATTTTCAAATATTCATCTATTCTAGCCATATCCACAAAATGAACATCATCCATGACCACAAAGTCAAAAGTACTTTTCAAGAACCACTGCTAGATATGCTATGTAGCTTCTACACCCTATTTATTTTAATATACCTTGGTTTATTGAAGTAAGAGCCATCGCCTGCCAATGGTCACAAGTATATCTGTTATGAGCAGAATCCATATTATAAACCAGAGCAGGAAAAAAAAAGACAACAGTGAATTTATGCCCCAAGTATTTTCTTGGACACAAGGTATGGTAAAGTGGCAAAGTAATTTCTGTGTCTATATGATGCTGTGATGACTTCAAGATAATATGGAAGTAGAAGTAGTGCCACACTTAGTTTTCTTATTTTGCCAGAAAAATATGTCAATAAACTTTGACTCTCACATCACATAAATAGAAGAATATTTATTCTTATACAGTGTAAATGCACCTGTTTTCATACCCTGTATTTCTTTTCCAGCTCACATAAATAACTTGTGGAGTTTATGAAATAGAGGGGAGGCATGAAGACAGTAATATATAAAAACAGTTGAGAGGCACAGTTTGGAACGGCCATGTCCAGGATCATGAAACAGTAATCGTGAACTTAAAGTTTTTGGAAATCCTTACAATAATCATTAAAAGAATAGGGCAAGAAGATAGCATATATAACAAATGAATTATTAAAATGTACCTTTAACCTTGAAATTTTGTGATGACAAGGCAGACTTATAAATGCAATTTCCCATGGGGCAGAAAGAAGTGTGGGGTTTTTTGATATGTTCATGATGATAATTACTGAAAGCCACCAATCTTACTGTTTTTCCCCAGCAGAAACCGACCAATCCACTCAGAAATCCTTCACAACTAAGATTCCACTAACAACTGAATTGGTGACCACTCAGGGTAATGCTAAATCCCCACTTCTGTATAGTAAACTATTTATTTTCATTTTTAATGAGGAAAGAAATTTTCTTTTTAGAATGTCTGTTTTCATCACAGTGAATTAATATAGGTGCAGAATATCAGCTGAATAAGAATATTTATATAAAAAAAAGAATATTTATATGTACGCCACTTGAATGTAGGAAAGGCAGTTTATTTAGTTAGAATGTTGCTTTTGAATGTAGGGTTGACCATGTGATACTGAGAACTAAGAATGAAAGCCTCCTCCCACCATGCTTTTTTAGTTTGTTTAATCTTCATTTGTCTCATTTTCCACATCTGATAAATAAGAATCCGTATTAGCTTTTTTTTCTTTCCCATACTTCTCCCTCTCCCCATCCTTCTTTGTGCTCTCTCTCTGCCTCCCTCTGTCCCATCTCCTCTATTACATAAGCACATTGATACTGTAGCCTGAAGAAGGAAACTAGTAAGGAGAAGAATCAATTTTTTTAAGACAACTTATATTTAAATATCAAAGGAAGGTTTGGGGGTTTGGGGCTATTTCCTTTTATTTCTTCCTTTCTACTTCTTGGGAAACGAACTTGCCTACACAAAGCTCTATCTCCATGTTCTCAGTAGTCTATCCTTTGTATATTTTTCTATCCTACTTAGGTTATAACCAGCGGTGGATTTCTGGTATTTTGGATCTTTTTTTTCTTTCTGTTCTAAATGATCCCATTTGTTCACCTCTACATCTTTCCTATGGCAGGAAGCCCAAAAGACAAAAGTAAACTTTTTTTTTAAGAAGTTGGAAAACACATTGATTTTATTTATTGTCAGTTATAATTTGTGGAGAATATTTTGTATAAGAAATTTGAAATAAGAAAAATTATAAAAAATCTGATTTTAAGATATTTTATAGTAAGTAGAGCAGTACATACCTAAATAAAGATGACTAGAACACTTTATGGCATAGGATAGTTCTTATAAATGTTCTCAATCTTCTTTTACTAGTTTGGTTTCATTTTTTATTATGTCTTAAATGTTTATTACTTACCTTATTACCCTCCTATTTATTAACTTTCTATTTATTTATGCATCCACACAGAAGAAACCTAACATAATAACAGCCCTCCCACGTCCTCATGACCAGTTTCCAGTATTAACAACAGATGGTCAATCATGTCACATCCATAACACATCCTCATTTTTATAGGTTTATTTTTATCTTTTTGCTTAATAGAAGCAATTAATGTCTTACTTTATAGAAGGTAGTTGGATTCTCATAATGAAATACATTGTTTTTGCAGCAAAATATGTAAACATTTATAATAAGCAACATAAAAAAGACTATTCAGTTCAGGTTATGTTGCCAGATGAAGAAAAGATTACAGCTTTTTAAAGCTTTATAGATTTCAGAATTGAGAATAAAAGATTAGAGGCCTATTTTTTCCTTGCTTTGTTTTTTTTTTTTTAACTTCAATAGGAATGTCAGTACTGTATCACCATTACTAGTGTATGTGGAATTTTTATCAAATTCTTTCTAGAACATGGTTCTACCACATAGGAATTTCATGGCTGATGGGGTGTATATCCAGGATCTGATATCATAATATGAAATGTCTTAACATATTTATATGAGGTCCTGTATGTTCTGAGGATCATTAGCTTGAGCCTAAATTGTGCTGCCCTAGGGTTCCTACTTTTCAAGGCTTAGACCAAGAATCTTTAAAGTGAACTCACCAGGCCTTCGCTGATATGAGGCGACAAAGAACACACTAGGAAAGAACCTATCATAAGGACGGGAGTAGCATTCACCACCTGGTCCAGCCCCATAGTCCCGCTTTACCATCAGGGCCCACTTTCACAAATCCATGCTGTGCATCACTAGGGTCACCCTCATAAAACCCATAAAAGTGTGCCTGAGCTCTGTGGAAGAGGTAGTCAGTCAACTGTTTTGTTATATTGTATTTTTAACATCAGGCATTAGAGGCATAAGACAGCACACAGCATTTTGAAAAAGGTGCTGGGGGGTGAAATGGTTCCTCCTGGTCTTTATACTCTCCCCATGCATGGACCATGACCTGTGTGGCTCTTTGATCTCCCAACCTCCACGATGGGACCCAAGGCCTCCAAAAAAATTTTGTGTTGAAAACCTACAGCATGAGGCTGCTAGTAGAATCTCCAACCCCATTTCTCTATGACACCCTTCCTACTTTGTCTGCTGAGACAATTCCCTGCAGCACGCCATAACCAAAACCCTGAAATACTCATGCTCTTCTTTGCCTTTCTCAAACTGTAATAGAAACTCACTTGACTAGAGATATTTTGGGTTCCCTGTTTATTTTACTTGTTTCCACTCCCTTGTCTCTGTCTCCCCCCACCCCAGGGAAAGTTATGTCTTCCTTACTCTCTCTCTGTGCTGGGCAGAACATGACACCTTCAAGGTGCTTATCCTATAATCCTATTTGTTTAGTTTTGATGTTAACTTCATATAGTATTTCTTAATGCTCTTCTTAAATAGATTTTTATAAAACTAGGTACAAAAGCATCCTTTTTTTTTTTTTATTTAACTTCTTCTCAGTGTAACAGAATTCATCGTTTATACACCACACCCAGTGCTCCATGCAATATGTACCCTCCATAATATCCACAACCTGGCTCCCCCAACCTTCCACCCCAACCTTCAAAACCCTCAGATTGTTTTTCAGAGTCCATAGTTTCTCATGGTTCATCTCCCCTTCCAATTTCCCTCAACTCCCTTCTCCTCTCCATCTCCCTATGTCCTCCATGTTATTTGTTATGCTCCACAAATAAGTGAAACCATATGATAATTGACTCTCTCTGCTTGACTTATTTCATTCAGCATAATCTCTTCCAGTCCCATCCATGTCGATATAAAAGTTGGGTATTCATTCTCATATGGTATTTCTTAATGTTCTTCTTAAATAGATTTTTATAAAACTAGGTACAAAAGCATCCTTTAAAATTGTTAGTCATTAAAGCTATGTGGACGTATGTTCACAAAGCTCCTTTTCTTTATCTTTTTTTCTTTCAGTTTAAAATTGAAACCCTAGAGCAGTTTTCTCAAGGCCATGTATTATTTAGTGATAAACTGTATGAGTAACTCACAGTCTAAACTGAAGTTACATTCCAGCACTGGTCTGAAAAAGTCTGTCTAGATTTGAGTAAAGATTGTGGGGGAAAAAATAAAGCAAAAATTCTGATCCTATGGCTTTGAAATACCAAGTGTAGTCCTGATTGTTTCTGTGTTCTGCTTTATATACCTTTCCTGTCTAAAGTTTAAAAATTAATATTTGTCCTAGAAGAAGACTAATAAGAGCCATGATCCTTGTATTTCTTTGAGCTAAAATATTTTAACATTGAAGAAATTAAGATGAAAAACTGAAATAGATTCAATTCACAGGGAATCCTACCACTATCAAAGAGAATTTTGAAGACAAACATTTGCAAATCATCATGACACCATTTGAGGGTGTAATGAGAATTAATTTTTTATAACATCAGTGCCTCTGCTCACTCTAGCTGCAACACTTTGAAAGGCCCATGATAAACCTACAAGGAACTTCAGTATGTGTCTGCTGTTTTTGGCTTGAAATATGGCAAAATTCTGCTCATCAGTCTTCACACTGGAAGCTTATAAATGAGCTGCATTATAATCTATTTCACAGGTGTATTTTTTTTAACTTGGTAGGAAAGGCATTGCTGATTTATGATTATATAAATACCCACTTAAGATGTGAACAAAATCATCAAAACGATGTAATCTACTTTCATAGTTTGCAAGAAAAATTTTTTCCAGTCTTAGCTAAAGCATTACCAGGAGGGTGGTGTTAAGGAGGCAGTGTGGTATGTTGAGGGTGAGGAGAGGAGGGAAGGGAAGAGGGAGGAATTCCAGGACGAAAGTACACTTTAAAACCTTAGGAAGTAAAAGGATTTCAGCTTAGTTTCTCATGAGTTTGCCTGCTACAATGGTCGCTCATTTTTTAAATTTATCCAGCAAGTCTTCATTAGGAGTCCTCACCATGCAGGCCCTGAATAACAGGACCAGAAAATGACAAGGTGGTGTGTTGCTTCCAGGACTTGCCCCAGTTTCTTGCTCCTTGCTCATCTTCTCTTGATAGGCAGAGCAACAAAGATCATTGTCTCCCATTCCTAAAGCTTTAATGGATAGGATTAAATGAGTATTCATTTCAGGGTTATGAGCTAGGACAGTTTGATAGAGACCACCATCCCTATTCTTTTAACCTACCTAAAAATACTTTTTTAATTTTTGAGATTACCTGTCTTCTTGGGCAAAATAATGTTCCACTATGACTTCCTAATTGAGAGATGTGGGTGGGTGGATGGATGGATGGATGGATGGTTGGCTAGTTGGCTTATATGTTTACGATGTTAACAACCATTGCGTAAAATAAAATGCCTTTGAGAAACATGGACTAAATGAAGACTAATCCTTGACACATATTACAAATGACTTAGCTCACTCTGTGCCTTTATTTCCAGTCATGAATATGTATGCTTGCTTTATTTTCCTTTAGCAGCAATGCTGTAGTGCATAATTGCAGGTTTCAAAACATCCTTTCTACTTCCATGCAAAGTGTATGAGTTGCTAGTCCCTAGGATGCTAACTCCCCATTTAATGGAAAATTGGCGATTAAATATAAAGCCTTTCCTCTGTTTCAGCACCACACAGATTGTATACTACTCCTGTGAGTTCCAGAATACCGGACAAAGCACACATCAGACCCGGTAAGTTGTTTCTCTTTCCGATGACCTAAATAATCAGCACACCTGAGAAGGTATAAAATGTGTTGAAATAGTAGCATACACCAAGGGAGGGATATATACCTCTAAATGGCAATAAAGGATGTGCAGAAATTCAGATCCTTGTGGAGAGGTAATAATGAATCTATGGTAATGATAAAGTGTGACTAAGGTTTTTAAGGATGACCAGATATAAAGACTCCCATGGAAATTTATCAATAGAGAAGTATTTTTAGAATAGCATCTGTGTGTAAATCTCACACATACTCCTTCAGTTCTCCATGGCAATCATAGGAAAAGAATTAGAGTTAGCTATTCAGGTATTACTAGCTCTCAAATAATATTTAAGAAGAGCTGGTCTATTCTAGTATAAAAGATGCTTGTTCTGGGAGAACGTATTTCCTTGATTCCTTCAGATAATAAAACACACACACACATATACACATATTTTATAGGTAATATACAGTAAAAATGATAAGCATTGGAAAATACTTTACATTTATTGAATTCTCCAAAAGTTCTAGGATCTCTGTCACTGGAGCTTGTTAAGGAAAAGTTAACTTGGTGAGGCTGATCTGGTTCATGTAAATTGTTCCTGTGCTAAAGCACAAGATGTACCAAAGACACTGACATTCTGTTGCTGCAATTCTAAGTCGTCTTAAAGTTCTAAATAATGAAGCTGGCTTATAAATTAATGTTCTTCATCTACATCTCTCTGGGCATATGGGAAAAGAAATCATTTTATCCTTCGGTTTCTGCAGATTCCATGTGGTGTTGTGTGTGTGTGTGTGTTCTGTGGGGTGGGTTGGCTGTAATCTTCCAAGACCCAAAGGTAATAAGGCACAAACATCTTTTATAAACAAATACATCTCCATGTGCCCTCTGTACCATGAGCTTAATGTGTGGCTGGTTATAGTAAAGGTTTATACACAATAATGAAACCATAACAACAATGGCTAACATTGACTGAGGGCTTGCCATGTGTCTTGTGGGGTACAGTTGAGGAAGCCAAAGCATGAGAAGAGGTAGGAAGTAGATTTAAAGGCAAGCAATTCTGGCTCCAGAGCTTGCTCTCCCAACCACAATATACTTTGTGCTTTTCCTTGAAGAGTCTTCCAGAGGATATGACAAGTGACCTCTAAAAGCACTGGCAATGTTCTGGCTCTCCATAAAGTGGAAGAGAAATTAAAATGATTTCATCATACTCCATGTTCAACAGTGAACTTGTACCAGATTAAGAGGGAACACCTGTATGTAGAGACCCCTACAAAAGACCCACCAACTTATGAGTCATGAATTAAGGCCTTGGCATGTAAAGATGCTTCAAGTTTTGGGTTTTCATTGGGTATATATGTAGTCCTGATCTTTCTTCAGTTCTGTTTTGAAATGTATCTAGTGCTTAGAAATTAACTGAGTGATTTCCCATTTAGACCTATAAATTCCCTTGCCAGTTAGTTCTTCAAGCCAGTGATCACCTCAGAGTAAAAAATCAGGTCACACTTCCCACATTCAAATCTATGATTTTTAAACCAGAATTGTGGTTTCCATATTTTAAACAATAGTTTTTGGTAAGCGATCATTTTTCTGTTGCCTCATTAAATGACTTCCAATTCTCTGGGAACTTCTGTTTGCCTTGATTGCAAGGTTTTAACAAGAAAATTTCTAACCTATTTATTTCCCACTTTATTGTAGTTCTGAATAAGACAACTACAAGACCTAGTAGACTCAAACCCAGTAGGACACCTAAAGGGAATGGAATGGGAACAGGTAATGATCACAAATTTATTTCTTTTCAATCCTCTCCAAACTATAAAAGTGTTCATTCAAAATTTGTATTTTTATTGAATTCACACTTTAAATTTCTTTTACACCAGTTTTGGAAGTTCTTAATATAACTGGAATTGGAAATTGTAACTCATTCTAAAATCAAAATTTCCAGTGTCTGAAAACATAGAAAAAGAATTTTTCTTTTCTAAACTCAGTCCATAAAATCAGCTACCATATGTAGTCTTGATTCTTGAAAAGATCCTGATTAATATGTATAATATGTATTATTGGATAAAAATATCAAAATAACTGTTTTCTCTAATTTCAGAAACACTTTCCATACATAGGCTCAAACTTCAAGACTATAATCACTTTGTTTTTTATTGGTAGTTTCACCAGTACCATTACAATTTTTTTTATAAGACCTACAACTGTTGGTAGTGTGGAACATGATAGCCTAACAAGAGCAGCTAACAGCTAATCATACTGGCTATAGGCATAGTAACATTACCAAAACATTCAGCTTAATTTGGGAATTAAATGACATTGCCCTAATCCGACCAGATCTCTGGATGTAGGAGTCATGCAGATAACTAAGACAGTTATCTGATTCAAGTTCAAACACCTAACTCACTAAGTGGAAAAATGGTAGTTATTAGATGCGTTAATATGGGATGCATCATTTCCTTGCTTTATTTATTTATTTATTTATTTAAGGGGGGGAAGAGGTGGGACAGAGGGAGAGAGAGAGAATCTTAAGCAGGCACCATGCCCAATGCGGAGCCCCATATGGGTCTCAATCTCACAATCCTGAAACCATGACTTGAGCCGAAATTAAGAGTTCGACACAACCAACTGAGCCACCCACGCACTTGCAATATTTTTTTAACAGTACAAATCATGTGTGTGCTTATGAAAAAAGCATGTTAGTAAGAATTTTTTTAATACATATATAAATAAATCCATGATGGTTCTCTAGTGAGAGTGAGATATGAATAATACCTGAAGATATTTGGTCTAAAAATCATTTAGATTTGTTTTAGAGTTTTTTTTCTATAGGTTCTTACAGTGTGTGAAGTTCTAGGAATACACTTTTCTTCAAACTAATTAATGAGGCAATTACTATAAATCCTTGACTCATGAAAAGCAAGAAAGCATTCCAATATCTATTTGTGCTCAGCTGTTCTTTTATTATTCCCAACTGTGGGATTAGGCAATGCATAGTTTCTCAGATTGACATAAACAATCTGGGTCTAAACGAACCACCTCGTTAATAGTCAAAACACTTCCCTGGAGTTTGACCAAGTGAAAATAGAAGAAAGCATTTGTGTCAACAAAGCAAATGAAAGAACAGGTAGCTATGATCAAACTTGAAAGTTACTAACTTTTAGTGTAATCAAGCATTGGTTCTCACTAGGAAAAGGCTAATTGTCTTCCAGAAGAAATAAAAAGGCATTATTATAAGTCTATTTGCAATACAAACATTTTTTTCCAGAGCCCCTTGTAATACAGACTGACATCTATTACCCTTTTGTGTAGATGAAATCAACTTTGTAGTATTAATTCATCTAGTTAAACTGTGGAAGGATGTCCTCTTAACAGAGCTTCTTCATTTTAATTAGTTGGTCGCTAGTAGAAATGGGTTGGTGAGCACAGGTAGACAAAGCTGAGCTCAGTTTCTGCTTCCCTTGCTCTACTTCCATCCCCAACCAAAATGCATTGCATATGTTCTATCATCTGATGGAATTCCCCTTTGGGGAATGCTGCCCATCTGCAGGGAATGAAGTCTGCAGACAGCATCCTCTTTCAGTTCCTTCAGAATCAGCCTTAGCTGAGAGAGCCTCACCACGTCAGGGTGATGCATTTCCAGATCTACTACAATATCACATAACAACCAAACGCTATTTGCCTCAAGAATGCAAGGTCGGCTCAACATCCAAACAAATATATATAATTCATCACATTAACAGAGAAAAGGAGAAAAATCAAACCATCGCCTCAATAAATTAAAAAAAAAACATTAGACAAAATTCAAAATCCATTCATGATGGAAACTCACAGAAAACGAAGACTAGTTTCCTCACTCTGATAAAGGACATATCTGAAAAACCTGCAAATAACATCATACTTAATCTTCTGAATGTTTTTCTCCTCACATCAAGAGCACAAGGATTCCTACTTTAACCACTTATGCTGAAAAGAGTAGTGGAGTATTTACCAATGCAATAAGGCAAAAAAGGAAGTAAATGGTATAAAAATTGGAAATCATAGACGACATGTAATGAAAAGAGTAGTGGAGTATTCACCCAATGTAATAAGGCAAAAAAAGAAGTAAATGATATCAAAATTGGAAATCATAGATGACATGTAGCATATAATGAATGGAAAATTTAATAGCTCTCAGACTATTTGCTTAGGGAATAAGGTTTTTAAAAATTCATGAGAAGAGTGTCTTAAAATCTATTCTCCCCAGATTAGTGAATTTCATGAGTCCACCTTACTTTGATTCTGCATAATTTTTTTCTGGCTTGTTTACTAAAAATGCAGGCTTTCTTTTTTTTAAGTTCATTTTCTCCTCTGACCCAGTCCACTATCTCATCCACACTCACATCTAGTTTCTATCTAATCTTAATGAGACTTAATTTCTGTGTCAACTGATTTCTAATCAAATGTGACATCTTGCCCAGAATATTTATCTTTATTATTCATCCATCTCACATACATTTTTCTGTAGTTTTTCTTGCTGAAATTTTCAGCCCAGATATTTTACATTAAAAAGAAAAATCAGTTGATAAAGGAAGTGTTTAGGATTTATAGGACATATTCCTCATGGTTTTAGGCCACGTAAGATAGTGCCCTTAGGTCTTAAAACTATGGACCTTTGATTATTTAGGCCTCTATAAAAATCTTGCAATGATTTCATAAACCCAAGAGTCTTTAAACCATCTTGAGCCAGGTTTCTTATTTCATGACATCATTACAGATATTTGCCTAGCTTTATATGCATTTCTTAGCTACATTTATAAATACGCCTCCACCTCAAAGTCTGAAAGTACCCTACAGAGGTTGAGGTTGTAGGTGGGTCATTTTCCAGCATTCTGCTTTTACAGGTTTTCCAGAGATGTGTTTCAGCTTCACTGATGTGTTCTAAAAATTACAGCCAACTTCAGATCTACACTGCAGAGATGCAACAAGCATGCCCTGGACTAGGAGGTCACACAGACTATAGTCCCACAGGCCAAATCTGGCTCATGGCCTATTTTCATGAATAAAGTTTTGTTAAAACATAGCCTGCTTTCACAATATAATGGTAGAGTGAAATAATTGTGACAGAGACAATATGGTCCACAAAGCTGAAAATGTTTGCTGTCTGTCCAGCACAGAGTAGGCTAACTTCTTCTATTCTCCAACTTTCTCCCTATGGAAGGAAGTTGCTGAGCTATACAGGTCCTCTGTTGAAGGTCCATTATGTTTCAGGCAAAATATAGTCTGGAAACCAACTTGACACATGTGGTTTAGCAGATATGTTACATACTTAAACCTGAGACTCCTCTCTCTGCCTCCTAATGAGGAATCCACACTTGACTGCCCCCATATAGTGTGCTTGACAACCAGAAACCAGACTCCTCCGAGATGAGGAATGTGTTTTTCTGGGCTGTGGCTAACCCTTCCAGTCTGCTGGCTCATCACTCCTGGCTTTTTAGCAAGGTGTTGAGATTTGGAGACAAAGGCACAGAGACCAATCATGCATAAAGATCACCCTTTTTTAGTCCCAGGGAACAGTGTCTAATACATTTGGAAATGGATTTTCAGTTTACTGTGTTTGTGTGCAAAGTTTTTGTTACCATGGTTAAAAATTGTAACTTCATTTTTGACAATAAACTGCTAAGGAGTAAACTATGTAAATCCAGAGATTTTTGGAGAACTCCCATATGGCAAATGGGGGCTCATGCTAAAGCTCCACTTGGTACTTCCAGAGCCAGTTTTGCCCTCCTGAAAATATGTTGATTAATCCTGCCTGAGGGAAAAAGAATTCAGGTCACAGCCTGGGCCAGACTGGCTGATTAAGTGCCAATTCCTGAGAATTCTTTCTCCATAGTATCTCTCTTCCTGGCTTCCTCCTTTGCCTTCCCGCCGCCTCTCTGCTACCTCTAGACTTCACTTGCTCTCTGATTCAGAGCAAAAGAAGTTCACTGGAGTTTGGGCCCTGGTGCTCATATTGCTGCCTGGCTGACATGCAAACCACAGTAAGATGTAGGCATGGCCAGAACCGGAGTTCATCCCCCTGTCCCCAGTTCAATGCCCTGTCCCTGAGCCCCATGGCTGCCTTTCGCAAGGCTTTTAACAACATTTTTCTACCCTGACAACTTCTATCTGTTTCTGAAGGCTGAAGAAAGACCAGGTTAGCTGCTGATTGATTTGGGTACTTATATTTAATAGTAAGATGCTTCTGTCTCTACCTATAGAGAAGCTGACACAATAGGTGGTTTCTGCTGATTTTTCTCTTAATTAGAAAAAAAGCCAGGGAAATTGTATCTTTGGTCTTACTCATAAAGTAGTCCTGCAGAGTTTTGGATTCTCTCCTATATCTCCAATTGATGAACCCCTGTGGCTCAGAGGACTTGTCCACTGTCAGAATCTGCTATTCTCTGAGTCCCACACATTAGTGGCATGCTTGGATGACATGCTTGCCATCCAGGGCCATTTACAGTGGTGATGCCTCAAACCACCCAAAAGGCAGAAGATAGGACTCTAAAGCTAATGTCCCTTAGCATCTTTGTGAGGAATGACAGAAGCAAGAAGCTGACAGTACACTGTGTAATGCCACTTAGTGTTTAAGAGCTAGGCTTTAAGCTAGGCGCATGTCTGTCTGAGTCCTGACACTTCGAGCTTTGAGTTGCTTAATCTTCCCCTGCCTTGGGTTTCTTCGTCTGTAGCATCTGGATGGTATCTCCCACACAGAAGGGTTGTATGGATCAAATAAGGTACTGAATATGGAAGGTGCTTTGAGCCAAAATGCTTTGTTTTTGTTTTGCAGTTAGAAAGATTTGGGAAAGTGTTGTGAAGAAGAATGACTACAGGCACACACAATCTACTAGCCTTCTGGAACACACAATACATTTTTTAGTCTCAAAGAGTAGTGGTAAATCAGATTCACCAAACCAGGTTATCCCACAATGGAAGTACTTTCCATTCCTCTATGCCATGAACAAATGAGTCCTTTTCCAACAAAAACACCCAAATGACCACAATTCACTGAGAGTGGGTACAGGAAGAAGACTAATGAGCCATTTGTTTTTGCCATGCCTGTGGGATTAGCCACAAAATAACCATCAACCTCAAAAACATTCTCCCTACTACAAATAAGCAACACTTAATTCATGGCTCCCTATAAACATTCACCATGATTTTATATATACTCTCTTAACCAAGCAGCAGAGAGTATGAGTTTACAGTACTGGGGTTTATAAATTAATGTTTATTATAATTATTATAGTATTAATAATAATGATAATGTTAATAATTGTAATGCTATTTCTACATTAATTAAAATATTGATTTATAATAATTAATTTCATCACTTAATGTGTTAATATCTGATTTTTGGCAAAGTTTCTCCTGTATTTTAATCAATATTATTTTAATATATCGGCCTGCACATTAAATGAGATTGAGTGTGTAATGTCTTTACATAGTCCCTAGAACACAGTGAATATTCAAAACAAGGTGGTGATTTTGGTTGTCCTTGTTCATGTATGGACTAGTATACTAAATATTCTTATTTTTTTAAGTATGTGAATTATAGTCAGGTCCTCAGAGTATAGAGAACTTTTTTATTATTATCTTCTGTTAGTCACCATACAGTACATCATTAGTGTTCCATGATTCATTGTTTGCACATAACACCCAGTGCTCCATGAAATACATATCCTCCTTAATACCCATCCCAGGTGAACCTATCCACCCACCACACCTCTCTAAAACCCTCGGTTTGTTTTCCGGAGTCCATAGATTCTTGTCTGTTTGTATGGATAATGTCTGTTTCTGTTCTTTCTTAATGAAGACTGTCAGCAATATTGGGGAAGATTATTTTATAAGGTAAAAACATAATAATTCAAAAAAATACGACAAAACCTAAATTGGCTCCCCCTCTCTTTAGGATAGATATTCAAACTCTTAGCATGGGTGTTTGGTCAATGACTCATAACCACCAGATTATATTTGAGAGACTTAGGAAATAAAATTTCACACAAAACAATTTTCAGATCAATTTCTTCCAATAGCAATTTGGAGCTCTGTGCCTGCCCAGAACTAATTTACAAGTCTCAAAGTTACAAGTCCAGTTTGTGGCCTAACCAGCGTGATAGCCAAGGCTTCTCCAGGAATATTTTTGAAGTCAACTTACCAAGGATAAATCCAAACACATTGGAATTTTAAGAGGTTTTAGGGGGGTGGAGGAAAACTTTTTTTAAAACCACAGAATTTACTCATGAATATTGGCAAAAAAATGGCCAGTCACTGAATACGAAGTCTGCCTGGTAAGACCATACCACCCAGGAAGGCAGTACAGTGTGGGCATCATGGAAAATTAAGACAATACCATGATCCATAATTAAACACTAACTCTTCAGAAAAATTATTACAGCTAATGAATATAGTGCTCTGAGTATTTTCTATATGCAGACAGGAGAAGCCAATTAAAATGTCTGGGCACAAAAACACCAGTGCCACTGTTCTGCATTGAATGCACATTATCACTGATTACCAAAATTCTGTGAAAAAACACTTAACACATTTTTGCTGTTTACTCACTTCCTTTCATTCTGTCTGTTCTTAGGGATTAAGCAAGCCCCAAAGCCATCAGGTGCTGGTAAACATGTGTCCATGGACTCTACCCACTCCACCAAAAAACCAGGTAAGGGATAAGACACCAACTCCCTTACTTTGCTCTTCTCTGCTACTTGGGCAGAAACTGCAGTGCCAAAAGTTATAGCAAAAACAGCATCCTCACAGCTCTCAAAGAACCATGCCAACAGTACTCCTAGAGAAACATTCTAAAATAAAATGTATTTTTTAGAATGTTTCTCTAGAAGTACCCAAAGGTACTCTTTGGGGCACCTGGGTGTTTCAGTTGGTTAAGCATCTGACTCTTGATTTTGACTCAGGTCATGATCTCAGGGTTGTGAGATGGAGCCCTGCATCGGGTGTCAGGTGTGGAGTCTGCTTAAGATTCTCTCTCTCTCAGCCCCTCCTCCACCCTGTGCATACTCACTCTCAATCTCTCCCTGCCAAAAAAATTAAAAATACAAAATATTATCTTTGGGAAAATGAAAGTGCTCTATGCACACATCAAATATTAACAAGAGCTTCTGATGGGGTACTAATTCAAGAATCACTTTATATAATGTTCTGAGGGGTCACAATGGACAAGTGCTGAAGAGTCACTTTGGGTTCTAGCTTTCACCATGTTCAAGTTTTGTTCTTGTGTAATTTACTACAATATCCTTTTGTCTGATAGGATTTATGTTCCTAATTTAAGACTGTGTTCTATATAATAGGCCAAAATGATGAAGCTGGTGACTTGGAAAGGTTTGCATTAAGAATTCTATGCCATTTATAAGGTTGCTATGAAACCTACTCTGGTGTACTAACACCTGGGCTACAGATCCATACTCTGTTATCCCACTCACTCCCCTGCACACGCCCAAGTATACCCTCGCTAGTCTCCCAAGGAGTACTGAAAGTCACAAGCCATTCTCCTAGGTTGTCACTTTTACTTCAAGATTTTTAACCAATATATATCATGCAAAGAAAGATGTGAATTTTTAAGCTGTAATAGAAGACTTAAAATTTGGGTTAAGATGGGTTACTCTAGGCACCTGTAGCCTTTCCAGCCTTTGTGCAAAGTATGAAAAGATGACTTGTGCATCGTATTAAAAGGTACCTCTTCCCTCTACTCTTTAGGCAGACTCTTTAGTACAATGTGCCCTTCCTCTGGGTGGGCAGGCTTGCACCAGGGCTCACAGATGGGTGAGCAGAGTGCATGTTAAACTTCAGCTCCAACTCATGTATCCCTTGCCAAGGGCCCTTGTGCAATGCACAACTGTCCATATTGACCCTGCTCTCCACAGGCATAGGCTTATTGCTTCTGCTGTCAAGGCTGCTTTGTTGTAATCTTTTGGAAAGTTCTGAAAGCATTTTTTCAGTTATAATTATATAGTAGATTTCGATGGTGGGATGGAGCATCCACTAAAGGAGAAATTATATCCTTTAACAATTTAAAGCTAAAATGACATTAGAAATTGTAGTCTGAAAATCAAAGGCAATGGGGGACAATGAAACTCAGAAATACTATTGTGCCTATAGAGAAACTAAAAATGTTAAATTCTCTATATCTGTTGAGTTTCAAAAGGCAAACAGACCTATAATTAGAGGATATTTTTCCACATGTTAATGGACTTCATTGTTCCTAGGTACATTACCAAAATTGATTTAGATGAATATCAGAATATATTACTCATAGACACTTTTCTATGGAATCTCTTCTCTGTCATCCAATTGCTACTTACCAAATGATCTATTTTTTAAAACCTGACATGGTTATGGAGTAAATCCTTATACCAGCTTTATCTGTAATATAATGTCGTAGCTGCAGTCCCAGGTACTCGCCGCCCACACTTGCCACCTAGACCTGTGCCCCCACGAAGAAAACCTTTACCACCAAATAATGTCACTGGCAAGCCAGGAAGTGCAGGTATGTTGGTCACATACCTTCTCTCTCTGTGATGTTCATTTTCCTGGGCAACCACAAGCCCTTCTTGGCAGGCTAGGTTAGGCAATAGACTAGTCTTTGGAGCATGGGATACATGCTTGTGTTGGCCCCCAAAACTGGACACTGGGAGTCCAGTGGACATTGGGCTTCTGCCCTGATTCTGGATGGGTGAGGTCCCAGAAACCATCCCTGTGCCCCTAGGCCAGTTCACTTCTTTTTATAATATAATTTTTTCAGTGTTTCAAGATTCATTGTTTATGCACCACCCCAGTGCTCCATGGAATATGTGCCCTCCTTAACACCCACCACCAGGCTCACCCAACCCACCACCTTCCTCCCCTCAAAAACCCTCAGTTTTTTTCTCAGTGTCCACATCTCTCATGGTTCGTCTCCCCTTCTGATTCCCCCCAATTCACTTTTCCTTTTTAAAGGTTGTGAGACAGAAGCTCACTCAGGCCTTTCAACAAGTGCATTATTTTTAATGAGGTACTGTACATTGCCAACCTAGTAGGGGCAGTGGAAAACGTGAGGTCCTGTCATCTCTTTATCGTTATCTCCTGAAATGAAATCCTGTATCTTTCACTGAAAGCCCCCCCTGTTCACCAGCCTTCATGCTGGCCCCAGTATTATGGTACTAGGGGAGAGACCGAGGGCTAAAACATTAGCAGCTCTACCTTGTGCAGCAGGGTAGGAATATATTGTAGAAGTCAATAGAACAGATGTTATAGTAAGCATCTTTTCCCTTCTTCTCCAGCCCAATCCATGCCTGCCAGTTACTCTCCAGGTCAAGCCATTCCATCTCCTTGATAGCTTTCCTGTAAAACATCTTCCATCTAATCCCACTGCTCCATATGTAGTTCACCTGTTCTGCCTTTGCCTTCAACAACTACTTTCATCTTTTGACTTCCCTCTTGGCCACCAGACTTACAACCTGACCATTCACCCCCTTCTCATCTCATTATTTTCCTAGTAAAAATCTTTCAGTGGGTCCTTGTCCCCTAAAAACAATGTCCAAATCTGTGGTATGGAAGGCCCTTCATGATCTGACCTTTCCTGTCCTTCCACAGTCAGCTCTCATGGCACCCCAAAGTATCTCAGTTCTCACCCCTTTAAATTAAACACACCAGGTAGTTTTGTGCTTCTCTGGCTTGGTTCTTCCTGCAACCTCTGCCTAGAATATAGCTTTCATACCTCCCTGCTGATTATCTCACTTCTTTATTGGCACTACTTCTGTGAAGGCATTCCTGCCCTCCCCCCACCAACCCTGCATCTTTTCCCATAGACATTATTACTCTGTTTTCTTTCTCTGTGACTTTATCCAGTTTTTTCACCATATCTATAATGCTTCAGTATATTTGGCTCACACATCTATTTCAATCAAAGACACCAGTTTTGTTTTCTCTCCAAGCCTGGCATATAGTGTAAGTGCTGAAAAATATTTATAGAATAAATGAGAACTTGGCAGTGCTCCTATAAAGCCTGACTACTTTGGCTCCACGTTATAGGAATCATTTTATCGGGCAGAGTAACATCTCCACCCTTGAGGGCCACACTCGGCCCTACTGAAGCCCCTTCAGAGAGAGCAGAGACAGATGAAAAGCAACCAACAGTTCCTGCATCAGGAGAAGATCTTGGTTAGTATGTCATTCACTTCACACTGGATGCTTAGCTATGAAGTACTGAAAGATTTCAAGTTAGGGGGAAGTGTGTCTCAGTTCTGGATTACCTGCTTTGTTCAATATTATGGTCAATATGAGTCTTTTTAAATTTTGAAATTATACTCATGTTTAAAGCTTTGAGATAGAATATGGTCCTTCCCTTCATAGAGAAGAAAGTACCCAAGTTTTTTTAGAGACATCTTCCTGAAAATATCTAGATTACTCAGTGCTTCTTGCTAAATCAGATGTCATTATTATTGACATATCTTGGGGTGGCTGGCTCAGTCAGTAGAGGATGCCACTCACGCTCTACTGCCTGATCTCAGCTGATCACTGCCCTGATCTCAGGGTCATGAGTTCAAGCCTCACTTTGGGAATGGAACCTAATTAAAAAATAAATCATACATATATTAATTTATTACTGAGTATTGCCTACTTTAATCTTTAAATCATTATTTAGTATACTCAGAACACCTGCAGCAGGACACAATTAAAGGCCTTTTATTGTGGATAGTATGTATAATTGTAATAAAGGAAATCAAGATCACAAGCAATTGACCAGGAGGCATATTAAATACTTAGAGTTCTTAATACTCTTTCATTTTATTAAGAAACTTTTTTATATTTTGCTAAAATAATTTCTTATCTTCTGTTCACAGTTAATATAACTGACTTTAGCTCAAGTCCAACAAGAGAAACTGATCCTCTTGGGAAGCCCAGATTCAAAGGTATGTACGATCGGCTCCAAGTCTCAATTTTGACAAAGCTGTCTTTGGTGCAACTATCAGTTAGCTTTTGCTGTGGAATAACTGCAAAATCTTAGTAGCATAATCTAATAAGGATTTATTTCTCATGTGTCTCCAAGTCACCTGAGGGTCAGCTGATCTCAGCTGTGCTTGACTGGGTGGTTCTGCTTCTAGCAGCAGGTACAGCTGGGCCTCCTGTGGCTTGGGTGTAACTATACTCCACATTTTTTCATTCTGGTGCTGAAGATCAAGGACCAGTAGTGACTCAGAAGGAGCCATTTTGGTGACAATACAAAGTCAAGGGTGGTGAGTTCAAAAGCACAACAGCATTTCAAGTTCCTCCTTGTTTTATACCTGACACTATCCATTGGCCAAAGTCACATAGCCAACCTCAAATCAAAGACTGGAGAAGTATACTCCTTCCATGCACACAAAGAATATTTTTGAACAGTATCAAATTGACCATAGTAAGAGAGCTATGATATAGAGCCCAGTATTTTCTTTTGTAATATTTTTTTCTGAAGTGTAGAATTTGATAAATCTTAACATACATATACACCCATGAATCTATCATCACAATACATCTACCACCTCCAAGAGTGTCATCATGTACTTTTACAATTCCTCCATTTCATTCCTCCCACCAAATCTCTAGTTCCTAGATAATCACAGATATGCTTTATTATAAATATGTATGCATTTCGTGGATTTTTATGTACATGAAAAAATACAGTATGAACTTTTTTTGATCTGGTTTCTTTCAGTATAATTATTTTAAGATTCATCCATGTTGCAACATGTATCAATAGTTCATTTCTTTTATTGCTGACTGATATTCTGCTTCATGGATATATAAGTATTAAACCTGTTTATGACATTTGGGCTTTTTCTAATTTTTTTACATTGCCAATAAAGCTGCTATGTGTGAGTATTTGTATAGATAAATGCCTTCATTCCTGTTAGATGAATGCCTACAAGAGCAGTGGCTAGACCATAACATTTTAAGAAACTATAGACTTTTTCCATGGTAGTTGTGCTGTTAACCTTTCTGTCAGCAGTGTATGAGACTTCCAGTTCCTCCACATCTTTACCAACACTTATGTGGTATTTTCAATTGCAGTCATTTTAATAGGTGTGTAGTGGTATCTGATTATGATTTTACTTTGCATATCTCTAATGACTAAGGATGCTGAGCCACCTGTTTTGGTGTGCCTGTTCAAATTTTTTGTCCAGTTTAAAAAAAAAATTTTATTTATTTGACAGACAGAGATCACAAGTAGGCAGAGAAACAGTCAGAGAGAGAGGAGGAAGCAGGCTCCCTGCTGAGCAGAGAGCCTGATGTGAGGCTTGATCCCAGGACCCTGAGATCATGACCTGAGCCGAAGGCAGAGGCTTTAACCCACTGAGCCACCCAGACGCCCTTTTTTTGTCTATTTTTTATGGTACTGCTTATTTTCTTATTGTTGAGTTTCAGAATTTTTAAAGGTTCATTTATTTTAAAGAGAGGAGAGAGTGAAAGAGTGCGTGCATGAGCAGGGGGAGGGTCAGAGGGAGAAGAAGAGAATCCTCAAGTAGACTTCTCACTGAATGCAGAGCCCAATGCAGGGCTTGATCCCAGGACCCCTAGATCATGACCTATGTGGAAATCAAGAGTTGAATGTTTAATTGACTGAGCCAACCAGGCTACCTAAGATTCTTTGTATTTTTTTGGTAGAAGACCTTTTTCAGATACATGCTTTACAGATTTTTTCTCCTAGTATGTGACTTCTGTTTTTTAATTTTAATGAATCTCAGCTTATTAATTTGGTTTTTTTATATACTGTATTTTTGGTGTTATATTTAAGAAACCATTGACCAACCAGAGGTCACAGAGACCTCCTTTGTTTCCCTTTAGAAGTTTCTCTGCTGTTTTTTAGACATTTTTTACTTTTACATTTAGGTCTACGATCCATACTGTGTAAAATTTTGTATATGATACAAGATGTGAAACAAATCAGTTACCTTGCTTGCGGATATAAAATTGTGCCAGCATCATTTGCTGAAAACAACTACTCTTTCCACTGAATTTCATTTCTGCCTTTGTCAGAAATGAATTGTCTACATATATGTAGAAATGTTTTAGCTCCCTGGTCTGTTCCATTGATCTATTTATCTGCCTTTACATCAATACCACCATGTTTGTATTATTGTGGTATTGGTATTGTATTGATGATTCTGGGTACTCTGTATCTACATCTGAATTTTAGAATCAGCTTATGAGTGTCTTAAAAGTAGCCTGGTTATATTTTTATTAGAATTTTATTATATTAGAATTCCATGGGTCAATTGGGAAAAATTGACAGCCATACAATGGTTAAGTCTCCCTACCTATGAACAATGGTATATTTTACAATTTATTTAGGTCTTCAATTTTTCTCACCAGTGTTTTTTAGTTTTCAGTGTACATAAAACCATAAAATAGTATTTTTATTTAAATTTATAATTATTCATTGCTAATATGTAGAAAAATTAATTTTTATATAATGATCTTATGTCCTGAAACCTTGTAAAACTCAGTACCTTTCATGTAGATCCATTGGATTTTCTACATACAGAATCATGTCATCTGAGAGTAAAGTTTTACTTCTTCCTTTCTAACTTGGGGGGCTTTTTTCATGCCTTATTATACTAGCAAGACCTTCCAATAAAATACTGAATAGTTACAGTGAGGTTGGGTATCCCTTTACTTATTCCTGATTTTATGGAAAAAGCATCCTCTCACCTGAATGTAATTAAGTATGATGTTACTCATAGGTTTTTCATAGATGCCCTTTATTGTACTGAGAAAATTCCCTTCTATGTCTACTTTGGTGGTTATCTGAAATGAGTGCTAGATTATGTCTAATGATTTTTCTGCCTTTATGAAAATGAACATTTTTAAATTAGTTTCTTAATACAATGAAGTAGTTGTTTTTGAATTTTCAACTTTTCATTCCAGGGACAAACTCCACTAGGTTACAATGTATTCTCATTTTAATATGTTGTTGGATTTAATTTGGTAAAATTTTGTTTAGAATTGTATTCAGTGAAGAATATTGGTCTGTAGTTTTCTTTTTTGTAATGTCTAGGTAAAGTTTTAGTTTCAGAATAATGCTGAACTCTCCTCAGTTTCAGAGTTTCAGAATTGGTATTGCTTCTTCCATAAATGTTTAATGGGGAAGAAGAGTATTTTTTCTTCCCTAGTAAGTTTTGGTAATTTTTATCTTCAATTTATTAGTCCATTTCATCCAAGTTGTCAAATTTGTTGACATAAAGTTGTCTTTAATATTCTTTTATTATTTTAATATCTGTAGAGTCTTTAGTGATGTCACCTCTCTCATTCCTGTTATTGATAATGTGTAAGTTTTCTCTTTTGCCTGATTAGTCTGGCTGTAGTTTTATTATTTTTTTTTTAATCTGAAAAAGTTGACTTTTTGTTTCATTGATTTTGTCTACTTACTTTGATCTTTATTAATTTTTTCTGCCTAATGTGGTTTAATTTACTCTGAAGGTAAAATATGTGTTCTTTGATTTGATTCTTCTCTTCTTGAATATGAAATTTACTGCTACAAAATTTCCCCTAGATATTATTTAAGCAGCATCCAAAAATTATTGTTATATTGTATATTCCTGTTTACTCTATTCAGAATATTTTTAATTTCCTTTTGATTTTTTCTTTGACTCACTGATTATTTAGAAGTATATAATTTAATTTCTAAATATGTTGAGATTTTCTAGAGATTATTCTGTTACTGATTTCCAATGTAATTCCATTGTTATCACATGCTCTATAAGGTATTTAAATCCTTTTAAATTTATTGAGACTTTTTTATGACCCAGAATATGGTCTATCTTGGTGTATGTTCTGTGTGTACTTGAAAAGAATGTGTATTCTGTTATTCCTTTTTTTTTTTTTTTTTGTATTCTGTCATTCTTAAGAGGAATGTTGTATTTGTTTGCTAGGGCTTCCATAACAAAATGCCACAACGGTGGTGGTTTAAACAACTAAAATTTATTTTCTCACTGTTCTGGAAGCCAAAAGTCTGAAATCAAGGTATCATCAGATTTTAATTCTTTTGAGCCCTCTCTCCTTGATTGAAGATGGCCACCTTCTCACTATGTCCTCATATAGCCTTTCCTCTGGATGCACACATCTTTGTTGTCTTTTCCTCTTATTAAGGACACCAGTCACAATGAATTAGAATCCCACCCCTATGACCTCATTTAATTTCATTTACTTTTCTAAAAACCCTAACTCCAAATAGTCACATTGGGAGTTAGGGCTTCAACATAGGAATTTGGGGGAAATAATTTACATAGCCAGTATTATATAGATGTCAATTAGGTCCAGTTGTTTAGTTGTTTTATGCAATTCTTTTATATCTGTGGTAATTTTCTATCTACTTGTTCTATCAATTAAAGACAGAAGAAATTGAAATCTCTGATTATAATTGTGGATTTATTTCTACTTACATTTCTATCAGTTTTTGCTACATTCATATTAAAGGTCTGTATTATATGTACACTTAAATTGCTTAGGATTCTAAGAAACTGATCAATTGATCCTTTTTCATTATAAAATTATCTTTTCTGTTTATGGTAATACTATTTGCTCTGAAATCTAATTAGTTAATATTGCATATCCACTCAGGCTTTCTTTTGATAAGTGTTACCATCTATCTCTTCTTTCCATCCTTTTAGTCTTAATCTGTTAGTCTCTATATATTTAAAATGTGTTTCTCATAGGCATCATATAGTTGGTTCTTGCTTTGTTATCCTATCAAATAATCCCTTCATTTTATTTTGTTTAGAACCTTATACTTAACATGACCAATGATATAGTTAGGTTTAAATCTATGTCATCTTGCTATTTGTTTTCAGTTTGTCTCCTCTAAACTTTGTTCCCTTTTTCCTCTTTTCCAGCCTTCTTTTAGATTTTTTTTTTAGCTGAAGCGTAGTTGACACACAATGTTACCCTAGTTTCAGGTGTGCCGACATAGTGATTCAACTTTTCTATACATTATGCTATGTTCACTACAATTGTATTTACTGTTGTCACCATACATTATTATAATATTATTGACTATATTCCCAATGCTGGACTTTTTATCCCTATTTTGTATTCATTCCATACTGGAGGCCTGTATCTCCCATTCCCCTTCATCCATTTTTGCCTATCATCCCACCCCCTGGCAACCATGAGTTTGTTTTCTGTGTTTATGGATTTGTTTCTACTTTTTGTTTGTTCATTTGTGTGGATTTTTTTTCTAGATTCTACATATAAGTAAAATACAGTAGTTGTCTTTCTCAGTCTGACTTACTTCACTTAGCATAATATCCTCTAGGTCTATCTATGTTGTTACAAACGACAGTCTCATTCTTTTTTATGGCTGAGCAATATTCCATTATATATATGTACCATTTTTCTTTATCCATTCATTTGTCAATGGACACTGGGGTTATCCCCATATCTTAGCTATTGTAAATAATGTTGCAATAAACACAGGGTTGCATATATCTTTTCAAATTAGTGCTTTCATCTTCCTTGGGTAAATACCGAGTAGTGGAATTACTGGATCATATGGTATTTCTGTTTTTCATTTTTTGAGGACACTTCATATTGTTTTCCACAGTGGCTGCACAAATCTATATTCCCACCAGTAGGACACAAGTGTTTTATCCATATTCTCCAACACTTAGTATTTCTTGTTTTTTTGACTCTAGCTATTCTGACAGGTGTAGGGTGATATCTCATTACAGTTTAGATTTGCATTTCCCTGATGATGAGTGTTGTTGAGCATCTTTTCATGTGTCTGTTGGCCACTTGAATGTCTTCCTTTGCAAAAATATGTCATGTGTCCATTTTTTAATTGGAGTATTTGTGGGTTTTGGTGTCAAGGTGTATAAATTCTTTATATATTTTGAATATTAAACCCTTATCAGATATATCATTTGCAAGTATCTTCTCTCTTTCAGTAGGTTGCCTTTTTCCTTTTTGTTTTGTTGATAATTTCTTTTGGTGTGCGAAAGTTTTTTACTTTGATGTAGTCCTGATTGTCTTTGTTTTTGTTTAACTTGCCTGAGGAAATATATCTAGAAAAATGTTGCTAAGGCCAATGTCAAAGAAATTACTGCCTATGTTTTCTTCCAGGACTTTTATTGTTTCATATCTCAAATTTAAATTTTTAATCCACTTTGAGTTTATTTTTTGTGTATGGTATAAACAAGTGGTCCAGTTTCATTCTTTTGCATGTAGCTGTCTAGTTTGCCCAGCACCATTTATTGAAGAGACTGTCTTCCCTATTGTGTATTCTTACTTCTACAACTTCACAAATAGTGCAAGAACTTTACATTAGTATGGCAAATATTGTCTCCTCCTGGCCTATCATTGTTATACATTTTACTTTCACATGTTAATATATCACACTAAGTTGTTAATTTACCATTTAAGCATAAAAAATATCTTTTAGAAAGAAATAATAAAATTATTATACCTACATACATATATAGTTACTATTCTCAGTGCTCTTTATCCCTTTGTGTGGATTCATATTTCCATCTGGTATCATTTTCCTTCTGCCTGAATGTCCTTTAATCTTTCTTGTAGTGTGGATCTGTTGGTTTTGAATTCTGTTGAATTTTGAAGGTATCATTGGATTTGAGTTCTTTTGAGCCCTCTCTCCTTGATTGAAGATGGCCACCTTCTCACTATGTCCTCTCACTATATCCTATTTCACTTTTCTTAAAAAAGGATATTTCCACTAGTTATAGAATTCTAGATGATAAGGTTTTTTCCAGTGTTTAGAGATGTTGCTTTACTGTCCTCTCACTCTCATTCTTTCCACTGAGAGATCTGCCTTAATCCTTATCTTTGTCATTCTATATATGATCTGTCTTTTATGCCTCCTTTAAAAATTTTTCTCTTTTTACCATTGGTTTTGTGAAACTTAATTATATTAGTGTAGTTTCTTCATGTTTGTTGTGCTTAGGTTTCTTTGAACTTTTTTGGATCTGTGGGTTTAGAGGTTTTATCAAATTTGGACATTTTTCACCATTATTTCTTTGAATATTTTTTCTGCCTCTTTTCTACTCAGATACTAAAATTATGTGTATATTATACTGCCTGAAATTATACCACAACTCACTGACGCTCTGTCATTATTTTTAATTCTTTTTTCTCTCCACTTTTATTTTGGGTAGTTTTTATTGCTATGTCTTCAAGGTCACTAATCTTTTTCTGCAATATCATCTCTGTACTACTATCATCCTGTGTGTTTTTCATCTTACACATTTTAGTTTTCACCTCTAGAAATTTGATTTCAGTCTTGTTTATATCTTTCATGTATTACTTTTTTTGATCACATGCATTATAATGATAATAATGTTTTTATTGTCCTTGTCTGATGACTAACATCCATGCAAGTTCTAGATTGATTTCCACAATTTATTTTTCTCCTCATTATGGGTATTATTTTCCTGTTATTTCACGTTGGTGTGCTGGATATGTTTTTTTTAATCTAAAGTATTCTTGAATTTCATCCTGGACATATTTAAATTACTTGAAACCACTTGACCCTTTTGAGTCTGGCTTTTAAGGTTTACTAGGTTAGACCAGAACTCTGTTTAGTGTAGGGCTAATTATTCACCACTTCTAAAGCAACACCCTCTCGAGTACTCTTTCCACTGCCCCATAAATTATGCAATTTAAAACTTGCTCAGGGGGACCAAATTACTTTTGGATATTAGCATAAGTTAAACCTATTTAGAAAATTAAACCAGCTACAACATCTAAATCATGTTTCTCAGAGACAGGAATTCTAGATTTTCACAAGTTTGAACAATGCATAGCACTGCCTTCATCTATCTATTTATAATGTGAGACCAAATGTCTTCATACAGATAAACAGATTTGAGTTTACCTCCACCTTCTGTACACGCTCAAACAAGGCTAAATGTCAGAGTCCTCTCTCTCTTAGGTCCTCATGTGCGATACATCCAAAAACCTGAAAACAGGCCCTGCTCCATCACTGATTCTGTCAAACTGTTCCCCAAAGAGGATGCTACTGAAGGGAATGCCACCAGCCCACCGCAGAACCCACCTACCAACCTCACTGTGGTCACTGTGGAAGGGTGTCCCTCATTTGTCATCCTGGACTGGGATAAGCCACTAAATGATACCGTCACTGGTAAGATCATGGCATAAGGACTGATACTTTGGTGGGAAGCATTGATATGTGAATGTGGTACCTGGGTCAAACTATGTCCTATAACATATATCTCAGATGTAGTGAGTCCTAGCAGAGCTGTATTGCCAGAAGTGTCATATGATGGGAAAAGATCATCTATGTCCTCATTATGGGCTTTCTGTTAATTTAATCTCTTTAGGTTGCATTCCTTCCATCTCCCCTCAGAATTCTTTTTCATGGTATAAAGATAGATCTGATCTTTCCATTATCAAGAAAACTACAAATAACATAGAAGTTGGCAGTGCTGATGATATTTAAACCAGTTTGCATTTCACCAATCTAATTTCTAGATTGACCTAGAAGTTTCCAGTGGGTTGAAAGTTATTCAGTTATTTTAGGAGAAATTTTTTTTAGAATTCTAATACTGGTCATTTTTCTGCTCACCTCAGGAAATTTTAGTTCTGCTATCACTCACCTAATCCCTCTAAAAGTGACTGTGAAAAATAAGAAGGGAGTCATTCTTTGAATTTATTATATGGGATTTATTTCTTCATAGTGAACAGGTTAGTCAAACTAGAGAGGAGGGAGAAAAGACGAAGAGGCTGAATCAGCTAGAGGAATATACCCAATAGGGGGATTACACAAAGCTCTTGCTGTCCATGTCCTACTTTGCTTGGACAGGTAGACAGGGTCTAGAGGGCCCCACTGAGAGGCTGTCAGGATGGAGAAAGGAAAGTACACAGGGAAAGTGGGGAGTGGGAGATTCAGCATCTGACAAGTTTTCTGTGAATAAAGAAGAAAACAGCAGTTATTTCTCCTCAGACAAAACTGTTTGGTCTGGGGAACTTCTGCTAAAACAGCCTATTTTGCTTAGCTGGGCTTTTTTTTTATTTAACCATATTTTGTGAATTTCATTTTTCATGCAGGCCTTGCCTTTGTTTTGAGAAAGAATCAGCCATTGCTCATATTTCCTGGGGATTTGCCTAGTCCTGCTTCTTCACTTGGGACTATGCCAGTAGGCGCTACCATCCCAATATCTAAAAAACAATCTCTTGAGTATTGACTATCTCATGGATTAAAAAGTCAAAACTCCCGGGGCACCTGGGTGGCTCAGTGCATTAAAACCTCTGCTTTCGGCTCAGGTCATGATCCCAGGGTCCTGGGATCGAGCCCCGCATCGGGCTTTCTGCTTGGCGGGGAGCCTGCTTCTTCCTCTCTCTGCCTGCCTCTCTGCCTACTTGTGATCTCTGTCAAATAAATAAATAAAATCTTAAAAAAAAAAAGTCAAAACTCCCAATTCATGTAGTGTACTAATAAGAAGGAGTTCTCATGACAGACTGAAACTTAGTTATCATAGAACCATAGAACCATAAAATTTCATTAGTCTTAAAGATGTGGGACTTTAAGTTGGAATTGGTTAATATATCTAATAATCCAATACATCTAATATATATTCCCTTTGGTGTCTCAATATCTGATTTAACTTTTTAAGAGCAAAAGGATTTTCCTTTCTGGTTCATCATGTAACTTTTTTTTCATTGTAGAAACTTGTAATCTCCAAAAAATAATGAATAGGGTGCGCTTTCTCTATCTAACCAATTACATTTGTAACATTGTTACTAAATGTTAATGGGCTGCTTAAGATCCTTCATAAGATACTGGACTTATGATAACAATTTTCATGGAAATGGACTATATCTCTTTAGCTGCAATATTTTCTAGATGGAAATAAGTCCATATTTAATCATAACCTAGTATATATTTAAATGTTGGACCATATATCCTAACACTCTATTCTACTTTTTGCACTGTTTTAGTGTTTTATTAAATACCACTTGATTTCAAATGTAATCTTTTAGAAACCAGCAGATCATGTAATGCAGAGGTTAATTCTCTCAAGTCACTCGAAATTGTTTCATAAGAAAGGATTGAGAACGATTGCAAAAAGAGAGTGAAACATATTCTCTATTCCCTGAGTTGGCTTCTGTCAGTACCCTATCTTTTAATTGACAGGAATGTATTACCTCTAATAAATAACATCCAAATTTGGTTGCTTCTACATGTCCCTTCTACATTAAGGTAAAAATAGATACACCTAAGAAATTGGTCATAGCCTGGGTCCTTTAAGTTAGTTATGAAGTGGTGCTTTGTGATATGCCAAGAGCATACCAACATAGATTTAAATCCCAGACTGGCTGTGTTCTATATATGCAAATTGAGTATGCAATTAACCTCTTTGCTTTAGTTTCCTTATTTGTAATAACAATAATAATTCCCACTGTTATCAACTTATGAGGATACTTTTTTAGAGAGGGAGGAGGAAAGAGCAGAAGGAGAGGGAGAATCTTTTTTAAAGATTTTATTTATTTATTTATTTATTTATTTATTTATTTATTTATTTATTTTTAGGGAGAGAGCTTGAGCTGGGGGAGGAGCAGAGGGGAGGGAGAGTGCAGGGGAGTGGGTGAGCGGTGGGGAAAAATCTCAAGCAGACTCTCTGCTGAGCATGAAGCCCAATATGGGGCTCAATCACACAACCCTAAGATCATGACCTGAGCCAAAACCAGGAGTTGGATGCCTAACCAACTGAGCCATCATGCACCCACAATGAGGATAAAATTAAACAATGTAAATGTGCACCATGAGTCAGAAGCTGTTAAATTAATGTTTGTCAGTAGCAGCATTAGTAGGACTGGTAAAAACAGTGTCACCATTATTATTTTCATGGTCTGTTTTCATGGCCAGACTCTAATTTTCCAATCTTTATAATAAATGGGATTTTTTCTGTTAAGTAAATTTTCTCTTAATAGGGCAGTAATACCCTCTGAGGGGATAAAATACCAATTATTCAGTGCTAGTTCTTTATAGATACTTTATATCTTTACTCTTAAGGAATTTATAAATCCCATATTTTAATTTTTTTCCATATTTTAAAGTAAGAAATATGGACACATACTAAGTGGTTATCTTTGCCTTCTGAAATATACTCAGAATATGGCTATAGATATTCATTCTAAACATATATATTCAATTTTTATGGTGTTGGTGGACTTACGAAAAAGTTATGATTGCTTTAAAGCATTGCAAATGAAGATTTTGTAAACCTTCATTACAAAACCCAAGAAAATACTTTCAAAAGCCAGAATTCTGAGAGAAATTCTAAATGTATTTTTATGAAGGTAAATTTTATATCCATTTTGAAAACTTGGATCTTTCAGGATAAAAATAGTATTAAATAAGCATTTAAAAATGAGTCAAAAGAGGGGTGCCTCAGTGGCTCAGTTGATTAAGCATCTGCCTTTGGCTCAGGTCATGATCTCAGGATTCTGGAATCAAGCCTCATATCAGGGAGGCTACTCCTCCCTTTCCCTCGGCCTGCCACTCCCCTTGTTTGTGTTCTCTCTCTATCTCTCTCTCTGTAAAATCTTTTAAAACAAAATGAGTCAAAAGAAAATTAGAGAAGATATGTGGTAAGACTTTCTAGTACTAAGAGCCTGGGGTAATATTAAAAAGAATATTACGCAGTCAATGAGAAGTATCCTAAGCCTAAGATGTTTTTTGAAAGTGGTTGCTTTCATGCATAGTCAACTGGAGTGTGATATAATTTTTTCTTTGGGTGACTAAGAAGCACTTGAATCTTTCCAATTGGCATCTTTACAACTTTTGTATCTTTCAAATTTTTGTATCAAAACACAACTCAGGGATAATAAGGGATAATAAAAGCAATAACAATAATAGGTACCACCTGTTGAAAAAAAACGTGCAAAATACTATTAAGCACTTTGCATATATTCCTAATTTAATTGCCACAAACAACACTATGAAGAGATCTTATTGACATTTTATAGATGAAAAAACAGACTGAGATCAAGGCAAGTGACTTGGTCTGTTTCTTTTCATTGAGTCATAGCATCTCCCTTTTTTTTTTTTTTTTTTTTTTTCCTCAGGAGGGGACTAACTAGCCTGCCCCATGCCCTTTAATAGAAAAGTCATGAGTGTTTTGGGTCCTTTGTATCAGAAACACATCTAACCCTGTATCCAACGAGCAGTTTCCATTTTTAAAAAGATCAATTTTACTTACATTTTGATTACTCCCATCTTTTTCTAGTAAATATTGCTTCACAGCTGAGAAAAAGATATAAAATGGATATATTTGAATTCAGGGCCCTACCCTTCCCTCCCTTTCCACCTTCTGTAAGAACAAAGAGCCAGCTGAGAGATGGATTGGGAATAGAAGAGTCTGAGAAAGGAATACCAAATACTAGCCATTAGTCCTTTGGTAGCTGTGCTAATGTGTCCAGTACAATGGCCATTGTCTTCTGGTTTAATTTTGTGAATTTTTGGAAGGATGGTCATACGAAATTTTTAGAAAGAGCTATCCTCCTTTTTTGATTTTTAAAATATACCATTAAAACTCCTTCCCAAATTGAAATTGGTTATTATGTCTTCCCGAGTCTTTCATAATTTTAGTTTTATTTCCAGTCTCCATCTCCCATCTTTGATCTCAGTGCTAATAGCAGAAATCCCTAGTAACCTGCCACCTCCTTCACAGCCTTCCCACTTTCCCTGATGGCTGACTTGTGTATTTGGAGTGGGATTTGTTATTGTTTGTTGTTTTTTTTGAGTTTTTAAACAAGTTTAAAAACTTGTTTAAAGTTTTTTGAGTTTTGACAAGATCTGCATGATCTTGTCACATACATTAAACTAAACGCCACTGAGGGCAGGGAAAGCCAAGTAACAACTTTATCAATTATGTTCTTAATCTGAAAGTCTTTCTCTTGATTAGTCCTGCAAGTTCATAGAAACATGCTCCTAAGTGACATTTATGGAGATCTCTATGTAAACTTAAAGGTCATAATTTTTTTAAAAGGATGATTATCCAGAAAGCATATGTCAGCAATAGGTATAAAACTTTTGTAACTTACGTAAGCAGTAGGTACAAAAATCCCATAATTCTGTAGTTCAAAATAATGAACTGTCATTCATTATTTGGTTAACTGTTATTTGCTGCATGATTTTAAACCCAGAGTTTTTTGGTAACAGCACTATGAATGCAGTGGCCTTTTCCCCAGCTATATAATAAAGCTCCATACAGAAGAAACATGGCTTCTACTCAAGTACCACTTCTCATACAGAGCTTTCCTCATACTGAGCATTCCAACAAGAGCAGACCAACTGATTTGCCTAGCAACATCATTGGCAACCAGTTCAAAGCTACCACGGGAGTGTTATCAGTCTTCGTAGTTAGCAGGCCTTCATGTTCCAGTAAAGGGAAAGCAGAAATGGCCAATGAGCAACTCCCAAAATGCTTTGGGACCTTCGTCATCCACTGACCATCCCCATCCGGGGATTGCTAATGTGTAAAATCAGTACGCCTCAAGGACTGCAGGCTAAATTGCTCACTTTTATGAGAGTGACTTTATGATGCTGTTTGCCTTAAGAATAATTAAATCAGCCAGGATGTAAAGACAAGTATTTGTTGGCTTTTTCGCTTTTCAGAATATGAAGTTATATCCAGAGAAAATGGGTCATTCAGTGGGAAGAACAAGTCCATTCAAATTACAAATCAAACCTTCTCTACAGTAGAAAATCTAAAACCAGATACAAGGTAAGCCACCTGTGCTATTATAGGTGAATTCTGAGAGTGCAAAAGTCGTAATAAAGGAATGAAACGACATCATCTGTCTTTGTCTTACGGGACAGTCTAGTTTGCATTTCATTCTTTGGCTTACTGTGCATAGCAGTATATACCTCTAGAGTCATGTTTTGCAAATACGCAAGTTATTGGTGGGGACACAAGAGCTGACGAGGTGGTCTTGTAAGTTAGCACTCTAGGTGAGAACATTGAAAAATAGAAGGTCGTTAATACCAAATGTTGATAATTAAGTACCAAAATTCAGAGAAGGAAAGTTTTGTAGACCAGACACAACTGGAGTGTGTATGTTGTAAACTCAATTTGAAAACGAGAATTTGGCTGCCATGTTGGCAAGAGGAGAGCAAGGAAATAAAAGCTATGTAACAGATATAGATGAAAGTTCGTGATAGATAATGCTTCAAATAACTACAGACCATTCCCAGGCATAGCAGTCCTTTGCTTTGGGGATCTTTTATCACAAACAAATGAGAATCAATTTTTGAAAACAGAAATATATAATATTAACAATACAGTAAACAACTTTTCTTGGCATCTCCTATTACACATTCATACCAGGTTGTTTATATTACTGTGTGGTTTTGTCATTTCTTTTGAAATATAAAATACCCAATATTTTGTCAGCTCATTGTATTGCAAGAAAAATAAGGGCCTTACACACTTCTAGAAATGTAATAGAGAAGGTTTTTGTTTTGTTTTGTTTTGTTTTGTTTTGTTTTACATGGATAAATCATCAAATTTACTGTTCAAGGAAATTCTTGAATGATACAGCCAAGAATTTCCTTAATAAAGACAATGTACTAAACTCATTTTGGGACTAAATATCACTCTCTGGAAAGTCAGTTTCCTTTCTCAAACTCCAGAACACTGTTTGATAAGCTATCTATGCATTCAGCTAAAATGAAAACATCCTCACATCTTAAGTTATAGTAAGCCAAGCAAACCAAATCACTTTTCAGAAAGACACAATCAGGAGTTTTTCCAGATTGAATATTTCATAGCTTGATAAAGTTTCTTGGCATTTAAAAAGATCAGCAGAGGCAAAGATTGGAACACCAGCATTAGAAATTTTTTCATAAATTTTACTTATATCTCTCATTGTCATCAGTTGATTAAATTGAATCAGGTATTGAATATGACACACAAAAGAGCCTTTTTAGTTCTGATAACAAAGAACCTCTTTTAATGTTTTCAGGAAAAAGAGAAGCATCTAGTTCATTCTAGAAGGTTTGCTGTGTATAAACTGTAGTCTTATACTGCAAATATAATACTTTCTGCAAGCATTTTTTTCTTTAACGTTCTCTATTTTAAGCTGTAATATGGAAAATTTTACAACTGCTAATTTTTTAAAGGCTATAAGTTAGCCAAAATAAGCATGTATTTTAGTAAAAGCCCATTTGATGATCTTGGTTCTGTTTCCTTAGGGAAATTAACAGAGAGAGAGAAATTATTTTTAACATAATTATTTTAAGAAAAGAGTAAAAAATAAGTTATTTAATTTGGCCTTTTTAATAGGTGGATTTGGGCTTACAGAATGTAGATGTTTTACAGTTTCTTGCTTTTTATTCCATTCAATACATTGAAAACCATTTTGAAAAGCATCTAATTTCTAAATGTTCATTGTATTCCTTTTCTGAATTAGGCAATCCTCAAATCTTCTCAGAGTTCACCTATTAGTCATGATCAGAAAATAATTTTTTCAGTGACATTTTTAAGCCTGACTTGTTTATAAAAGATTTATGTTTCCATTCAGCTAACATTTGTCAAGTACCAACAGTGTGGTTGGTGTTGTGACTACAAACATGAATAAATGTGATGCCCGCCCTTGAGAAGCTTGAGGAAGTGGGGTAGTAACCGATAATTAGTAACTGATTATTCTACACAAAGTGGTGAGAGTTCTGGTAAAAATATATACAAGTTGCAAGGGAAGCCAAGAGTGGGTGGCACTTTACAAAGGCTGGGGAAGTTAGGAAGACTTCCTGGAGTAGGTGATAACTGGGCTGAGGCTTGAAGAATGTATAGGAAGGAGTTAGCTGGGTAACTGTAGGAGGGAAAAGAAATACCACAGAGAATAGTCCATGTCCATGCAGAGGCCCTAATGGCATGGTTGTGTGCAGTGAAGAGTCAGCTACTCTTACCAGTGAAAGGGTGAAAAGTGGACGGAAGCAGTAAAAGCAACAAGAGGTGGAGGTGAGGCTATGGAGGGCCTTCTGTGCTAGATCAGGAAACTTGGTCAATAGATGGGGAGACCCAGAAAGATGGTAACTGGGAATGGCTTGCTCCAAGTTTCATTTTAGTATTGTTATGATTTTGATTTAGATGGAATAATCACTTTTGATACTAAAGCAACTTATAATGAGTAACATTTGGTAGAATAAATCGAACAAAACTTTTTGTTAATGTCTTGCAAGAGTGCCATTTTGGCATCTTGCCTAATTGGCCAAAGAGGCACATAGGAGAGAAAAGTACCTCTGGGCTAAGCTGCATTTCATTCTGGAATTATAGGACTAATGAGTCCTGGAGTTTACTTCTAGCTTCTGGTTATAGTTGTTGTAGGACTTATGCTAATTGTTTCTGGAGTTTATAGCCTTGTCCCTTTCACCCCGCCCTAAGGTATGTGTCTTGCTTGTTACTCCTGTCCTGATGAAGGCCTGATGGACCTTCTAAGGAGGGACCCCTACAACTACCCAAATCTCAAGACAAGCAAAGCCCAAAGGAGGCTCTTTCTGGACTTGTCTCTAAGAAAAAAAATAATACTAAGTTTTGGAATCCCTGAAATCAGAATCCCATCCAGTTTTGCCAGATGCCATAAATCTGGGGCCACTCAGTGTTTCTATTTGGCTTATTTTACATTATTTTTAGAGTTTGATATGATTGAATGAAATCCATTCATATATAAGGACTGTTTAAAAAGAAAAAAAAGGACTTTCAATATTCATAGCTATGATCTGACCAGGACTGTGCTAATAGTCCCTGATGGCTCATGATTTAAAGGTATATTAGCAGTTTGAAAACATTTCCTCACTGGTGACAGATGTGATACACATGGATATAAAGGTGCTCTGATGAAAACTGTTTAGTCTACAGTTTGTGGAACTTTGTGGTGACCAAGTAGTTCAGCAGATCCCAGTCCCCAGCGAGTGGGAATGCATTCTGTGCTATCTTAAAGGTAGGCTAGAGATTAATGTGTTTATTTAATAGGCAAAAAACTGTTTTCAGCTGAAATATTATGGGTTGAAACCCCTATTAATCAAAATAATGAGCTAAGGAAGAATAAAGTGAAGTTGAATTATGTCATTTAATTTGAGATTTCTGAAGCCTAGAAGCACCTGGGGAAACAAAAGTAACACCCATGAAACAACGGGAAAGCATGGTAAGACAGCATAAAAGGTCACATAGTATCTACCCTGAAGTCCTGCAATTTAAAGGAGGGAAAGCTTCACAGAATACTCGAGACTAGACCTTGATGATAAAGGATATAACTGAATAGGACAAACTGGCAAAAAAAGAAAGAGCACCAACAGTATTGTTCGTTCAGATCAAGGCCACGTGTATGACTTGGGTGAATTACAAGTAATCCTCTGACTTACTACTGACAGGGTTACAGTAAAATTAAGAAAATTGTGAGTGCCAAATATAGGTTGGTTGGCTTTTTCTTTTTTTTTTTTAATGCAAGCTTTTTCCATACTATCTTATGTTCTGAAGGCAAGATATTTTTCCATTATTTCTTTTCAGCCCCAACCATGTTCCAAGATTAATGCTAATAAGAGACATGCTATAAAATTAAGAGGAAGTATGTATAGGACGCAGCCCCCAGCTGGTTTTTATTACCTATACAGAATGACTTTAGTCACATTTCACTGTTCAGGGAAAATTATATCCCCAACAGACAAACTAAATTATAGTTGTTAAAATCCACCACCACCGCTGCCAGCCTCCGTGAGGCTCTGGAATTCCCTATCTGAAAAGCTAGGAGATAATAACTTTTGAAAGAATTACAGTAACTGTGTTCCAATTCCAGGAAACACAGGTATATAATTTATTTCACTATCATTTTCCATCATTCGTCTCCACTGAAAAACATGAGATCTAAAATAAGGTGATAATTACTGGCCCACCCTTTAATACACCGTGGAAAGGGAGGAGTAGAGCTTGGCCATAGAACATTTAACCCAAAAGAATCAATGCAGAGAAAATAGATCTCCAGGGCTGTTAGGTTAAAAATGCCAAGTGGTCTAGAAACAGAAGTACAGTGGACTCTGTTACCTTTTCTCACCGTGTATGCCTACCTCCTCCCCGCCTGTTGTTACGACATAGCCAGGTTTTACCTCCACCATAGAAGCTCAAAAGATACCCACAGGGAGGGACCAGCCAGCAGCTATCTTGCTGCAGGAGAGTCTGGAGGGCTGCATACCTGGTGCAAGATGTCTCTGTTAGAGAGTGGAGCTCCATGGCTGTTCTGGGGCACCTGGTTCCAGTTCCAAAGGGGACACAGGAAGGACTCCCCCAGCCTTGCCAACAAATGCTTGCAGCTCCTGTGGGCTTTGGTCATAACTTTGCATGGGGAAGAGGGGCCATGGGGTGGAGTCATAGCTGTTTTAGTCAGGTGCAGCAGGAGAGATGAGCTGACAGAGGTGCACTGCTGTGCCACATCTCCTTCTCTTTCTTTTCAGGACCCCTCTCTCACCCCCTAGCCCTAAAATACTAAGAAAATATCAATATGTTGAATCAGTACCCAAATAGCCCACTCCCCAGTATTTATTTTCCATTTATTTCCCCCATGAAACCTCAATGTGTGGCTCTTGCGGGGCTGAAAGAAAAATACAAAGAAGAGCCTCTCCTATCTGCAGCCAACCACCTGGTGTGCAAAGACCACTAGGATTATTTTTAGTTCTGTGAACAGAAGAACTGATCAAGTATATGTCCAACAATAAGTCTTGTACCCCTGCTTAAGG